TGGCTATGAATATGTAATAATGCAAAATCTGAAAGCTGTGAGAATCATCTCTGAGAAGTGGTTTGTACAACTTCTAGATTGTTTGAGGCATTTTCTTTAATCATCCTTTGCACGTTGCTACAGTTCCCGTCTGCTGCACCTGCACTGCCTCTGAAATGATGGGAAAATGGCATTCCCTTACCCCTTGAGGCAGGAAACCCAGTTATCTGTTCTGGAAGCATCCAAAAATATGGCAAACTGGGTAAACCAGAAACCTAAAGGGGATAACTGAAACTCTCTCTTCTGACACCCCGTAAGCTACCTTTTGCTTCAACATGTGAGCTATACTGTTCAGGCAGAGCAAGTTTTCACAAAGATTGTCTGTAGTTGTCACTGCAATTAAAGCTCAAATACAAATGCCTCAATTCCGTATCTGTGTGACCATCTGGGCTTGCACTGTTTTAGAGAATTTCAAGGTTGTAACTCAAGACCACAAAGCATTTGGTATACCTTAACATTTTTATTAAAAGGGCACAGAGAATATGGGGATGAGATTTTTTATTTTTATTTTTTTTTGGTGAGCATTTTCTGTTTAGGATTATAGTAGACATTCTTCAATGATGCATCTTCATAAGAATGTCTCATAAATGGCGCTAGAAAAGTTCACAATTGCTGTATATATTGGTTTCATTTACACAACCCAAAATACTCATGTAAGAAATCCATTTTTTTTGCAATTAAATGAAGCTGTCTAACAATATTCTTGTATTCAAATGGAGATCCAGTTTATTTTGAGTTTAATGAGTTTCATACCTTTTTATTTCCAAGTACATTTTCCTTGTTTTTTTATACTCCACACTTGCAATAACTCAGTGTGACATTCATATATACGATGGGGTCAGCAAGTTGGCTTCAGGCTGAAATGTGTGGGTGCTCACCAACAGTGAGATGTGGACTGCTTGGATTTTACCTCTGTAGGAACCTCTGGAATAGAGGCACCCATCACACAGAAAGCAAATTCATTGTCTGGAAGCAACCAATTCTGAATGTGCTGGGACATCTGCATGAGAAACAGTAATATTTTCTGTGTGCCTGGATATAGATTGCTTTGGATCTCAGGTTCCCTGTTCTGGAGACTTTTTTGGGGAACTCTGCTGTTTCTGTATTGAAAACTAAAGGGTACAATACAGTTTTCTGTATATTAAACTAAACTAGTATTTAATATATAGGTTGCTTTATATTTTTTTAATTATTATTATTTTATTCAGTTGTATATATTCTATTTTGCTTCCAAGATAGTAAAATAGTTGATGTGTGAGTATCACATCAGAGAATGACTTATTTCTAATCCATGAGATCTTTAAACCCTAAAAATAAGTTTGACCAGTTTTTGATATTTTAAAAAATACCTTGGTGTATTTTTATCATGAATGTTCTTGCTTTTCAGCTGGAATGCGATAGGCTGGTGAGAGTCAATGCACAGAAACATCTGACTGTAGGCTTCTTCGCAGCAACCTTGCAGACTGCAGAGCCTTTGAAAATGCAGTCAATGCAGTCATTAGTCGTCTCTTGGGCAATAACAACTATTTAATTCAATATTTTAATTGACCTAATTTCATTTATTTTTCCTAGCTTGTAGCCACACAATGTAGGTTGAGTCTTGCTGGGTTCTTCCTGACCTTGCTCTGTTGCTGGTGGCTGTCTGAGCTCTCTGTTGCCCTGTCTAGCTTCTCTGCAGTTAGCCTGTCTTTAGAAGGTTTGGCAGCCCACAACTGAAAGTTACTTGATAGTCCTTTTTATGCCTTGTAAGGTTGCCTATTTTTTCCTCAACTTTATTGACTTTGTTAAGCTCAGGAGGGAAAGAAACTTGACTGTCACTCAAGTCGACAGGACAGATTCTGAATATAATAGTGCTCTTGAATATAATAGTGCTCTTCTTCTGAAGGCACATTTCAGTATTAAAACCTTTCCATGTAAGCAATAATCTTTTTAGAAGCTAGCAGAAGCTCTAGAATTTTCAGTAATGTGATCGTGGAAAAATAACTTGACCTTCATATTTCTTTCCTTGAATTTTCCTTCTGGGAATATAGTGTGCTCTAATGAACATGGAAAAAGGCAAGTGTCAGAGGATGCCAGCAGCAGCTAAAGTTTTGCAGCAGGAATGCAGCTTGTGGTTGCATTAGAAGAGATTTGCAATCAAATACATTTTTTTTGTTGTTGTTGTTCCATTAGTGGAAGTGCTTGTGCACAGCCATAGTCTTCAAAACAGTGTGGAAAATTTATATGGAGTAGCTAATTCTTCTTGGGTTCATCTATTTCTGTGTGATGTTCTTTCCAAGTTATCACACCACAACTAGTGATTAAGTGCTAAGCAGCCATGTAAGGATTTGGCTGTGCTCAAAAATCTCATGCTGAGGTGAAGTGGGCTCTCCGGAGCTAACTCAGAATCCCAGAAAGAGTCTGTATGTCTCAGTGTTACAGGGGTTTGATGTTTTTCAAACCATAACTCAGGCTATGCAGGAACGACACAAATGAAAACACAAAATACCTGTTGTTAAAATATTAGAAGAGTTTGCTAACCAACTTCTGGGAACAAATTAGGCTACCTAGTAACCTCAATAACCTCAAGTTTTATACCTCAGATGTATACTTCATAGGAATGATTTGGAACAATAAATTCGTATCTATTACAGGCTTTTGGGAATTGGATAATCCATTACAAAAAGGAAAAAAATTGAAAATGTTTCATAAAAGTCAGACGTTACTATAATGCCAGATCATCATACATCTCTAGTGATCATACCAATGTGTGCACAGGTTTGTAAGAGAACCAAAATGAGTGTAATATGCACAGGATTAAGGATAATCAGGACTTGCAGCTAAGGGAGCAGTCTGATCCACTGGTAAGAATGACTGCAGAGCTGTGCAGCTCCTCTTCCACACTCTTTGCCCACTTAGACAGTTTAAATCCTTAGTAGCAAGGAAATGTGAGTGGAGTTTGGTTTTCCATGTGATGAGGTGGTTGGGGAGACCAGAGACACCCCTAGTCAGGCAGACAGCTGGGGTTACAGTTTACTGTAGGTGCCCTGTGATAACCTGTGCTGACCCACGAATCAGAAGCCCTATTTAAAGCAGACAAAATAACATATTTGTGGAGAATTTTGATGTGTAAATTCTATACAAACTTAATATTGTTGGAAGACTGTGGGGCTCAACGTTAAATTGTGAAGAAGGTATATTGGTAGGAAAAATATGTGCATCCCAAGGCAAATAAAACCATAGGCAGGGGTCTCACAGGAAAATTGCTAGCATTTTTCTCTTAATGCTTTAATTAATCTCAAAGAAAAACCATTCATAAAAGCATAATCTAGCAAAATTGATTTTTTTAAACCGTGTACATTTTCCACAGGATGCATTACAATTTGTAGAACAACTCTTAACAATTGTTATAAAGTGTACTGTGTTCTGCCTTGATAAAGTAAGTGGAAAAACCTATCTGAAGAAATGTTTTCAGAAGGGACAGGAGATTAAGATGGCTTTCAGAATGTTGTACAGAAGAAATTTTAAACTCAATATGCCTTGTTCAAGAGATGTAGATTAGAGAGATTTATCTGTCAAGCCATAAATTGAGGAAATCAATGTATCTAGAATGCTGTTTATTAAATATCAGATAAGTTCTTAGTTAATGAATATTTTGTGAACCCTGAACATTAAACAGAAGTTCTTAACAGCAGGTGGTTTTCTTTAAACAAATGTAAATTTTGTAGCTTTAAATATTACGTTATATGGTGGGGATATGTTTTTAAATACAGACAGGTTTGAAAGTGATAGGACGTGTGCACGAAAGAAAAAAAATGTTATAGTTGTCAAACTGTCTCAATTCAATTAGTTGGGATGTAATGCTTCCCTTCAAGTTGTCTTCTCTTGTTGAGAATGTATCTTGAACCTGTTAAAGATCCCAGCCAGTCTTTTATTCAAGGATGTTATGTGTTCCTTTGTTACTGGTTGCAATGCCATGTGGTTCATCAGTTGGCATTAGTCTCACTGTTGTTTACAACCACTTGGCTTAAGTTATATTGTGGAACTTATTACAAATATGAAGATGTAATGGTGTAATTGGACACAGATGTGTGCCAGCTTGCTCTTTTCTAAAGTATATTTTAAGGCATTTCATGAGGCATAGCACTTTAAAGAAGAAATTAAAAAAAAAAATCCACTGCTTTTTGTTTCTTATAAAGGTGATCTCCAGAAGAGTCAGTTATTCATATCGGTGCAGAATAGTACTTTGGAGATTTCAAAATGAAATCACTCTTACTTGGTCTAGTGTGTGCACACACAGGTGTTGAACTGTGTGTTACAGCTGATAGTTCAGTGCTGTGAGTGACTTCGTGGTTCCGTAATTATTTGTTGTTGTTCCAGTGTCTGCCTGGGCTTTGAAAAACTGACTTTTTGGAGACTTGGCCTGAATGCCCCAATGTAAATGGACTTTCCTTGAAGTATTGGGAAGCATATTTGGGTACTGGAGTACTGACTTTGTGAGATTTGAACTTTGCAGCAACAAATGAGAATGAATGTATGGGCAGGTGGAACATGAAGAGTTCATCTTGGGTTTAGGACGTGGCTTGCCCTGTATGCACTGCAGGTTATAGAGAAGTTCATGCGGTGACGGGTTATGGGCAAACACTGTATTGATGGGCAGTCAAAATTGTTGGTATTAAATTTGATTACCATAGCCACAGTTTTTCGCCTTGTAATTTTCTATTAAGATTCTTGAAAATAACAGTGGTTTAGCTATGACTTCAGATCTATTGTGATGATTTTTGTTTAAGAACTTGCACAGAATTTATTTTTTTATGACAACAGTTAGAAGTTTCCCTGGGAAAGTGCTAGTATAATGTTTTTGGTATTATTTTTGTGTCATGTGAATCGTTTTGGTCAAGCTTGTGTGTGTATGAGTATGTATGTATGTATACAGGAAGAGTTTTAAAGAGTCTAACCCAACCCTTTTTCCAATTCTTTAGGGAAACCATCTGGAATCACCGAGTCAGGTTTCTTGAAGACAGAGTCCTGAGCTCCTGGACATCTTTCACCATTTGGAATGCTGGCAAGCAAGGCAAGAAGCTCTACAGAAGCTTGTCACCAGCTAATCGGAAAAAGGTAAGCCATTAAGGATAGGTAAAATCTGTACAAAATAGTTTTCTTCTCCCTCATGTGCCTCCTTGCTTCTTCCAACAAAATGTAGCGACATTGTCATAAAATATTACAAATCCAAAGTACTAGATGATGATAAATATAAATTAGGAAAAAAAAAAACAACAAAAAACACCATACACAATACTCTCAACAGATTTATTCTTTTAAAATGCTGTATGACATTATCCAGAGTGGATGGTGTATTTGTAGTGCAGTGTAAGCGCTCTTGTTCCTGCTTGCTGGTGACTAAGTGCAGTAATAGCTTAGACAGTCTATAGCACTGCTTATGGATGCTGTTGTGTAATTAACTGTTGCAGTAGCCAAGTACCCCAGGTGAATTGAGTAACTATTTATTTGGATGGTATAATACTAGACTACTTTGTCTAAGATTATTCATACATGTATTATATTGGCCCGGTTCCTGAGTGGATACTGCATAGGTCCCTGTCAGATGCTGAGCAATCTGGTTTGTATTATGATGAGCATTAGAACTTAACTCACTTTTGAAAAGCTTGATTGTTTAAAAATAGGGGTGTGGTGTGGGGGGAACAGGCGAGTAGACTGTTGTACATGAGTAATCCAGTTTACAATCAATTGAAAACGTGGAGGTCACTTAGAGTTGGTGATCGGGGATCTTTCTCAGGAGAGGTTTGTCTGAGAGTTTATACCTTAATTTTTATAGCTATTTCTTTTGTGCAATAGCTTTTTTTGTTAGATAAAGGCATTAGGGCTAATGTCAAATGGCTGTTTCTTATAAAGAGCCACAGAACATTCATTTTATTACCAAATGTGTTTTCCTTTCTTAAAAATATGGATGGGAAGACAGAATGACAAATATATATATATATATAAAAACTTGATTTATATGCTTGCAGACAGACCACACACATGTAAAAAGAAAATAGAGGAAATTTGTATACCCATAGTTGAAATTACTGAATAAAAATGGGAAACACTTGCACAGGAAACATGCAACATAGTAATTGAACGTGAATTTCCAGCTTGATATTCCAATGCCATCCTTTTTTCATTGCCATCATGTGGGAGTGGGTGAACTGTACTTTTCAGTACCTAAAGGGGGCTTTTAAAAATACGGAGAGTGACTCTGCTCAGTCAAATAATGACAGGATGAGGGGGAATGGTTTTAAACTAGGAGAAGGGAAGTTTAGATGAGAGGTTAGGAGGGTGGTGAGACACTGGAGCAGGTTGCCCAGAGAAGCTGTGGATGCCCCATTCCTGGAGGTGTTCAGGACCAGGTTAGATGAGGCCCTGAGCAACCTGAACTAGTGGGTGGCATCCCTGCCCATGGCAGGGGGTTGGAACTGGGTGATCTTTAAGGTCCCTTCTAATCCGAGCTGTTTTATGATGAACTGTAGGAAGTAAGATGAAATGCTATGTGAATCCAACCAGTTACTTTATTCAAACAGAACAGAACTGTCCATTAAATGTTTTGAGTTATCTCGGTCATGCAGTGCAGTGTGTACATGACAGGGGGTGGTGGTGGTGTGTTTATCAAAACATTCTATTTTGCTATTAGCTTGCAGAGCACTTTGTGAACTCTTCTGATTTACTAACAACCGTTGCACTTTTCTATTAAATTATAATAATTGGGAAATAAATTCTATGGGAAGAGATGGTAGCCTATCTGCTAATGCTGTGCAAGTAGTGATTTATGAGATGTTAAAGAGAAAACAGACTAGATTGTTTTTGTAGCAGTGTCTCACTGTCTTACGTATTGTTTTTTTTGTGCCAAGCCAAAACAGAGATTGACATTAAGATAGAACAACTCTCTAGCTTTGGGTTACTTTTGCCACCTACTTTAGTAGATGACTCATTTAGGACCTCACATCCTGTTCAGCAAACACAACAATAATTTGAAGATAGACAGATGATTAAAAGGGCAAGAGAAAAATGATTGTGTTTTTTTTGGTGCTGTTTAACTGCTGAAGAACCAAACTTACCTCTCCTTTAGTGAGGAACAACCTTAATTCCCCAGTTTGCAAGAACTGACGGTGTGGTTCTAATTAAATGAATTTGACATTCTTTCCAGCTGACCTTTAGATAACGTTTGCTTTGGCAATGTTGCAGGCCATGATACTATTTTGCTTCTGTCAAGGTTATAATTACACATACTCCAGAATACTTTAGTTTGATATTGTAATATTGCATTGAACGTTAACTCATTAATTACTGGATATTACACCAGACGCGTTTAGCAAGCTTACATGCCAGTTGCAGTTACACATGCCAAATATGACTCATTTTGTCAATGTACTGCAAAAAACTGCTGCTTAAATGTAGTCATGGCCTGACCCTTAATAACTTGTATAGAGTAATTAAACTCTATGCAGTAAGTCTGGCATGTTATCTGAAGTATTCAAAGGCTTTCTTGACGATCAACAAAGATAAATAGCTTCAGAAAGTGACTCAAATCATCCTCAAGGAGATTAGGGTTCTATCCTTTGGATAGCTAACTTCTGATGGAATGAGTGTTGTCTGTAGTGATGAAAACACTTTTAATTTGTTTTATGTTGTTGTTCAGGCTCCTTACAATATCGTCATTGTAACTTCCTAACTTCTATGAAAGCAAGATCCCAAGCCTACACACCTCAGACAGAAATAAAGCTTAAATGATACCCTGAGGTTTCATAGTAAGTCACTGGCAGAAGACTGTATAAAGACATTCCAACATCTCACTTCTCCAAATGCTAATCAAAGAATTATGCTGCTGCAGTTTCAGGAGATAAATTCATAAATTTGCAGCAGGTAATTCATTCGTAGAAGTTTTTATTTTAAATTAATAACAGTAGAAAGAGGTTAGTTAAACTCCATGTTATGCTTTTTCTCAAAAATCCTTCAGGTGTTTTGGGACTAATCCTCAACTCTTGCCAAGTCTAAAATCCAGTATGAGTAAAGCTGGTAAATAGTTGTTGCTTCATCCTTTCCAGCCCTAAAAAAAACAATGACATACTTTCCCTGTCTCAACCTTTAAAGATTTAAATCTTAAAAGATTTAAAAACAAGATTTAAGCTTTCAGATACTCTGTTAATTATGAGAATGAAAGAGTTCCAAAACCTAGCCAGCAGGTGGAGGGAGGTGATTTTCCCCCTCTACTCCACCCTTGTGAGACCTCATCTGGAGCCCTGCATTCAGCTCTGGGGCCCCCACCACAAGGACAGGGACCTGCTGGAGCAGGGCCAGAGGAAGGCCATGAGGATGCTCAGAGGGCTGGAACACCTCTCCTGTGAAGAAAAGCTGAGAAAGCTGGGGTTAAAGTTTCTAGGGAGACCTTATAGTAGCCTTCTAGTACCTAAAGGGGGCTACAAGGAGGCTGGGGAAGGCCTCTTTGTCAGGGAGTGTAGTGACATGACAAGGTGTCCTATTTCATTTCAGTTGGTTTTATACTTTAAGCCAGTTTAGACTCTTGAAAATTTCACTTTTGCTCTGTTTCACTGTTACTACATCCTTTTACTGAGATTCAAGATCTCATTAGAAGATCACAAGACTGATTTCACTGGGAATGTAGGATTTTTTCCTAAATTGTCAGTAAGTACCTATGTAAAGTGTGGGACACATATTCCTAAAAAAATAAAACAAAGAGAGCATACATTTCTAGTATTTTGACATTCCCGTAAACAAAGCAATTATATTTCTTATTCTGACTGGGTTTTTGTGGGCTGTTTGAAAAGTATGAACATGTTGCATGCCGGACAACATTGTTTCTAAGAAAACAAAATTTTGGTAATTCTGGGAAGCAGCAGTCTTTGTTTGTTCATACTCGCTAACAAATTATTACTTCAGTCTGTTTGGAAAACAGTCTGAATTTGAATTATGACTATGTCAGAAGAGAAAAGGACACCTAAGTTGTATTCTGTCTCTTCCTTTAGACATCTGTATGGTGAATAGTAAAATAGTGCTTTGTCTCCGAAGAGTTCAGGCTAATATCCAACGCTCAGTATTTTTACTAAACACTAAAACAGGGAAAAAAAATTACTCAACCACTAGCGGTTTTTTTATGAATTAATTACCAGGATCTCAGTATTCTTAGGGAAATTCTGTTTCCTGGCTGTCCCCTTCTTGATTCACACAGTTGACAGTGGTTCAGTATTAGCATTTCTGCAAGACTGAAGTCGAACAGACCTTTTTTTGTTTAAAACACATCCGTCTTGTCTATAATTTGCAGCTGAAGATGGAAACCAAATGTTTTTGGGATGCTACATATGCCTGGAGGGTTTCTGAGCTGTCTTGTCTGCTCTTTTATTCTCCATCAAACTTTAGCTAAAAGGAGAACTTCAGCATTAACATTTTGTGTCATTTCCGATAGCTGAAAATAGTGCTCAAGTAGCTAACAGAAAAGGAGGGGAAAAGGGCAAAATAAGCATCAGCTAATTAGTGGCATGGAAACAGTACTAGTACACATCCAGCCCATGAAGTTTCTCTATGACAACCCCATGTGCCAGTGGCAAACTTGAAAGCTTCAAGAAAGTGTTTTGTTCGCCCTTTTTCCTAGCTCATTAACCATTTAAAACCATCTGTATTGTTGCATGTTAGTTTCTCTTTACCTTTATCTAGTTTATCCAGAGCAACACCACTAAGCCACGTACTTGATGCTAACCCACAAAACAATAAATGTTTAAGTTTGGTAACATTTTGACTGAAGAATATGAATGGCAGTATGAGGGACTGAAGTGGGGACATACAAAAGCAAAGAAACAAATCAAGGGAAGAATATCACACTCACCTTTACTGTGGAGCAAAAAATAGATTGACAGTGTAAAAGCCAGTTAAGAGAGCACTCAGAAGAAAAGGGGAGAAATTAAATTTAAAAGTCTCAGTTTAGTCTAGGTATAAGGCACCCTAAAGTGCAGCCTCGATTGTCATTTTGGACTACAGAGAATTCCTCATGCTGAAATATGGCAGGGAAATCTTTCTGCTGCTTCCACGCTTGAAGGTACATTTTTTGGACCTCCTCTTTTGTCAGTATGGATTGTGAGGCATGCATATGTGAAAACCTGCTGGTATTACTAAGTTATCTGTCCCAGAGAAATTAGAGACTTGCAAGTAGTTCCCACGCTTATGTCTAAAGGCAGTTGTATGTTGTCTATAGTAAGGGAAATTTTGTACATACTTGGAGGCTAATTTTGCATGTTGGAGTCCGGCATGAATATTCTCTTCAGTAACTTTGGTAGGTACATGTAAAGACAGAAGATAACACAATTTTTGATAGTGTAGTGTTTTTAAATTGATTCATGAAATGCATGCTTGTAATTTAAAGAGATGCACAGCTTCGGTGCATATCAGCCCCCTGATACTAAAAATCACTCAGTGTCTGAGAGCTGCTTGCTAGCTTTGTGGTTCCCCTTGTGGCATACTGAAGATGTTCCAGGCTCTGTGTGTTCCTTGTTCTGTTTGTCATTAGTTGTATCTATTTAAACTTACATTATAATGCTTTCCAGTACTTTGTTTTGACATGAATGGCCAAAATTGATTTAACTGTTGCAGAAATGTATATTAATGCACTTCCGAGGCTTTACACAAGTATGAATGAAAGAATTATAAATAGTAGAATTGGGAGGGTCATTAGAAGTTTAAAATGCAAGAAAGACTGCGTGAGCAGTAGGAGACATGGAGAGTGCAGTAGGGAAGATCTGCTCAGATAAGATTTGCTAGAGAGCTTTCAGACTGTCTTCTTTAAAGATAAATTTTATGAGACAATCTGATGCAGTCAGGAAGGAGAAGATACTATGTGCAAATGACCATGTATCAAGAGAGTTGTCCAGTGTTTCTAACATGGTCTACTAAGATTCTCGCTGTCCCTTGTAAAACTTGCCTCTTGTACCCTGCCACCTACAGCTGCGACACGTCTGCAGAATTTGCTGTGATTTGGTTTCCTTGCTCTCTGTAAATGATCAGTATAGACTTAAAGGCGTATCACAGGTAAAAATGAGGGAGTAAATCCTATGAAGATCATTTATCATAAGAGGACGTTATTAGGCTAATTAAAATCTTCCAGTTTTTCCATTAGAAAATCTGAATGCAATGGGAATTTTAAGGAAACATTCCTTCAGTAGACAACAGGGCAGTAAACAAACCAAGCGTGAAACAATTAAATCCTGTATGATAGTAACACAGCTCAAACAGCTAGCTAATTACAGCCGCACTCTAAGCCCACTCTTAGTGACTTGTTAGGTTGTACATTTGGAGTAGGATTAATGTCCTGCCCACTAATCTCCCTTTACCGTGGGGAGGTCTGATAGTCCAAGCCTGTGTGTCCCCGCACACAGCTGCTGTGTTTATTAAAAAGAACCAGCCAGAGACAGGCTTTTATCTTCCTCAACTGTGTCTTCCCGTGGCAGGGATTTGAGTAAATATCTTATCTTTTGGGCCATATAAACTTTCTCTTATGAGGGAGAAAGCTATTTCTCCTTTTCCCTTACTCCATCGTTAATGTATGTTGAGATCCATATTTATAAAAATTACTTATAGTAATTATGTAGCTGGTGTATAACATAGATAGTGCCGTCTTCCAGTTTTCAGCTAAGAAATAGTAGGCTTTTTTGTTGTTGTTTTGGAATTGTACAGATTGTCATTAAAGTGATGTTTAAAGCAAAAGTATGTAAACATATGAGTATTTCCTTAAAACTGAAGTGTGATCTGAGGATTCGGCAAGCTTCAGTGGTGTCACATTGTCAGCTGCATTGCAAAAGAGCTGTTTTGCTAGGAGGAGGAAAAAGAAAACAGCTTGAGACTGCTTTATAGCTTTCTAATTCATAGTTTCCTCCCTAGAAGACAGTAGCTCATGTATGGATAGATGGTCTTCATAAAAGATGCAAGATAGGAGCCCAGTAATGCTAGAAAATAAATAGGCAACTCTGGGCTAAGCCTAATAATTCAACGTAAATAGCTCGTATAAGCCTGATGCCTTGAGTTTTCCTTATTGGATAAACAACCATGTGCAAGTCCTGTATTTATCTCCAGACATAGATTTTCCTTAATTGGAAAATAAATAGTGTGTGGCAGAAAAAAAGTCGTCTTGCATTTTGGCCACCCACATGGTGTAGTCTGGCAGAAAAATTGCCCATTCAAGTCTGACCTGTTTTTATAGTACTGTAGATATCAGATTTAAGCTGGCTGGTTCCATTGAAAATTATATGCGGAGATATCTTAGCAGTAACTCCAAAAAAGGTTTGAGTCAGCCCTGTCTTCCAAGGGATGTTTGTCACAGACTTACCTGTCTGAGCCTTTTTTCCACTCGGTTGCTGTCAGCAGGAGTTTCGTATGGTGGATTGTGTGGGGCTGGGTCCTCAGCATGCCAAGACAGAGTGCGTAATTTTCTACACATAGTATCATGAGTGATGGCACAGCATGAGATTAATACTGCAATTAATATCTGGTTTTGGTTCTCTAGCACCATTCATGCTAAGAAGAAATCTGCCTACCAGTGAAGGTTTCATGTTAAGTGTATAATAACATCCTGAAGGTGTGGAGTGCGATACTTTCCAGCACAGATCTTACAGCTGAATTCTGTTACTAACATTAAAGTGTAGGTAGCATTTCACTTTACCGTATATCAAAAGTTGTTTTCCTTTTTTAAACGACCTATAGGTGTGTAAGCAGCTGAAAATACAGGCTCAGTTATTGGAAGATTATCATCAGACGGTATTTATACCCTGAACTTTGCTCAGTTGTCACTGAAAGCACATCCTTTTAGAACTGCTAAGTTTTGTTCAGAATTATTTTGTTCAGACAGCTTCTAGGACAGTAAGACATTACTGGTGGACCTGAGTTTGTCTGAGTACTAGAGGATTGTCAAGGTGGTTAATGGACTGAGAGGTGTAACTAACAAACCAGCTAAGTAACCCTCTTTATACCAGGTTTTCCGCCTGCTGACCTTCATATACCTAAGTATCTCTATACATGTAGATGTGTGTATATGTGTATATATAAAAAAGACATGAAGAGGAAATCTTGGAATGTAGTTTATTATGCTCAGTTCTTGCTCATCTACAGTCCATACCATCTGATGTTTCAACTACAATAAACTATAATGGTGGTCAGGGAAAACAGAATGAGGAATGTGAAGTGTATTAATTGATCCAAGCACGGGGGGGGGAAAGAAAACATAAGAAAGATCTCAGTTCTTTGTCTTTGTGCATGAAGGAGTTGTTTGTGATTATTACTGCCTAACCCAGCCTGCATCAGTCAGAGACCTTGTACAATGTCTGTGAACTTCTGGTCCTTCCCTGAATTCCCTTTCGTTTCTTCAGTTACTCATATAGCCCCAAAGTGAAAATGTAATATTTCCTTAATGTTCCTTTCTTTATTTCTTGTGGTGCCTGTTTTCAAGCAGTGTACTTTCTTAGTATGAATGTCTACCTCTAAGGGAGTATTCCCTGGTAGTTTCAGGGACTGTTCTTGCCCACTCTCTGCTCCTTAGCTCTGTTTTCCACACTGAAGACACGTGGAACCCAGTTTTGTTCCTATTCAGCTTTGCCACTGGGCTGTACAGATGGTTCTCTCTGTTGGGAGTGAAATACCAATGTGGAATGCAAAAGTTCAGCATTGTGACACTAATGCTCTTGTGTCAGTGCTCCCCTCTGCTCAAACAGAATAAAGTCACATTAGGTAAACAAAAATTATCTTAATCAAAGGAGGAAAATAGGAGAGAGATGTATGTAGATACTGAAAGCAAGCCAGCCTTTTGCAGCTTTCTCTAATTTAATAAATTAATAAACAGCTGTTGGGCTTTTCAAATTTTCTCAATGTTAAGTGTTGTTAATCAATTTTTAATGCAGCAATTAAAAAGATAGGAAAACTGCGCTCCAGCTATCACCAGAACAATTGATTTCTGCAAGACCTTAAATACCTTAACTGTTCTGCTTCAGTGTAAAAGTTCTGCGTAGACAATAGAAATAGATCCAGTGTTAGCCAGAGGAAAACTTAGCTACATTTATTTTAAAAAGCCTTCCGAAATGTTACTGACAACTTAATGGTTCAAAAATGAGGACACTGTGTATTTTGGATTGCAGGCATTTACTATGCTTGCGTATTTATGAGGAACAAAAATTAAAAAAATCTGAAATATTTGGCAACTAAGGCTATAAATAATGCTTCCATAGCTACAGTAAGAATAACCAAAACACAGCAGCAACTATATTAATTATTTAAGCAAGAAATTTGCCAAAATTTTCAGTTGAAAAAACTCCCAAACCATGCTCACGATTAAGGATGTTGACAGTGATCTAAGTGTATCTGTGTGAAGTACCCATTCGAATTTAGAGAATTCTGCTGTTCCAGGGGTAAAGTAGGAATTCCCCGACTTGGTGTGTTATGGCCTAGAATGGAGGCTGGTATCACCAGAGGATCCGTAGCAGCAGTGCCGTGCGGGAGGCATCCCTTGGAGGTTACGTGCTGGGACTGGGCAGAAAGAGGAATGTTTATTCCTCATGTGTTCCTCCACGTGAGTGAGGAGACCAGTCTCTGTTTGTATTTACTCAGCATGTCACTGAGGATGAAGTTAATGATCTCATAGATATTTTCTCTTGCACAGTAACTTATGCCACCTGTTTTCATGTTCACAAAACCACAATGTGCTCATAGCCAACTGCAGACGCTGCCTATCTCATTAAGGAATACATGGAAAGGACTTAATATATTTTTAAGCTCCACGGGAGGACCATGGTGCATTGCTCTGTTCGTGGTGTTCATTCACATGCCCTTAGCAATACATGGATGTGCTACAGGCGAAATAAATGCTGGCAGCAAAGAATGGTATGAAAGTGTTCTGCTTCTCTTTTGCCAGGTAACTGCATTTTGTGATGTTGACGAAAAGAAAATAACAAGAGGATTCTATACTTTTGAAGAATCTGAGGTTGGTTACAAGTACTTTTGCATTAATTACTGTGATCTGAAATCATTCTGGAAAATGTGATGAAAGAATATCACAAATTTTAAATATTGTAATAACTCATTTTGGTAAGGGGTCTGTGACTAGGGATTAGAGGTGAGGAGGCTTTGTCTGCCTACGAGACTAGATAGCTGGGGATTCATACTGGAGTGTGAGCTGTGGAGCCAGAACCCCTGCCTGTGTTCGTCACAGGAATAATACCACTGCCTCATCTGGCAGGGGGACAGAAGAACTCTCACTGAGTACTGTTGTTTCAGATAAGATATTAAACCAGCATGAAGTGTGATTATTTGGGAATATGTTTTATACAGATGCCTCTAGACCCCACAGGAAAGAACAAGTAGGCATGGGTTAGAGGAGTTACTGAAGCAAACTTCTTATCCTATTGAAGACAAAAAATAGAAGGAAGGAATACAATTTCACAGATCTCCGTGTTCTACTGTTAACAAATGATGTGAATAAAAAGCATTATGGCAAGTCTTTTCAAAACAGGTCAGCTTCCAGGTCTAAGCAGACAGGCAGGAGTACATCACGTTAACTGAAGTCAGCTCAGAAGAACACGTGTATATTACTGCAGCAGTAGTTAGTGAGTCAGTATTCCCGGTCAAAATTCTCAACTCGATTGCTTTCATGCAGCTGAAAGCACTCATTAGCTTCCCAGTATAGAATTTGACTTTACCTCTAACCTCTGAAAAGGTTCTGATGATGGGGTAAAGCACGGCCTTCTCTGACAGTTTGTCTTTTAGGTGGGAGTGGAACTTGACTCATGATGGACTAAAGTCTAATGACTAACTAAAATAAAGTTTCAGTGGTTAATTGTAACCTATCTGTATATTGTAGTCATACTGTACCTGAATAAGACATGAACTGATAGGCTCCTTCGTAGCCTAAAATTGTAGGAAGTGTTTTATTCCGTGGAGAAGGAAGAATGATATTTAGATAGCAATAAAAAAAACATATAGAAGAAAAAAAAAAAAGTTGTCTTGTTGCAGTATTAATTTTGTGGTAGCAATTAGCTCCAAGATCTGGAGTAAAGTTTCATCCAGATTCAGTCCCTAGAAAAGTCGGTGAAAAGACAGTTCTGTTTCACTGGGCATTGGGTCAGGTCCTGGGAGTGCGGTCTTCCGAGAGCGCAATTTGATGTTGTAGCTTGGCCAGTCTGACTGCAGGGGTGGTCTGACTTTGCTCGCTGGCCTCAGCCACACTCTCCCACTGCTTTGTTTATACTGGGTCTAGCAATTTTGTGGCTAAAGGATAAGTTGATTCAGTTAGCTGATCTGGCAGAAAAGAAACCCTGAAATAAGAAGTTTTCCAGCAAGTTATCTTGTGAATCAAATTACCCTGAGGTTGCATGATCCTTGTATCTGATGAGAGTAGGCCTATTGGAAGGGCAGGGGGAAAGGAGGGGCATCTCCTCAGATGCAGCTTCTGATTAGACTAGAGTAATTGTAAAGTCAAATTCTATACTGGGAAGCTAATGAGTGCTTTCAGCTGCATGAAAGCAATCAAGTTGAGAATTTTGACCAGGAATACTGACTCACTAACTACTGCTGCAGTTATACTGTCAGCATAATTGTTACAGATCCTGTGCTCATGTCTTCCCAACACATAACCATCCGCCCAGATCAGTCATAAAGGAGATTGTACTGCAACCTGTTGTGAATCCTTACAAAATTCTACAGCTTGGATCCATGGCGAAGACCCACTTAGGCATAAGCCATTTAACAGCTCCCACTGAAAGAAAAAGATCTTGCTTTTGTATCAGCTTTTTGCCTTGTGCCTCTTCTGATGCTTCTCTGATGGCACTGTAAGCTCAGTAAGCTGATTCAGCTCATTAAAGGGGCAGAACATTAACCAGCCACAAATAATATCTATATGAGCATAACTTGCAATCAGATCAAAGGGGGAACTGTTTGGGGAAAGGGCTAAAAGATAAATAACCTGTAAGAGAGGAACGAGATCTTCTTTCAACAGCACAAAGCTCTCAATATAGATCTGGTATAGTGTACAGCTTCTTTTGGAGAAAAAGCAGTTGTATTGAAAGGTTGTGGTAAGAAAGTAATGGGTATTGAAATGACTGGGAAAATAATGACTGCAAGCATGTGACAAGCTGGACTATAAAGTGAGGTCTCAGAATCAGCTTTTAGTGCTTAGTAGCTCCTAAAACCAAGCTACCAAGTAACCATGTATGCTTCTGTAACCATGTATAAGCTTCTGGCTGTTCTTCTTGCAGGAGAGACCAAAACCAAAAATTCCAATATGTCACTTCAGAGAAGCAACTCCACCTTTCATTATCTGTGTGAAGCTGGTGAGTAGCCTGAGCTGTATGTACAAAATCAGTAAATGCTCCTTATGAAAATTAATTTCTATTTACTGGAACTGTCTTTTCCCAGCTTTTACTAATCGAATGGTCCTTCTATGAAACTGATTGTGCAGAGTATTTCAGGAGGTTAAAGCAGAGGTATTAAGAGAAGTAGTGTTAAGAATAATGAAGGTTAAAGCTTCTGTAAAGGAACTTGGGTCTGTTTTACCTTCTTGCCCAGCAACATTATATGCACAAATGAGGATGTACAGTCGGCCACCTGGCCTCATTTATTCCTAAAATGCTGCAGCCTGATGTATGGCATAGGCTTTGTTTTTTAAATCAGACCTTGAAAGCCATTTTGTTTGGCAATGCCAATTCTGAAGCCTCTTCCATGCTTGACTGTGCTAACCTTCTGATTTCAAATGGTTTAATTGGCTTAATAACATAACTAGAAGATGATAACTGGCAGCAATTTTGCTGTTATATTTAAAATACCACAGCACAGTGTTATAACACAGAAGATATAAAGCAAAACAGCAAATACACTATAGCTGTAAACATCAGTTAAAAGTAACTAAAACTTGTAGTTGTGTATAAACACAGATACTCTTAAAAACTGAGTTAGGTCTGTTCAAAGATAGATTAGCCGACTCGTCTTGTCCAATTCATTTTTAACTGAGCCCTCCCAACTTTATGATAAGCTCTGAGATCGTAACTTGCAGTTGTAAAGCCAGACTGAAGGTACCTTAGGGCATTATCATGTGCTGTTGGTTGATAAACTGTTGGATAAGCTAGTAATATTACAACTAATTTAATTTTTCATACTACATATAATGGTGGGTGGAAGTCCCTAGACAGAACATCTGTGCAACCTGTTATAAAGCACATTTAATTTGTGAAGTCCTTACAATGAGACCATTATACAACATCTTGCCTGAAAACTGTAGTCCATGACTCAGTTGTGATTTCAGTGTATTTTCTGCTTTTTGCCACTGAACATTTCCTACTTGCTGATCAATGACCACTGTAAACCATAGTATCTTTTAAGTAAATTTTATTGGAAATAGAATTTGACCTGCTTGAAATATTTTCTGAAATTATTTCTAAAACCTGCCTTTGAAGCAGCTCCCTTTTAGCTCACATTTAATAAGGCCAATAGCCACTTGTATGCGGGCAGCTCTAGAAACTTCAGGCAGGTTATGTCCTCACTTCTTGCTTTGTGATTGAATTACGCAGTCAGCTGCTACTGAAGTTGGTGCTATAAAAACTGATGGCAAAAATACCCTAGTGAAGAGGTAGATAAAGCTCAGCGTGCATGGATTTTGAGCAGCATTGTACACTGGGAAACTAAGAGTGGCCAAGTGGACAATAATGAGAATAAATTTGAATAATAACATAGCGGAAATCCACTACAGAGCTTACCTTTCTACAGATTTTAAACATAGTTGTTAATAGTATGACCTCAAAGTACACACCCTATGTCATTATACCATATTTTTTGAATATTATGATGACAGAGAATCAGGTTATTAGAAGGACAAAGACTTTATTAATAAAACAAAGAGCTGAAACCAAGTATTTCTTTGACTGTTATCACATGAGAAACCACAGATAACATAAGAAAAAAAAAATTAAAAAAAGTAGAAATCTGTACCAAAGTGTAAAACCCAGTAAAGAGAGAAAAGGACTTAGAGGGTCTAATGAAGCAAGCAGCACTGTTCTGAGCTCCCCTCCTCCAGAACAAAGTTTGCTGAACCCTCCTTATCGCTACCATTCGGCTGTGCAGTTGATCTTGAGGAAGAGTTCTGGCAACCTCTTTCAGCCACTATCATACTTGCTGTATTTTATTACTATTATGAGTCTTTGTGGAGGCAGGCAGAATCCCCTTCTTAGTTCTTGCAAGGTTGTGCCTGGATTGAAATTGCCACATTTTTCAGTTCTAGTTTTGTCATGGAAAGTAGTCTTCTACCAGAACAAAACATGCTGATAAATGTCTGTGGTTTAAAATATTCAGATATCCTGTCTGCAGCAGCTTTCAAACTTCTAGGTCTGACCACTAAAGGAAATGGTTTCTAAACGGGCTGAGAAGCACAGAGTATTGAACTTTCATTCATCTGTGTTGCTATTGTGCAGGCCAAGTAAAAGCCGCGGGTTAGTCCTTGCTGTGTTTATAGACTGAACTTGCCTTGCTTTCTGTGCAGCCCGCTTCTGAAGGAACAGCTAAAACCAAAACTTCCAGTTCTTTTCTTTAATCACCAGTCCTACACTTCCCCTTCCAGCATGCTTTTTTCTAAGTGGGAGCACAGAAGAAAGTAGGAAAGGGGATACGTACATAAATATTAAGATCACATAAAATGAAAAACGTTTTATACTTGTGATAGCTGTTTCTGCCTCTCTGGTGCTAGTCACTGAGATTTATCAAATGGAACTGTGCAAAAAAAATGTTGCTGAGTTAAAAGTCCCAAGATGATGCAAAAGATATTATCACAATTTGAAATGTAAAATTCCTCTGCAAAAAGGCTGCTGTCCTTGTGTGTACCACGTGGGGAAAAACAATTAATGTGATTGCGAGGTTACAGATTGTCTACATTTTCAAACTATCTAGGGCAAGTTTACCCAGCTCTGTTTCAGGTCATGCAGCAAGCATACAAAAAACGAAAACAGTGAAAATGACATTTCTTGTGCAGACAGATGCCAATGCAACCCATGCAACGCAGCTGGAGGCTCCCCTTGGAATTGGTTCAATGTTGTGTGGAATGGTTGGACATTTCTGTAATGCAGAACTGGCTGCACAGCCTCTTAGGCAATTTCTTAAACAGAAGTCATTAACAAGCTCCTAAACATTGCAGACTTCTGAAGTTATTATTTACCAATATAAAGTTGTCAACATCCTTCTGAGGAAGAAATTGTTCTGGGGCCTTATTGTTTTTTGTTTTGCCATTCACATTTTTAGTTTTGGTACAGACAAAACCTGCCTGTTTATAAGCAGTGCTAAGAGGGTAATTTCAAAGATTAGATATGTTTATTAATTAAGTGGGTTGTTTGCAAGAAATGATTCTGGCCATGTACTTGAAGCAGTGTTTGCTTATTTATTTTTTCTGACAGTCCTTTGCTAGCCCTGGCATTATTTCGTTGCCACATAAAATCATTTTTGAAAAAGCAGTCGTTCTGTTTTTGCTCAGTTTAAAAAAAAAAAAAAAAAAAAAAAGCTTTTAAAATGGCTTCACAAAGGCTGTAAGCTGGAAGTCTGTGCTCTCTGTGTGTGTGTTTTGAAGTTTTTGCTCAGGAGCATAAAATCGTGGCTTTGGCTCGTCAGAATTGTGTAGCAGCCTGCAGTACCACTTCATCTAAGGGTTTGCACTGTGTATTTTCTCTTGCTTTGAGGTAAAAGCAAAATGCTTAGAAATCACTTATTGTACCCTGTTTTGGCATGAATTCCAAGTGCTTGAAATGAAAGGGATTTTCTAGTATTCTGTCTCAGTAATTAAACTAGTTGGATTGTGGAAAGTTTTCAGTAAATTCACTGTTAGACCAGTTATTGTAAAACACTGCCTTGTTCTGTCAACTCAGTCTTGCGCTCTGGGAATGGAAGATTTGTTTTTAACTCTCCTGCTTGATATCACATCTGGGCTCATTTTTATTTTTTAACCCTTCTTTAGAGCAGGCTGATTGTTCAGCAAGCCAATCAGAACTGTTCCATACCCTGTGTCCTAACTTGGGTAATCTCGGGTTTATGAAATCATTACTGGAGACTAAAGGTCATGATCAATGCCTGCATTTCTAACTAGAATTCCCTGTTGACACGAGTGGTCAGTTTTGCACATGGACCAATGGCAATTTGAGATTTGAAATTAATTGCAAAACTAGGACCCGGTCCTTCAGAGAACTTAAATACTGTCAAGTATTCTTAATTTTCAAGAAGTAAAAAAAATACTCAACAGCTTTCCCACTCAGGGCCTTATCAATCAGCTAAGAGACATGTTACCTAGGTGAGGCCCTTGCTTAAAAAGTCTACTGCTATGGGCCCTTTGCTGCTCTTTGACAATTCATTAGCTATTACCACTGTTCTTTTAATTGTTGCTAAACATCGGAGCTCAAGTAATTTTATGACGGTAGTGGTTTTTGGTGATGTTCTGGATCAGATAATGTTGTCTTCGTATATTTTTGCCTTACCAGTGCAAAAAGAAGATTGTGGCAGGTAGATGAGAATGGCGTAGCAGAGAGGGGAGGTAATCTCTGCTCTTGAGGCATAGCATGCTGATTGAGCAAGAGATTTGAAATATACTCATGCAGCGTTTCCTTTCATGTATAAATTCAAGCAGGAGAAACAATGAAGAAGTTTGGAGGGGACAGGTCAGTGTGTTTTGTAGTTGGACTGACTGTTGATTGAGATAGCCTTGTTCCTTGAATGGAAGGTTTCCAAGAAACAAACACCCAGCTACTACGTGAGTATGTTTACAAGCAGTTCAGCTGATGGGGCCAAGCTGGGAAGCTGGATAAGCCAAGATGTCCTCTTATATACATTAGAACCCTTAGTTTCTGATCGCAGGTTTATAAAAGATCCCTGAGCAATTTCTTTTGAATCCAGTTATTCCAGAATGCCAAAATCCAGCATTCCAGCTCCTTTAATTCCAGTTTGGGTTGGATTCTGTTTTCATAACTTCCTGTCCTGAACACACGCAGTACTGGTGTGCCTTGTTACAACTTCAGTATGGCAGCTCTGAACCAACCAAAAGAGTACTGAAGTAAACTTGTTTACCTACACCTAATAGTTAATTCATTTTTTGTGACATTCCTGGAGTAGAATTAAGGAGGAAGCCAGTAGAGGAGGCCAATGTAGAAATACTCAGAAACATTGACATCGACACGTTTTTGTAATGACATCACAGTTGTGTTAGGGTCTGTTTCACTGCCTTCAAAAATGATTCATGGAGCAAACGTATCAGGCTCCTGCTCAGCTAATGCAACAGCAGCTTAAAAGGAAACACCTTTACCTACACAAAATATTTCAGTAACTTGATGAAAGGTTTGTTTCATCAGACAGGCTAATCATCGTTCAAAATCTACAAAATCACTGTTTTGGCAACCTCATTCCCTTGGTCCATTCTCTGCAAATTGGGAAACAAAATGCTCCAGAGTTGCAGATGTTTATCTCCAGTGCTCCCTCAGTGTAGTAGTTTCCTGTGTTCTTGACTGCACTGGAATGAGTTGTTTAACATCCCCCTATACACACCCAAAGGTACTAATGTGAAGACTAATTTCTCACCGTAAACTTAATTTTTGAATGGAAACATCTCTAAGCCTTGTTTTATTTATGTTTAGCTCTGCAAATTGGACTTTCTGTCTGTGGTCTAAAAAAAAAACAAAAACAAAAAAACAAATTACCAAAAGCTGTTACAACCTGAAATACATTTGTCTGTTTTTTTTTTTTTCCCCTGTAGGATTTAACAGGAGGAGCATTTGAAACAAACTTGAATATGCTGAACTTGACAGAAGGGGTGGATTATTATCATTTTAACTAAAAACCAAGGTAAGGCAGTGACATTGAAGCTCTGTGTGTTATTCTGTATGTATCTGTGTGTGTAGGAAGCCCCAGGTGTTCAGAGGTTTAGATCTTTTTGGTAATTTGTGCCTCATTAATTTAATCCTTGCTCTGAGTAACTTCCTTTTAAGGGCCCTCCTAGTTACGCCATTGATAATGGTATTTACTCATTTTACTATTGCACAATTGTCTACCAAACTCAGTTTGATTGTTAAATTGTTTTTCTAATTCAAGTAATCATCAAATACAGGCCATAAGCCTACAAGAGGACTGTTACCATAGGGAAGGCTTAAAAATGCACCAAGCAAAGCCTGTAACGAACAGCCATGTAAAGAGAGGTTTCTGTCAAACACTGTTTGGGGCCCTCAACTGTTCCCTGCTATTGGCTTATTCCCTGCTACAGAGAGCAACAGCTGGTGCATGGCGAGGTAAAGCTCTGCCTACTGCTGGTACTGATATTAAAGCCTCTGGTTCAGGACTGTGAAAAGTAGCACATGTATCATCATTTGGTAGCCAGATGATTATACGTGGAGATGCTCAAAATTTTCACTGGACCATCTTAGTTTTTCTGTTTTTGTTTTGAATAAGCTGGCTTTGCCAATGTAACATGTTTTCCTTGCAACAGGGAGCTAAAAGCATAACTTTGCAAGAGCAAAATGAAAATTTCTAGTACATTCTATAAGGAAATTAATGACCCTGCCTAACACCATAGGCTAAGGGATCGAGAGTAAGTGCAAGTGGCCCCTTCGGTGCATACGGCCACTGAGTACGCGTTTGTTTAATAGTTCATCAGAGAACAACACCCATCTGCCCTGAATTTCATCTGCCAGTGCAGGTTGCATGTATACTCAAAAAGTGTTGAATAATGTAGTTTTTCATGTATAATTATCTTCTTCAAAGATAAAAAATCTTAGCGACACAGTGATACACTCACATTAGACTATTGCTGCTGTTTGTAGCAGGTACTTCACAGAGAAAGTGGTTTGGTTTTAGCTCTTCCTCTTGAATTTTAACTTACAAATGTTCATAGACGTGTATATGTATATATTTCTATTCTACTTAAAGGGCTGAGATAGCAGGATTAACTAAAACCACAAAAAACAAGATATAATTACAATATCATGTTACCTGTGCATTTGCCCTACAATCACAGTAGTCTTAAAGATAAATGTTACAGCCATTTCATTTTGTAGTCAATAAGGAATATTCTGAATTCCTAGCAGTACCCTGAAGTACTGATTCACCTCTGTATTCTTCAAGGAAAAAAATCAAGTTTCAGTCCCTAGAGCTACTTTACTACATTTGCTTTATTTAGTTATAGGAAGAGCTATTAGACGATGCTTTGACATTAGCTGAAGCAAAACCTGGATTTTTTGTTTGACTTTGGTGCAAGAATGCCATATTTATCTACAGCTATAATGAAATTTTCCTGAAAAGTAAAATATCAATAAGCATGGCCATTCTTATCTTGAGAAAAAAATATTAAGAGAGGAGTGCAGCCAAGTCAGGTTTAATACTTGATGTGTGTACAGCAAGCACAGGTTGAATGGCTCCATTCAGAACTGTAGGAGTGTAAATCATTGACAGCAAAAAACAAACCAACAAAACAACAAAAACCAAACCAACACTAAAACCCAACAGGTCAATTGCGACAGAAGTATGAAGACAAACTGCCATCTTGTGGCTACAGATAATGAATTTAAAAACGGAGAACATAATGAATCTTTGTTGCCTTCCTATGGCATATCTGCACAATGCTGTAAGACATAATCTCTGCCTCTTATTTTTGTTAAACAGTGTACTTCGCAGCTCATGCTGAGAATCCAGTTTGTCAAGATGCCGTAGCACAAACTCTTTCAGTCCTAAGGGCACCTGAACCAAGAGCTTCAGTTTGCAAAGCAACAGTCAGTGCCTGCAACTTTATTGTGCTGAACTCTACAAGAGAAAGAAAAAAGAGGTCATGTGGAGTAGCATGTATTTTACCAGCACAATATGTAATTAAGTAAACTAAATGGAGAAGAAAATGTAGAAATGTAAAGTTAAATTTTTTACAATCCTTTTTTATCACTTTACGTTTTTAATCATCCATCAGTAAGTATTATTTGTACATTTTTTTAAAGGAGTAACTGTTGATTTCAGCTGAAATTAAATTAATTCACCTTTTCTTAATGTTGTGCTTGGGTTTCTCTATTGCTGTTTCTCTGTTCTCAGGATACGTGAGCTCTTAAAGAAGAGCAGTGTTAAGTACACTTGGTTGGGCACCAACCGGCTGCTAGCAGGGACATTGGAGAGCTAGGAGAAGTCCTTCAAGTTCAGCAAATATCGCTCTGAGTGAACTCCAACAGTTCACAGGACAGGTTATGTGCAATACTGTGAGGCTGTACATATTCTTCAAGGACTGAGGCTTTGTTGCAGGTAAATGAGCATTTGCTTGCTAGATTGAATATGTGCTGCTAAAGAAACTCTGAAATCTGCTCTAAGAATGCTATTTATATTCTGCCTTCAGTTCTTCTTATAAGGAAATTCCTTCTCTCTATTGCTGGAGTAATTTCATAAAGGAGAAAGTAGTTTGTCCTGTTGAATTTCATCACCTACAACTGAAATATTTCCTGCTGTTATCCATAATTAAGTGTTTAAGAGAGGAACATGGCAAGACCTAACTACTTTCCTTCACTGTTATCTTGCTAACTGAGCCTCCACATCTTTGAACTTCTCCCAGAATGGAACATCTCCCAGACTCCTATCAAAGTAGAACATTCTGTACTTCTTGAAGTACTGAGCAGATGGGCACTTCCAAACCATCTGCATTGAAATGAAAAAGGATCTACACAGACCTATCATCTTTCTTGCTATGAACGTGTTAACTCCAGAACATATTCTCCCTCTTATGCAGTGTTAGAATTGTGAGACTTGCACATTTCATGTTATAATTCTGCTGTTTAAATTGACTGGGAAGCTTTTATCCTTTTTTCTTTCTCCAGAAAGGGCAGACAAACAGTTTTTGAAACATCTGTGCTGTATTATTTCATTCTTCAATTTTGTCTGAGTAAGATGTCACACTACAAGTCTGGAATGCTTTCAAGAAATGGAACTGGAGTGGCTTAAGAGAACAGTCTTCAGCAATTCCATATATTCTGTAGTTAGCTGTGAGGACATTTCTAGGTGTGCATTTTATATATTCATGAACCTCTGAAGAACTGCATCTGTTGCACGGAAGATACACACTGTATTAGTAGAACAACTGATCATTACAAAGAAAAAAGCTCAGGTGCACATTTCCATACTTTACCTTGGATACTAGCTGTGGTTTGGGCACTTTCATGAGATCACAGAGGAGGTTGCGTTTCTCTCTTACTACTGTTAGTTCAGCTTCCCTGCATGAGGAAATACCTTCTAGTTAATTCAAAAACAAAAGCATGAAGTTGGCTGCATGCATACAACTGCTTAAGCTACCTGTTCACTACTATATCACTATGCAGGTGTCTATTCTTTCAAGTACATTTCAAACTAGAAGTTCATGTTGTGTTCTTATTTTAAGAATAATGTAGCCTTTTCATGGCATTTGAAGCCAGATATACCATAAATACACAAGTCTTCAAGAACTGTCAGTTACTAGTAAAATGAGTAAGACTATTATATTTAAAAAACAAAACCAAAACATTTTTTTCATAGAAACTTCTTGATTAGAAGTTCACAAACTTGTTCTCTAAATTTATAGCTTCTTTTTTGATTTAGAAAATATCACATCAAGAATTAAACTAAATGTCACTAGATTTGGAAAACATTCTGCTATCTAGGAAAGCTTTCTCTTGAAGTAGAAAGGATCAGACCAAATGCTAGTGAGTATTTTAAAAAGTTACTGAAATAACGTGGTGTTTACAAAACAACTGTTGTTTTTCTTAAACAACTGTTGTTTTTCCTAAACAGCCAGTTACAAAAAGCTCCAAAATGATAAAAATCCAAACACACATCTCTTCCATGTTGCAAGTATCTATCACTAACTGAAATGCTGTGATCCTGCTAATATTGCTCACTTATTCAGTAGATTTGTTTTTCTTAAGTGGTGAGTGTAAGTGAGCTATTAAAAATTAACTCTTAGCACAGAAACTGATTCCAAAACTATGGAGAAAAAGCACAAAGTAAAAATTAATTAAAAATAACCTTGAATATACATGTATTTCCCTTTGGACACCTTGGACAACTTAGTCTTAGAATCATCTAGGTTGGAAAAGATCTTCAAGATCGTCAAGTCCAATCATCAATCTGACCTACCAAGTCCCATCACTAAATCATGTCATTTGTCACATTTAATTTTGGAAACCTTCCTATAGCTAAACAAAAAATATTATTTAATTTCTTTCAACTTGGAATTACAGAATCGTATGATAAACTCTTTGTAGTTCCAACAAAAAGAATGTTTCAAATATGTGTATTCCAGAAATGACCGCCTTCCCCAAATATCTAATACTCATTAGGCTTCCTGATGTTAATGCTTATTTTAATTCTGAAATTACCGTGATTGCTTTAGCACTGAGAGCACTTGAAAATAATAAGCAGCTCTCTATGACACTCAGCAATGACTTCAAATACCTTCTTTTGTAAACAGTTCAAATCTAGTATGACAAAACAAGATTTAAGTAAATTGGCTCTTCACCTTTACTCTCAGTGCAACGGATATGTTGCAACTGGGAACTTAGAGCAAGCCCTGAGCTAAAAGGGAACGAAACAAGTAGCCAGTCACACCTTAAAAATTACAAGGTGAAAAAGATTTATTTTTGTCTGAAATGGCTTATAGGAAGTAAATTTCCTTGTTTTCATGAGTAACTCATATATGAGTAGAACCCTCCTACTCTGTAGCAATTTTGTCTGTTCCACTTCTAATTTTGGTATTGTAAACATCCCTTTGTGACACCAGCAACCTAATCCTTCTCAATTATTTGTTTTTTTTTTTTCTGTAGCAAAGAAACTTTTAACTTCTGAGCAAGCCTGCTCTTAGTTCAGATTCCACAAGCAAGCATTGAATCACACTGGACAGAACGCTAACCATCAATACACACTTAAGCAAGTAAGCAGAATAGTGGATAACCAGTTCTTTCAAATCTGAGACTGTTTTTCTAATTTTGTCCTGAAAAATTCAGAAAAATGTGAAGCAGCCACCCCTTACAATGACAAACCTTAATTTTGTTTCCCAAGTATAAAGTTATTAAAGCTCAAGCACTGAAATAAACTGAAAATTAAATACAAGTTAAATGATGTAAACATGCAGTCTGAAAATATGTAAACCACAACATTACAGTAGACTCATTCTTTGAAGACATCTCAGTTAATTTCCATGAAATGTCAATGAAGGAAAAAGCCACTTAATACAACAATTAGTAGGATATATATTTTTGATATCTGGCTGTTCTTAAAAACACTTTCTTATGTATTAACTTTGACTACTGTTTGAGACTGGGTGTTGGGCAAATGGACCCATGACCCAGTCATCTGTAATAAGGAAAAATGTTTAAAAAATATTGAAAAGGGAAGCTAAACTAATTATCTTAAAGTTCTGTATTTCCTCAAACGTCCAGGGCATGCAGTCTTACATAAACACTTCCAGTGACTGCAGAAAACAAGCAGACAAACAAAAAAGCCGAAAGTAGGCCTCCTCCTGTCACCTTATGGATTTATTCATTTAGCTTCTTTGAAGTAAGAAGTCTGCTAAAAACAAAACAATACTCAGTGTCAGCACTCCAAAGGTGCTGGCAGAATGAGCTCCTCCTGACAGTAAAAGATAACCTTGCTGCTTTGTTGAATTCTGCTCAGGAAGAATGGGACACTTTCTCCTTGCCCTTGTAAGAAGGTAATATTAATGGTAACAGCAGGTAAATAAATAAATAAATAAATAACATTATAGAAAAAAGTAAATGTCTAAACTGCTTCCAATTATAATTTGCAGGGCTACAAAGATAGTAGTTATTTTGAGCAATTAACATTTCATGGGAGATTTGATCTGTTTTTCTCCGGCTTGCACAGATCCTTCCCAAAATCCTGCCTGTATTCATAAATGCCAAGAAATTGTGCGATTGAAGTCTGCCTGTTTGCACAGCTCAGTTTCTGTGTTCCATGGAGAATTTCCAAGATCTCCTCCCTCTCTATGTTGGTAGAAAAATACAGATATTTTACTTTAGTGTTGGTATTATACATAGCACTTCTAGTGGCACAATATAATAGACCTTTAGAGGTCTCTTTTCACCAATGGCCTAAAAGCTATAACTAGCTAAAACTAAGGTATTGCTCCATTGCAGCTTCCTTGCCACCAGCCTTCAAAGACATGGATATCTTGTTTCAACTTCATTGGGACAAAAATTATTTCAGCTCTTACTATTATCTAAGAACAAATTCACTTACCAGTTGGTATCGCTGAGTATGGTCATAACCTCGTCCATAATGGCAGGATCCACTACATCGCTGTAGGTTATCAACATTTCATAAACCTGACTGGCTGTTGTTTTCCGTATCTACGTGGAAGAGGCAAGGGAAAAGCTTTAGTAAGTGTCTAGAGTCCTGCACAGAAGAGCCCAGTGGGCATTTCCATTCATATTTGTGCTGGCTGATGGAGAAGGGATGAGGGTCAGAGAAGAACCTTTTGAAAAATATTTCCTTTTCAGATTTGTCCCTCAAAAGGAATAAATGCAAGCAGTCCTTAACGCTTTCCTCATGGGAAGGTCTGCAAACATTCCCAGATAAAACTCCTGAACACCAAAGCCACAGAAAGCTGTTTAACGTAGTTGGCTGCCATAGCAGCCGTCAATCTGGGCTACTAGGTGAACACAGTGAACACAGACCCTCTCTCAAAAACTTCATCAAGTCAAAAATAAAATATTTCCAAGGCCTAAGATTGCTATCCCACATAAGATCTTTTCTTACACATACTCAGAAGTAGTAACTCATTTTTATGCCATTTCAATTACTCACATGAAAAAAGTAAATTTCTGATGAATTTTCCTGACAAAAAGGGCAAAACTAGTTCTTGAACCAGAACCACAACTGTGTTGCTACTGTCGGAAATGTTGCAAAACCAACAGTAATTTATCTGATCGGAGCCCTCAGGACCTAATGGTGAGCACAACTTCACAGTGCTGGGCTTTGCATAAAAGAAATAAACAAGGTAGGTATCTAAATTGCTTCTAATGTAAAAGTAGGGATGGAAGGTGAAAAAACAGTATGCAGAATAGCCAGCCAGGCATTCTGCCAGCATCCAGTAGCCTGTTTAAGGTGGCAGCATTGCAGAGAGCAAACCCTTGAGAAATAAAACCTATTATATACATTAATATCTCTTTCAGGTGCATTAAAGCAGCATTGCTAAGTTGTTGTTGTTGTTTAACTTCTAATTATTTTAAATAGGATTGTTGATAATATACAATATCTTCCATACTTACTACAGGAAATGGATGGCAAAGGAGGAGAAACAATTGAAACAGAACTTTCTCTCTCATGTCTCCTTCAAATTGAATCAGGCCACAAAACCTAGAAAACATACAAAAATATAGACAAAAAAAAATCTTGAGTGATATCTCTTGATATTATCACTGCAGAAGTACATTTTGTGGATCAGAGTGAAGATGTGTATTAGAAAAAATGATGGGGAGAGAGGAGGAAGCTTTGCTGCTCCTGAGAAATCTCAGCTGATATTCTGTGTTGTGGGAAAGCAAACACTGAGGGTAAGTGTACTGAAATTCTTAAGGGTTACCGAGATGCCACACACTTATGCCAAATACAAATATGGTTTTAAAGCTATTGACAGCAGCACCAAAGTCTGTGCACTAAAAAAACCCAACACATTCTGGATCAAGCTCTCCCATAGAAAACAAAAGCTGAAGGTAGGATCTTGTATGACGCAGGTAAGAGTGAAATAAAAATAGAAGGCATGGGTTACTTTTCATTTTAGGCTTTCCTGCACTCTCAGAATAGTGCCAAAAAAATAATTAAATCAATAAAGTCATTACTTGAAACAGTTATACCTCAATAATTCTGCCAATGAACATTTCATTCAGCTTTGCAATACTTTGACTTTTTTTTTCCTCCTCACCCAGTATTGTTTTTCCTGACTGAAACATTTTTGGTTTGATCTCTCTGCTATCCAAAATGAGTTAGGTTGTTTTTTTTTTTTTCTTTCCTAAAATAGATAATAATTTTGCTGGTGTTTTAAACTATTTCTAGTGTAACTGTTAAGGTTTACTCAATTACATATATTTTTTACTGTCAGTATGTGTGAGTCAAGCTCTGCAAGCAAAAAGCAAATGACTGAATGCATCTTTAAGAATGTCAATAACAGTTCAAAATTAGTTATTTGTCAACAACAGTTCAAAATTAATTTTTTTTCAGATCTTTCACGTTTTCACCTCAACCACACAGAAGATACACATAAAACTCACACAACCTTATGTTACATGTATCTGCGTGCATTTTTCATTTATGTTTCACATCAAATAGACTTAGTATGTTCTGTAGTTAAATTTTCTTCACTCCTTACAAACAGACAAAAGATTACTTTCTTTGTTTATTTCATCAACTCACACTCCTATGCTAGAGCGAAGTTTCCGGATGTCTTTGGATCTTTTGATCTCTTCTTTACAAAGGTTAAATAGCTTCACTGGAAATGGATGGCTGGAAATGGGAAGGAAAAAAAAGGATATGAAATAGATTTAAGCAGAATTTTAAACACATTTGATGATTGTAAAGATGCCAAATTAACATTCAAAAGAGAGGAAAGATACTACCCAGAACTGTTTGTGAATACTTTTTCCAGAGCAGCACACCCTGCTTTAGGTGGACTTTTGGTAAAGACACAGGCTACTTTGGCTACCACTTGTGAACATTATTTTAATTTTTTATGGAAGCAAAGAAATTAGTATTAATTGTTGGTATTCCTACTACCTGTGTGCTGAGGAGTGAACTACCTTTATCCAAAGTGAGTCAGTATCTGCATGGTAATCAGCTAGCCACAGCTTGCATTTACAGCAAAGTATGGTACAATCTGAAATACTATGCCAGGAATTAGAACATTCTATAACCAAATAAAAATTATTCAGTTTACGGAACATTGTAGTGCCTTGGTGGTTCCATAAGGCCTTCAATCAAACTTGGCACAAAAGGGGATAGACACTGTTCTTACATACTCTACCATCTCACAGCCTGGATTCCTTAGTGATGCCAGACAACATAATTAAACCCAGCGCTTACAGTTCTGTTAAGTGTACAAGTCATGAAGCCATCTTTAAATATATTGAGCAAATTCTTCTTTTTCTACAGTCTGGGAAATACCATTCTTACAGCTTTCCCAGATACTCATACAAACACAAGTATTGTTATGATATTTCAAGGATCTAGTAAAGAGGGAATGTTACTTTTATTTCAGAACAAATTATTTAATCTTTTACTCATTACACTCAAAGCTGAAGTGCCATAGATGCAGAAGAAACTATTTTATATCTGTCTAGTGCACACAATTACTTCTAGAATGCGTATTTTGGAAATTTCACTGTATTGTGTATGAAAAACAGAAAGCAGAAATCCTAACATTTATTTTCTGCTACTGTGATTCAAAACTGTGGATATAAATTATTGGAAAAAAACTGTCACGTAATCTGTTGAAAAATACAACATTTAAAATGAATTAAGATGGTTACAGGACAAAATGTTTTGTCAAGTTAATGCACCTTATTATACGTAGTTTTCCAGACAAGAGAGTTTTTGTTTTGTTTTTACTAGACTAAAAAAAAAAGGCATATCCTGGCAAATGCTGGTTTGTTGTTCCATTTTTTAACCAAGTCGTTAATCTATTAGTCTAAAGAATGCTGTCTCTACTGCTGTCTCAGTATCACTGAAAAAAAAACACAACAAAACAAAACACACTAAACAAGTAAAGTTGCCACACTTTCAAAGTTGATGATGAGGTATCATAAGAGATTTTCAGAGCTGATCATGGCTTCCAGAAGCAGAGTCTCAGGAGGGCTGATTTAAAATATTCCCATCAGATGCTGAAAGAGCAAATTCCTCGCCATCCACTGCCTGCAGCCATGTCAGCACTGTTTCCAGATTTTAGAGTATGAGAAGTGCAGAAAGCACGTGCATATGAGACACATATGCATATTCTCACGTGCACATGAGAAAGACATATACACGAATGAGACTGCATGTGTCTGAGGACGTGGTTTGCCCAGGTGGATGATGGAGAGAGTGTCCCCTTTCTGAAGGGAAGGTCTATTTTTTTCTTACCTTGGTGACATTTCCCTTCCTTCCACTCCCCCATGATTACACAAAGACATTTTGTAGACAACTAATTACAATACCTGTAATACATGCCTGCCTTTCAGCACAGGACAACAGCGACACAGTGAATTAGGTGAGATTTTAAATTGGTTCAACAACACAGACATCACTGAGGAGAATAGCAACAAAGAGACCAATTGGAACAAGAGCATCTGGAATAAATTTGGTACACATAACCTTAAGTGCAGCATTTTGTGTTTAAAACAGATGCACTTTCCTTTCTGTCATTTGCCAATTTCACATTTGTAATAACTAAACCTAACCTACGTGTGATCTCAAATGACTCAAATAGCTTGGCCTCTTTAAAGGAAATTGAGAAAATTCCTTCTCCTGTGTGGGCACAGTGCCAGCAGAAACAGAGTCAGCATCTGGGGAAAAGGGATCAGTCTAAAGTCTTTACATTATGTAAATTGGGCACACGTGGTACTGCAAAAACGTACGGTTTTTTTTTCCTCCTTGAGGTGAACTCAGTTTGAACAGTTCAGCTGACATCACCTGGGTGGCCATAAAACCAGAGGACAGCCACTGCCATGCTCTTTCATGCTACAGTTTATTAGGCAGTAATAGCGTAACTACTTTAAAAAAAAAATCCACAGAAGCATATAACATATCATTCATCTGAGATCAGCAGGGACATACCATCTTACAGTGCTTTGTAAGACCACCAGCAAGACACTGCATCCACAGTGCATGACCTCTGCTGCGGAATGCACAGATTATGGACAGGTAAGAAACGTCACTTGTATTTGTTCCGGAGAGCATCAGGTCCTGAATTATCATTCAAAGGCTATTCCGTTCACATTTACAGGGCAATGAGTACTATGACACTGATCTTACAGTACTTTCCAAGGAACCAGCAATATACCCAGGCTCTTGGCAGACTGAACTTCTGTCATGATCATTCACTGCTGAGGCCAGCAGAACGTCTCCTGCAGCTACCGGAGCCATAACCAGAAAATAATGCTTCAGTGCCAGTTCTGCCAGTGGCTTTAGTTCGCCCCCATTTACTCTCCCTGCCCCTTGTCCTACTACCAGCAGGGAGCTGACAGTTACCACTGTGTTTTCAGAGTGGCCACTGGTGAGTTGATGATTGATGTTGCTGATTGGTGATGTTGATGACAGCTGTGGTTCACGTATGCTGCCCTGTGCCTGCAGTGGTCGCTGCAAGCAGCTAATGCTGCTCACACTACTATGAGCACGGCTTCCCAAATTTGCAGTGCACACTGAGATGAAATTATGAGTTTTCAGGTTGTGCAATCACAGAGAAAAAGTCTGGGAATGTTGAAATGTAGTATCACAAGAAAATATTATTTCAGCTGAAACATAGTTACAGAAGAAACTGCTTTTCAACTGAAAACCACTGCTCTGTCTGGGCAGGGAGGGCACACTGGGCAAGGAGGAGTAGCAGGTGAATGCCTGCAGTTTCACACACACAGTAGGGCTATATACACTTGCACTGCTGCCAAAAGAAATGGTTTCCCTCCCCCTCACCACTTTCCTAATTTTGGCACAATTCGTAAGCATGCAGCAGAACAGATCGAGGAACTACTGCAAGCTGAAATTTACTGGAGGAAGGGCATTTTTAACCTGGAGCAGCTCCCTAATGCCATTCATGATGCAGCAACACAAAACACTGCTGCTAGTTCCAGGGAGAGGAAAACTCCAAGGCTCGATGGGCAGGTTTATGCCAGGTAAGGATGAGTGGGAAGTAACAGCCTGAAAAATGGCAGACAGAACTTTTCCTAGTACAGCCTCAAACTAAGCCAAACACAACAAAGGCTGCTTCTGAAAGCCTTTTGATTACCTGGGTGCTAGGTATTTACTCCAATAAATGAACCTGCTGGCAGGTTCAGCAGGGCCCTGACAGAGCAATGAGCCCAGCATGACAACTGCAGATTGCCTTAAACACAAGGACTTCAAACAGAGGAGCAACACCACGCACTCCGCCGCTGTACACAGACTGCTGAGAGAACAGCAACACTGCGAGCTTCACAAACACCAATATTCACCTACAGAACTATGTCAGAAACGTAACGCTGTGCATCGAAACGATCCTAACGATGTGCATCAGCTACAGCTTGAAGGGGCAGGAAACTAGACTGCAAGTTGCACCTCTGTGAGACAGGAGTGACACCATGTGGCCCTTTGCTCTAACAGGAGCACTGAGCTCCTAATTAACGTCAAACTAATTCAGCCAACAGCCATTAATCCTGTTGCAATTAAGCCATGTAGGGTATTACTTGTTCTGGATTGCTAATGTTTTATTATATTAAAAAAAAAAAAGTCCCAGTATACTGCACAGTATCTATTTTTAACCTCAAAATGCATTTGCAAATACTTCTTTTTATGAAGTGACAGCTAACTATGAAGCAGCTGGGTACAGGCATAGTGCTGGTGCCGGACATCCTACAACCTAAGTTCTCTTGCTAAACCTAGACTCAGTGTAGTGTGGGAAAACATGAGGGGGAGGAAAAAAATGGGAGCCAAACACCCCAAGGACTGCTAATGTTTCATTCCCAGCTTCTCAGAGAAGTTTTTCATTTGCTGCATGACAGGCAAGAAGTGTACTGCAGAACTGAAGCAGGGTGAAATTTGCTCACCAGAAGTCAGACTCCGAGAAACAACCACGCACTCAATCCCTCTTCCTATAGGCACACTTCATATGAAAGTATTTGAAACGGCATGTACACATGTCCTTTCATGCCACACAACAGTTTCAGTCTCATTTTGCATTGTATTTCTACATTTTTATGACGTGGTTCTTAGGAAAAGGGGGTAACCAGTAGAGTCAACGCTTTTCCATATTCTTCTATGCAAAGAGAATTAGGTGTCAGCCAACAGTTCAGGCAGGCCTCAGAGCCAGGATCCATCCCTTAACCATAGCCAAACGCCATATGCCTAAGTAAGAAAATGCAGACGTTGCACTGAAGACAATTTTGGGCTCACCCAGCTAAATAACGTACCACAGAGCTGATCTGCATGCAGGCTCTTAGAGCACAGCAAAACCCAGGCACGCTTGGCTCTCAGCAGAGCACACACAGAGCACGATTACACCCTCTCAACCACAAGGTAACCTAGATATTAGCAAAAACTGCCAGATGCAAGAACTAAATTCTCTTTCTTACTGTCTTACTGTCTCCAAATTTTCTAGAGTCGGCCTTCCAGAGCTTCAGTATGATAATTAGTTCCTCCACTTCCTACCCTTCATTACAGTATTTCATTCCCTTTCCATTAGAATGATCCACTGGGCTGTAACAAATAATTTTTTACTTTTTTTTTTTGTTGGTTTCATCATTAAACTGGAATCAAATTCATTTGGATCAACTTCAAAACCACCCCCTGCTCCCCATAATCCCCCTGGATTTTATTTCAGACCTTTTTAATAAAGCATTACAATGGCACCACAGGACTGAATTTGAGTCTCGCTTACACAGCAAATGGCTATGCAATAATCCTACCACACGCTTTCTGTTTAGTGACCCATGTGGGGGACAGACATTACCTGCGATTTACACCCATAACCTATCAACTTCCTCAGTGGGGAAGACTGGAGTTGACGTGTTCCAGATCACTGCCATGATTACCAAACCAAAAAGAAATGCTTGTTCTCTTTTTGATGAATTTTAAATTGTTATTGAAAAATGGACTGCTTTATTAAAAAGGGGATTAATTATCTAAATACACACTTGAAAACAAAAGTAGATTCAACTAAAACTTCTGGAACGAGAAAATCTTTTCAAATGTATCTGTTGTGAGTAATTCTTGAATCAACAGATTCCAAATCCAGTATACATGCTGGTAGGATACATTTTGTATAGTACTGCAAATATCTGTAGCTGTGCCAAGATGCTTATGAGAGCCTGTAGAATAGATTTTAATATTACTGAAATTAAAATCATTCTCTTCTGAAACATCTGCAAAAAAACATGATTTCACACTGGAGTACCTTATTCATATTTATCCATTCCTAATCTAAATAATTTCCAGAAGACAGAACTTGGTGTGGAAAAGCTGGGACATGCCTTTTTTATTATTCTTACGAGAATCTTAATTAACTTCTTTGGAGATATTCACATTAACAAAAGCAGTAAGATTTTGGAAGCAATAGCTTGTAGGCATGTTATTTTGCAGCACCATAACATGATATTGCCATTGCTAAAGGCTCACAGTACAATGAAGAATATACTCCAACAAGCACATATTTAGGAAGCTGGTAAAGGAAAGAAGCTAAATGGATCTGATACTGGCCCAAGTCTGCCAGGTAAAACAGACAAATTGAATTTGATTAATTTACTGGTCATTAAACAGTGAACCAGTAACTAACTTCTACACTGATTTGAAAGTCACAGATTTTATCAAGACCTTTTCAAGGCTATCTGGTCCAAAATTTATCACAACTGTCATACTTCAGGAAAATATAAGTTTTTTATCCATATACACAAACACTTAGACCTCCATGCACTCACATCTACAAACAGCATTCAGCAGCAGTCAGCGTAAGATTTAAGAGGCCTGTTGCACAGTGAAAAATAAACAAAAAAGACTTTCAGCAACTTACTTCCCTTGCATGGTAAATATATCGAAACAGCCGTTTGCCAGCATTTGGTCCAGCATTGTCAGGAGAGGTACAGACACCCTGATGAAAGAAAAACAATTTAACAATGTAAATAAACTTCTTGGCATACACATATACACTACTTTTAATTAGAAGCAAAGAAAGAAACTTCCTATCTACCTACATACGTTTAAATTAGAACTCTAATTTACACAGAAGAGGGTTGCTCAGTAACTTCTGTATGTTGGCTAAATCATCCTCCTTGGCTGAGAAGGGGCCGTTCTGTTGCAGCCAAAAGGAAAAAAAAAAAAAACAAAAAAAAAAAAACAAAAAAAAATAATTAACAACATGCTTGGTTTAAACTTGCAGGGTCCTGAAAACAAAATTAAAAGTAGAACATAATTTTTTGTCTAGTATCTAAACAACATAGTCCACAACATGTAACAGAAGTTACAAGACCTTCTCAGTGCAGGTAACTACCAAATGAACCAACACGCAATGTGTCAGGTGGAAAAAAAATCTATAGTCATGTTTTCCATTCCAACAGCTGAGAAAAGAAACAAAATAAAGTAAAATCTAAAGTTCTGTTAACAGTTGTGGGTTTTTCTTCTATGGAATATTTTCTGTTATACGTATTTGGTAGGTAAGGCTTAGAGAAATAAATTTCATTACGGAGAACGAGGTACCTTTAAGGAATAATCCTCACATGAGAATTGCACTTCAAGTATTCATGAAAAATCACTACTTAAGTAAAACACAGACAGGACTTACACTGAAAAGTGTGTAGCAATATACCATCCCCAATACCACATCATATAAAAAACTGATGTTTATCACATTGTGCCCCAGATTACACTACAGTAAACACAAAATATTCTAGCATCAGTCCTTTGCTACAAACTTTACCAAAGGTATGCCATACCAAATAACTATATTCAAACAAGTTCACATGGTTCAGGCATGTTTCATTTAGGCACAGTGAAAAAAGATGTTCTATGCATACAATTTTTATTAAGAAAAGAAAAAATAAAATATTGGTAAGACAAGCGTCAAGAATGTCTTCCTCAAAGAACGATTAAAAACAAATCAATTAAAACAAACTTTACCGGTCATTCCGCAGGTTGTCCTCAAAGACCTTGAGTAATGTTTCACAAAAACTCTCCATTTCACTGGAATCATTCTGGATTTTCTTCATGTACTCGAAAAGGCTCTGGGCAGAGTACCTGAGCTACAACAGAAGAAACCTCAAAAATGAAGGCTTAGGCAATAAACCTCGCTGCAATACACAAAAACATAGACTCCACAGAATTACTCTTATCCCTTACTACCTGAGGTGTACACCTGCACTACTGGAAGACTCTTCCAACAGCGGCTGAGTGTATAAATTCAGTATCAACATTTGACAGGAAGATGGCTATTTTACTTTCATTAATCCTTGCTCAAGGTGGGTTTTTAAAATCCTTTTTAAGGTCTGCCATTGTAGCAAAAAAGACCACATTAAAGATTCATTATTTTCTGTCTTTCAAAATAAAACATCCCTAAACCACTATGATTATCCTACTTTACTTTAAATAATAATATTGTTATGGCTCTTAAAGAGCATACAAGAAGTTCAAGAGGTAATATTTATTAAACATGCTGATGTAATGCAGCGAGCTCTTGGGCACATGGTGTTTTCCACCAGGCCACACAAACCATCAGTAAACTCCAGTTAAAAATTAAAAACACCTCAGAAATAATGACTCCTGGTTTAACTTCACTATGCTAATCAGCTAGTTTAGAAAAACAGCAGGAGGAGGTTTCAGTGCTTATGTTTAAGGTTCAGCTGGAAGCTGTCCATTTAGGTCAGACCAGCTGTTAAATATCACGGGCTACAGCCTTCACTCAACGACTGCTCTGCTGTTGTGGGCCCAGCTTGCTTTCAAGCAACCACAGTGCACGCAGGGGCCAGACCAGCTCCTTCTCTTCCACCTGGCCGGGGAGCAGGCCCAGCCTGTAGGCCCCACAGCTCAGCCATGGCCATGCTACCAGGGAGCCCAGCCTGCAGGCCCAGAAGTCACCGATGAAGAGAGGTGGTACCCTCCTGTCACTGAAAACCTTTTTGGGTACCCCAAATGCCCCAGCAATCTAACAGCTCGGCCATACCTGTGGTATCAGGGAGCAAGCCCCGTCTGGAAGCCCCATAGCTTGGCCATGGCCCCAGCAGTGAGCAGGACACCCTCAAGGGCTGCCACAGGCCGTACGAAGCCTCTACTAACACTGATTTTCCACTCCTGAGACAGTTAGGAATTTAGTTTCCAGACTTGTATTTTAATACATTGACCTCCCTTGAGGTTTATGGCTAAAAGGAGAGGTTTCAGGATTTTGGTTTGGTTATTGGGGGTTTTGAGGCACCCAAAAAGGTTTCCAGTGATAGGAGGGCACCACCTCTCTTCATCAATGACTTCTGGGCCTTCACTTTGGTATACAGCAATTGTTTTTTCTATTCTATTTATCCAACGTCCTCAAAGAAACTACCTCAAAGGAAGGTCGTACCAGCACAAACGAAAAGGGCAAGCAGATCTACACATAGGCTGTGCAAAACCAAGACACAGTAGCAGGATGATCAGAAAAACTGTAAGGAAGGTGGTGTTTATTCATTAGCAGGAAAGTAAACTATATGAAAATATGGGTATATGGGTGTGGACATCAACTGGTTGCTCCACACACTTATAAACAGAACATTTTTCAAGTAGGCAGAGCAGACCATACAAACTTCAACACATCTAGCTAACATTTTATCACCAAGTTAAATTTGTATTTCCTCCTCAGATAAAGACTTTTTTTTTCCCCCTGATAACCTCTCAGGACAGTATCTAAGCCATAATGTTAACTGCTCACATGTACTTGCCTGCTAGTGGGGGAATACTTGTCTGCTATTGACCTGGGAACTATCACTACCCCTCTGGAGTCTATGCTCTGCACGGGAGAAAGTGGACAGTTTTTTCCCATTACAAGGCCTACATCAGGAATGAGATTTTAACATTACATCGATCACTTTCTGGAGCGATCTCACCGAAATCAAAGAATTTTTCAGAAAAGACTGCAGATGCTCAGGGTTCCCTCTCGCTGCCACGGAAAACTCAGAGGAATTGATCTACTCCCCCCCTCATGCCTGGAGCTGGGGGCTGACACTGCGGGTCAAAAAGAATTTAGTGATCTGCACCTAACTCATCACAGATGGAAGTCAAGTGAATAACTACTGGAAGAGCTTGAACAAAATCAGCATTTTTACGTACAGATACCTACTAAATGTTCCAGTTTAGTATTGAAGCATTGAAACAGAGGAAGACCTACTAAGGGTCAGAACATTCCTGTAACACGTGTGAAAGAAACTAAATTACACTCAATAAATTACACTGGTTTTGGATCATTTCTAATCTTGACAAATTTACAGCACTGAAGTGGCAGTAGCCTATTCTCCCAGTAACTTGAAAAAAAAACAACCCTGCATATCATTCAAATTTTAGCACAAATGAAACCATGTCTCCCTCATTCTCCTCGCAGCATTCCTTTTAATTCATCAACTCTTTGGAGAGCAGTAACTCTAAAGTTCAAGTCAGTGATATTTTAAGAAGAGCAGCAATATAATAATTCACACTTGTTTTTTCCATTTAATAAAAGAATGCCAGAAATAATTCTCAAGTGTATTTTGCTGAAGAACTGTTATTCAAGAAAACTGCATTTGGAACCTGTTCCTTTAAACCAAAGATGCAGTAATTTGCATATAATTAGTCACAGTAACCAGACATTTCAGAACTGTTTGTTCTGATTTTTCACATTATCTACAAATGTCCCAACATTTTCCTTTATAACAACTAACTCATCTGTTCAAAGCCCAATATTTTGTCCAAGCCATGCACAAAGTCACAAATATAACAGGCAAATAAGTCAGTTTTGAGGGGGAAAAAAAAAAAAGGACAAAAAAACAAACATAAAATGTATTATCTATTTGGCAAACAGAATATATTGACACCAGTATGAGACAGATGGGCTTTATTTTTTTTTCGGGTGATTTAACACACATTAATTCATTGGATACTTTTGGAACTGGCTACTATAGTTGTTACAGATTTTTGGTGTCTCCTGGTGAAATCCTTGTACTGGATTCCAGTACAAGGACAAAATGTGTAAAATTCAAAATAGATTTTTTTAAGGTTTTTAGGATTTTACATAAAAATTCTATAACATTTTTTAAAGTAATTTTCACTCCTTGGTGGGGGGTGGGGAAATCACAGTACGTTTTGTGCTTTAGCAAGATTTTATACGTAATGTAGTTAACAGTCATGAAATTATATCCTGACCCCTGAAACTATAGGGTCTGTGAAGCGCAGAAAGAACAGCATTGTTCAGTTCTGATCTTCGTATACTGAGAGGACTTTTTATGCAGCCATAAGAAATATGCACTATTGCAGGCCAGATATATAATTAGAAGATTCTTTTACACAGAGAAAGTGCCCTTTGAACCAAGGCAATGCTGCTGAATGCCAAATCCCAGAGGGAATGACATCTTCCCTTTTTTCAGATTACTTCGAATGCTCTAACTAGAGTTCTTTCAGCAACCACTCTGCCACCACAATGTTTTTGAGATACTCCATTATAGCCCATTTCAGCAAATCTCTCTAAAAAGCAAAATAAAGAACTGTACGTGCTAAATATACTGCTGAGCGATTTTAACTATGGAAGAAAAGCCACTGACCACTGAATTACAGTATAGTCTTTCTCCTGCTAAGACCCTGAGAAGATTTAAAAATAAACCAACATTTGAACTCACATTGTCTTGCAGTATACAACAAAGCCTAAATTTCTAACTTCTACGTCTATGTGTGTATTTGTGTACATATTTTTTCAGTGAGAAAAGGAAGAAAGAAGTTATAAAACAAGCACGTTACTGCAAAACACATACTTGAATAACCCTTTTCCTTCACTCAACATTTTAAAAGTTTGCTTCTTTCATATGGATTTAATAGGGCCAACTCTTAAAATTTTTCAATTTATGTTTTAAATGAGTCCCTGGATATACAGCAAAGATCACTACTGGCTTTGATGGAATAGTTTCAAACATAAGTCATTACAAAAGACATCAATTCTAAATTATATATCACATTTTAAATTCTAAATGTAATTCACCACAAACTGTTTAACCCCAAGTGTAAATACTATACAGTTCGAGCCTCTCTTACACTTCTATATGGCTTGAAAGAGACTTAGGTCACTTTCTTTCCAAAGTCAAACCCCTTGAGAATATTTTAACCAGAACAAGCCTTTAGTGTTAAAGAAAAATGCAGGGTCACAGAAAGTTAACATTTCAAAATCATATTTTGAAAACGCTACAGAAGGCTTTCCTTAAATATACTGGCAGATGGTAAGAGGTGAAGCAGCTACAAGTAACTGAACTGTTTACACTTTGCAAAACCAAGCACAACCAGAACTAGAAAGAAAGAAAGAGAAAGGGAGAGAGAGAGAGAGAAAGGAAGAAAGAAAGAAATTAAAATGTTGAATAAGAATTTTCCTTTGACCTTCGTTAGTAGTCAGAACGTCTGTCTGTTCCTCCACAACTTTCCTCTCCTTTTATACTTATAAGAATAACTTTGGTTTCGGTGGAGCCTCCTATAATTAACTGTTTGACTAAAAGCCGAATTTCATGTGCACATCTGCTATTAAAAAATCTGTTAAGAGTTACATTGTCTATCCCCTAATTATTGTCACAAACCAATAAACACGTTTTCAAACTTTTAAAAGAGCCGTTGCTATGTAATTAGTTGCCAGTTTAGAAACATGAAAATTTTCAAAATTGGTTTAAATACATGAGACTTGCAGACACCAAGTCCTCAGCTACATGAAACCCAAAGGGATATGGAAATCTTTGGATTACAAGTGCAAAACCTATGGCATCAGGCAAAACCTATCATTTGGATGTATTCGTGAATATCATGTGGTAAGATTGAAAAGTGCAAGCCATGGGAGACAAAATGAATGATTACCTCCTTCCTTTTTTGAACAGCAGGAGCTGTTTTGTTCCCTCTCAACAAAATCTTTCCTAACACCTACCACTCTTCTTCCAGCATTCTTAATTACAGACAGCAATCTTATTTAGAAATACTCAAACGCTGTTGGGGTGCTGCCTCATGTTTTAGACCACTATCTTCTCTTACAGGGCCGCTGCAATTTAAAGATTTTACTGGCAGTCCAAAGTATTCTGATGCTGTTTTGTATTTCTCTGCAGTGTCCTGCTGAACTGTGTCCTTACACAAATATATTGCTTCTGTGTGTTACATCTTTGGCTACACCAAGTAGCAAAAATGTTAGAAGTCAAATATCATGAAACCAAGAATACAGAAACTACCACAAGCTGTAATGGAAGGACAGACAGATACACTAAATATTGAAGTCCTGAAGATTTTGGCAGCTTAACAACTACCAGAAACAATGATAAGGTGCTGTCCATAGACAGAAGAATGAAATAGAGATTGCAAAGAGCAGAGAGTTCAGACAGACATTTCACGGAATCACAGAATTGTAGGGGTTGGAAGGGACCTCGAAAGATCATTGGGTCCAATCCCCCTGCCAAAGCAGGTTCCCTAGAGCAGGTTGCCCAGGTAGGTGTCCAGACAAGCCTTGAATATCTCCAGAGAAGGAGACTCCACTACCTCCCTGGGCAGCCTGTTCCAGTGCTCTGCCACCCTCACTTTGAAGAAGTTCTTTCTCATGTTTGAATGATAGTTTTTTGTAATGCAACTTTCGGTATCTCTTTGGCATTTTTTAAGAAAACGTATCAAAACAAAAATCAAGAAATTTCTAACCAAACTGTAAACACATACTGACAATTACAAATTAAAATCAGGTATCCTTTAAAAGAAAAAAGAAGAATGAGATTTTTAACACAGGAATTTTATTAGAAATGCATTCTCCAAGCAAAGAGAAAAGTCACCCTGCTTTCTTACCGTTGTCTCCGTTAATCCACCAACAGACACTGAGAGACCCAAAAGCACATAGTATTGATATGTCGGTAAACCCAAAAGCTGGGTGATTCGAGGGAAAGCTTCTGATGAGGCGTTCCAGTTTAGAGTTTCTGTCTCTGACCTGGGGAAAGGAAAGAAAATTAAAATGTGTGTGCATTGTCTTTCATCTCCATACAGTCCTAAGATACCTCTCTCATCCTCAAGCAGCATCAGTGAAGAAAGGCTCTGAATTACCTAAAAAAACAAATTAATCATTACTCCAACATATGAGGAAAATACAAAACAATGCTTCACTTTTCTGGCTGTGGCTGAAATTATGTTCAGCTTCTTGTCCAGATTCAGATAAGGGATTTGAACCACAGTTTCCTTTTCAAAAGCACTTTTCTCTACACCAAAAAACAACTAAATGTAATTCCATTACCCATTCTCTCCCACCAACAGCTAGTTGGCAAGTGATAGAAAGAAAGACTTAGATCAATCAGTAGCCTACAGACAGGCCACTTTTAGAATTGCAGGAGGCTGAGATTCTGCTGAAACAAACAGAATGGGGATACAGAGTTGGATATTGCTTGTCTCAATCAAGGGTGATAATCACCATTCACAAGCAAGTTGCTCTCACTGCTTCTCTCTTGCTTTAACTAGAAATTCTATCTCAGAAAACTACTGCAGAATTGTCATTCTGATCAATCAGTCTTCTCCAGTAGGGAAAAAAATCAGGAAGAGGGACTCCCAATAAATACAAGCTTTCACATTATGAAGAGAAAATGAGATTATGAACCGCACATTTCATAAACAGCAGGTTTATGAAAGCCCAACTACCAGCATGTCTGTTTTACCAATGGCCTCTCAACTACGAGGAAATTCTTTACTGTGAGGGTGGTCAAACACTGGAACAGGCTTCCTACAGAAATGGTTGATGCCCCATGCCCATCAGTGTTCAAGAGGCATTTGGATAATGCTCTTAGTAATATGCCCTAACTTTTTGTTAGCCCTGAAGTGCTCAGGCAGTTGGACACGATGATGTTTGAAGGTCCCCACCAACTACTCCATTGTTCTATCTACTACAGATATCATCTCTACCATTCACCATGAAATTGGCCAATGGGTTCAGAAATTAAAGAAAGCATAAGCAGCATTACCATATAAGCCCTGTCTCCTTAGGAAATCATTATTTTAACAGGCACCCGTGCTGAAAGTTCTTGACTATTTTATACGTTTACGCATATTCACTGAACGCTTCAACAAAACTCTAAGGAACAGCACCAAATGTTCCTCAATAAAGTATATAACCATATTACGCATTTGGCACAAAATTTGGATCAGATTGCTTGTGTTAGGTAAACTTTGTGTATGCATCTTCTTATTTTCACTGTTTTAGGAAACCTTCGTCAATGTATTACCTTGGAAATATCCTCTCTAGCTCTTCTCGATGAGGTATATGTGGAACTGGAGGACGGTCAAAATGTAAAAGAGTAAGGAACACAGATCCTGCATGAGCTCGAAATTTATCAATTTTTTCAGCTGCTTGTTGGGCCAGCCAGCACATAATCTGTTTGCAACTACAAGAAAGAGAACAATTCATCACGTAATACAAGTGGAACATGTATTTCAATTTTAAATTGTTGCAATTATATCAAAAAATACTCTGATATGAAACTAGTCTGGTTTAACACTTTATAATGAATGCACACATTATTTAAGATATCAACACGGTGATAGAATGTCTAGAGCTTCGTCTTACATATATCAATCAAAAAATGCCATGACTAGTATTACAGGGTTTGATACCACATTTCATCTGAAAAGATACAATAGTGCTTTATGGATTGGATGAACTACTGTATTTCAAATGGAAATAGAGCAGGAATCTTGGGAAAAACACATTTTCAGTTGTAAAACTGCAGATATACCAGTGTACAAGGTCTATCCCAAAATCACATATATCCCAAATGAGGATTCAACTCTGGCTAGTTACTACCAATACCCAATTTTGCTCACATTCATAATTAAACTCCCAGCAACTATGTTCTTCAGGCCCTTTACAACTTCCAAAAGGACAACTAAGATAGTAAAAACAGCTAGAATCCTTCAGTTACAGCAAAATCCAGAACACATAGAACATGTGATCCTTTCTCTTTTGATCCAGCTGGCAGGAATACTCTTCTATGTTGTACATGAATAATCTCTGCAACAGAAGGAAGCCCTTGGACAATGGGCACTGGCTGAGTACCATATATCTACAGAATCCAGTATTTTCCTTCCAAGTGTCTCAACTGAAGAACTAATAGTCAGTCACTTGTTTTTAGTGGTGGTTTTTTATTTTTAAATTAGAAATTGAGTATATATCCAGCTAATCATTGGATATGCTCTATTCACAAACCAACACCTATTGAGAATTATTAAGAAAGTTTTGCTGTAGCTCAAGCTAAACTTAAAAATCAGTAAGTATTCTTTCATTTACTGTTAGAAAGACTAAGGAATACTCACAAAATTCAGAATCTGAAGCTCAGTGTAAATTTTGTTTTCCTGTATTTTCTTACTAATAGATCTATAAGGATGACATTCATGAAAACAAACTTATCTCCACATTTTTATCACATTCCAAATTAATGATGCAATCCTCTGGGTAAGCAGGTGAATTTGCTTTTTATTTAAGTGAACAATACTGGCAAGCTCCACAAAGGTTGCAAGTATGGCACAAATCTCACAGATGCACTGTATTTTAAAGGTGAGACTGCCACACGGTTTCTCTCATTCAGGTTAGCATCTCTGAAAAGCAGACACAATATTCTCAGCACCTGTACGGTGTAAACTTGATGCACTTCCGTCATACTCAATAAAGGAGTAAGTATACAATATATAAGCAATGCTTTCTTGTATGGACTGGAATGTACTTGTACAAGATAAGACACAAAAACAGAACAGGTAGCATACATGTTGGCATTAATTAACTCCGCTTCATTCTGAACCAGCAAAAGCGTCACTTCCATTAAACTTGTCATAGCAGCTTTACGTACCCTGTTGAAACAGAAATACATTAGAGTAGTTACATCAGAACTTATTTAAATAAACACAGCAGCAGTTAAGTTAAGCAGACACAGGCAAAAATTTAAACAGGTAGAAAACATTGAAAGCAGTGACCAACGAGAGCAGCAATCATATTTATGGGAGGAAGAGGAGTGCACACAACTGTAAGCACAACCAATCCCCATTCCATAAAGCAAAGCCCTCATTTGCACTGACAGTACAACAGCCATCTTACTTTTGCAGGCAAATCCCCTGCCTGACCATCTTGTTTTTCATTCCAACCAGATATCATCAGGTTTATTCTTTATTTTAAGAAGGTTAAAATTGATAACAATTAGTAATATTTAGTATGCAATCAGATGTTTTTAAAACAAAGTGCTTTGTCTGCTCCAAATAATCTTCTAAAAATGCTAATCCCCCATTTTCACATTGAGATATTCAAGCACTATTAGTGTCATATTCTTCTGATTTTTTAAGCTTAATGCTTCCACTGATAAGAAAAATAGTCATTCTGAATAGCTTAAATACATATGCTAAATAATAATTAGTTCTCTGAAAATGATCAGCTGAGGTAACATTAGGATGTACTTGAAGTGCATCTTCAAGACCAGGACCAATATGTTCATCCTTTCTCAGTAATAATTAAAGCATAAATATATTGAGGTTTATGAAAAGGTACACCTGTCTACTGTGAAATTACATACTCCTGTTTCAAATTTCCAAAGTAAATTGAAGAGTTGTCCATGTAATCTAAAACTGGGTGGGACATTTGTCATAACAACAAAAAAGGGTAAATTACATCATTTTTTCCTAGGTAGCTTAATATAAGTTTGGCAATCTTTCATCAAAGGATGTTTTTCTACCTTTTTCATATAATATCTGACTTTCAGATAGTCTTGTCTAACACCTGTAGACAGATTGGACAAGTCCCAGCAAACAATCTGTCAAAAGAAATGTAAAGTTTGCATATGGAAAGTAAAGTTGGTTAAACTTTCCCACGATTCCCTTAAAGAAAGATAAAAATTACACACCAAAGAAAAGGCCTCTCTGGAGAAATGGCAATTCTCCCCCTATCTTTCCATCTTAGTCAATGGTTTAAAAGAAACATAATGAGAAAACATTCATATCTGAGAGGCCACAGAAGTATTTAGCAGGCAATAGTTTGCTAGGAGAAAAGCTTCCCCTTCCCCCTTTTAATTTACATGTTTTGACTGTTGATTTTGGCTGGCATTGTCAAAGAAGCTTTAAAAGAATCCGGTGCTCAAAGCACATTTGAATTTTAATGGCTGTTGGGAATTTAATTTCCTCAGGATTTCTTTGAAAATTTCCACTTTGTAGAGTTGTGTTTTGTTTTGTTTTTAAATTAAGACAAAGACAAAAGGATTAACAATAGGCATGGGGAACTTATCTGAGAGCTGTTACATGTGGAAGTTAACTTGAATAACTAATTATACTTAACCATCGTCTTTCTTATCTACGTTAGTACCTCATCTAATTTTGAAAGCAGAAAGCTTTCCTAAGCTTTCTGTTTTTCCTCTTAGCTTTCTCTGACTCACCACACCCTATATGCTTGCTCTTACATTTTGTTTCAGCTACACTTGTGTCACTGTATCCTCTAAGTTAGAGGCTCACTCACCTCCTTCTTGCTTTTAGACAGCTGAGGAAGAAGGTGAGGGAATGCCAAGATACTTCATCCCTTGCGCAAGCTGGAACGACCTGTTCTTGATCCTTACAGTTTGCATCTTTGTTTCCTCTTCTAAATTTGAGAAGTCAAACACACCCACTCTTCTCTGATTTCTTGTCCTGTTATTTCCCTTCTTCCCAAGATTTCTTTTGACTGTCCTTTTACATTGTGGACTCCATTCCCCACACAACCTTGCTGTCATACTACAATTCTAACAATCAGGAATGAAGGCTAAGGTGCAAGGTACGTACAAATAACTAACTAAAAGTAAAAACATAAATAAATAAAAAGCAAATAAATAAAACTACAAGCACACATTAACCCCGGCTGATAAAAGTAACTTATTTTCCCTGAACAATTTTAAAAATCACATCTGTAAATAGTATTGTGAAGAACCTAAAGGTTGCTCCAGAACGGGCCTGGTTTGCTTGCAGCAGGGAGGAGGGAGCAAACGACTGAGAGGGCTGCGGCCACAGAAAGAAGTGTGCTGAGGAACAAGGCACCCTCCCTCCCCTGCCTGCAAGGTACAGCTCACTTCTTGCCCACTATAACCCTCCCAAGTCAGCAATTACCACCACAGTTTGCAACCACCTTCTATGAGATCTGCCAGCTTTGCAATAGCCACAACATAACTAGTTTGGAGCCTTTTCTTTCAGTAGCACTCTATCATTGCTCACCTGCGGAGTCTTAGCTGCAACTTTCAGTAGAGTAACCTCAAATATTTATATTTTTAAAATTAGATTAAATGGAAATTATGTTTCACGTTTGTGTACTACTGTTGAAAACACCCTTTGCAGAAGAGGATAGTAGCTGTAAAATTTTTCTAAAGCATTTCATACACTCTGCCAGGCCAGGATGGAAACTAAACACCAAAGCCCTTCAATGTGACTCAGCACTGTTAGACAACGACTTCTTCAATAAACTGGAAAATAAGGAAATCTTCTCAACCAACAAAGTAATTTCATACCACTATTTTTCACGTACTTCCTTTTCCTGCAAGGGATGCAATAAAAGCACACATGGACACTGGATCTGAAGAATCAACAGGTGGTTAATTTACAGTCCTGAATATGCACCCCTGTACCCTGAGGTGCCTCATTGAGTTGGCACACAGGTAAGTATTTTGGCAATAGCTTTAATCTGGCTAACTTAGGCTGCAGTCAAAATGCGGTGGTTGCATTTCAGTGTCCAAGGAGCCTGAGTTCACGGTAAAGTAGCATTACATGGCAGATTGTTCCACTGCATCTCCATAGCTGGCATTGCTCACGCAAACTGCACTGATGCTATTTGAGTTATGCTTTCCTGAGTTGCAGACATCTGACTCGAGTTTTGTAGACAGATTAGAAACCACCACTCGCATGCAAAGCTTGCTTGTGGTGTATTTAGCGTTTACTCAGATAAAGAAATGGAATAGTGGGGAAACAGACAGCATCTATCAAATGCATAGTACCATGCCATTACTATACGATAAAAAAGTGTACTACCCACACTTAAAGAGGACTGATACCATGTGTATAGAACTGTACCTAAAAGCAATACACATCTACATATTTTCAATTTAAAATCATGGTTTAAGACAATAAAATCAAGAAGGTTTTGTCAAAACCAACATTTTACTCAAAATCAACTTCCAACAAGTAACAGACAAGTAAAATTAATCGATCCCATTTCCTTTATTAAGTTAATGACTTTTCTATACAAGGATTAAGTGTTGCTGTTCTGATCCTTCTACACAGGATCAGAAGTCTTGTATCTGAGATTAACAGACACTGGATTTATTCTTGAATTGGTTAATTTAGGAAGTTATATTAACAAGCACTGGTTTTAGGCTGGGCACATTTCTGCTCATAAATACATTCAGAAAAGTACCGTGACAAGAGAGCCTGTATGTTGCCCTTATACTCATTTGATCTCCAAGTTTTGTATTTCACAGGGTTTTCTTACCCCATAGCTACCTTGTGGAATTCTACACGATGAAGTGTACAGGAAATCTTCACTATTGCTCCTTCAAAGATTGCAGGAACTTCTGATCAGTAAATGATGTTAAATACTGAATTACAGATTTTTTGGAAGTTAAACACAAACCCAGGGAAGGACACAAGCCTTAAGAGTGCCTTGGTTTCATCCGTTTAGAAATTGCCTTTTCAGATCAGTATTGCTGAAGGAATACAAAACACTCAGGTGAATGCTATCTTTTTAAAAATACATTATGGAAACTGTGAAGACTGAAGCACATCACAAAAACACAACTGCCACAATCTTATACCTCTTACTGTAAACTTCACAACAGTAGACACTTAGAAATCATAACAAAGTTATGATTTAATTATTTCTGAAACCGAAGAGCTGCATTCATTGAAACTTTAAACTTACAAATGAGTCAACACCACGACACTTTAAATTTATTTCTATTTTTTAAAATCTTGGTCACTAACCTTGAAAATTTGTCACTCACAAGTTATGCAACTGCTCCCTCTCCTGGCAAAAAAAAATCCCGTGAACGTACAATAGAAGAGCTCAATAACTGAGCGCCAATGTATTATTTTAAAGAAACTAGAAAATTTGTTTTAAATCACTATTTTTTTCCAACTAAATACATTTCTATTATTCAAGAATATCATCCACAAAATAAGAGCAAGGCAAAACTTCAGTTTCATGTCTTATTCATTTCTGAAGCAAGGGTCAAAAAATTCTGGTCAACCTTTCTTTTCACCTTCCGTATCTCTTACCCCAGTGTATTTCTACCTATACCCAATCCTTGACAAGGTTGGAGTGCTTATTTTTAACAGGTTTCCAAAAGACATATATATATTTTTTTTTAACTAGGCATCAAACACGACAGCTAAGTTGAAGTCCCCAATTGCAAGGCATCTTACCATCCTCCAACATCTCCTCGGCTGTCTGTGGTGTAGTCAGTCACACCATTAAGTAGCGTAGCATAAATCTGAGTAACATTGTCTTTGCAGACATATTCTTCCTGAGATCCTTCTCCCTTTACACCTACTGTTTGGCAAACCCTTCAAAAAGAGAAAATGAAGTGAAAAAATAAACACCACAACACTAGCAAGGGGAAAACATTAAGATCATAGCTTTGTCCTGTTGCTTAATAAACTTCCCTGGACAGACAGTATTCTAAGCACCTTTTTTGGTTGTTTGTAGCAAATATTACACAGTATGCAGAATATTTCTGAGTCTACAGCATTCTACTTGAGGATTTCTTATCAGTGTTCAGGTTTAAAAACAAAGAAAAATAATGCCAAAAACTCAACAGATAAGCAGACTGTTTGTGTGTCTATAATACTATGAAAAGAAGCATGTTCACTGTGCCTGTCAGTTTTCTACTCTTATTACAATGAAATAAACAAGAGCAAAGGATTAATATTACATGCACTGAATTCGACATTACCAATTCTTTTAACCGAAGGCATGGGTAACATAGGAAAGAGATTTTTCTTCACTGTAACAGTTTAAAAATGTATATGCTATAAAACTATTAACATTAACTACAGTGTGGCATGTCAATACTAAAAATATGTCTTAAGATAAAAAGTACAACTTCTTTAAAAATATTCAGTTTTTTTTATTGAGTGGAAAAAAATAGTATTCTTCCTTCTCCCTAAAGCTCACTAAATTGCTGCCAATGAAAAAGGTGAACTTTGCAATATATTCTAGTATTCGGCTAATTGACTTAAAATGAAAAAAACATCAGAGTCTGTACTCCATCATTAGATTTGTGGTAATCCTCTGAACCGAAGATATATTGAACAATGGAGAGGCACATAGTTCCCCACTAAAAATGAGTACGTCACAGTGTAACTGATCTCAAGAACTACGGTGTGAGCTTGCATCAGAAAGCAGAATGAAAAGTAGAAAACATCTAGAGAAATAATTAAAAGTAGATAAAAATAAAAATGACAAACATACTTCGCAATTGCTATTAGGGCATCTCTTCTGGATTGTGCAAAGCTCACATCTTCAGGGGAAATTATGGTAGCTTTTTTTAAACCTTCCAAAACCTGAAAAAAAAAAAGATACTTAAAACCATTATATTATTTATGATAAATGGCCTACACTTAGAGGTGGATTATATATGAGAGAATCAAGCACACAATATTATTTGGTTTCTCACCATGACTTGTCAATAGGCCTCAGTTTTCCCTTCAGACAAGTGTTCCGTTGCAAAGGGATAATTCAGCCTCTGATTTTACCATTAACACTACTGAAGCAGGACTAAACTTTAATTACTAGAATCTACGACAAGCTAAACTCATGGTTTTCTGGAGTTACTGTATATTACAATCCTCAAAACTCTTTAACAAAGACCTTTAATTATGATCATTATTATTTATTTGATTACGATCATAGGTTTCATTTGAAATACATTGTGCCCTCTTGTCATGAAAACGACCACATTCTCTCACCTGTTGGAGCCTGCCCTTTAGCAGAAATCTTGGAAGAGCCCCAAGAGCTAGTGAAAAGCCACAACGAATCATTTCCTCAGTATTTTGTAGTCCTGAAATGTACCGTGTCACCAGCTCATCTACAAAAAATACAATTGCAAAGTGAAAAGCGACTACCACATCATTATCATTAGATATTTTACTAACCAAAAAATAAAAAAAAACACAGAAGCTAGAAAATTTTATACTTCATCGAACTAAAATACAGAATATCTTAAATTTCCTATAGAAAAAAAATAATAATAAAAATTTAAGACATTCACTGTTTCATGAAGAAATTCTTATTTTTATTTCTCACTTTCTAAATATGAAGTCCAATATTTAGGCACACTATCCCTAGTCATTCAGAAAAAAACAAAATTCTCTATTTAAAAAATTTAATTTTTTAAATAAGCCTAACTATGAATTTCAGTGTAAAATCAGAGGAACAGGTTGTATTATGTTTATAGGTCATCGTTTTTCATGATCAGACAAACACTATTAGGAAATTTTTGTCTGGGATGGATTTGTCAAGGTCAGTTACTCAACTGTTCTCCCAAAAAAAGTCTTTCTTGAACTGAGGATTTAAAAACACACACACAGATCATACTAAGCAATGAGATAAATTCATGTTACTTTATGTAGAGAAACAAAAGAAAAAAAAAGTTGGACTTTTTACAGGAGAAGTCTCAAGAAGTGACCGCTTGGAAGCAGTAGATGCTATTCTCAGGGTCTTTGAATTGCTACGTGATGAAATAGGGACAATGGCTCTGCAAACACTAGCACAGAGGAAAGGAATGAAAATAAACCGAACTATGTATGGGAAAAGAATGCTCAACAAAGAAGTGGTATGAAGATGATAATGAGGATGAAAAAAAAATCTCTGTATTTCAACTGTAGTCTTCATCACTGACTTAACAGACAATATACTTCCTTTACATGATTTCGCAGCTTTTACATGATTTAAACTCTTCTGTGAAACACAAAGGAAAGCAAGACAGTTCAAGAAAAAAAATCTAAGAACAACCAAGACTGCTGCAGAGGACACAATTCTGACGGAAAAAGGAGAAAGGTGGACTTAATCGCTTTATTGAATATGTACTTTTTTATCCTCAAAAGGGAAAAAATGAAAAGAATCAGAAATCCCATGAAGATTACATAATTCTGCCATTGCTTACTGTCATCTAAGATTTAAATGATTGAGCAATATTTGCTAGAGGAAGAAAGATTAGTTACCATAAGAAACTACCCTTTAGTCATAACTCATGACTTTTTTTTTTTTTAATCCCTACGCAATTGACAGGCCTTAACTAGTTCCTCACATCAGGAAACCAGTTCCCTGTCCAGAGGTTAGCAATACCTTCATATAAGCACATCTATTATTTAAAAACTTCCAAACCACTGGAGTGTAAGAGTCTTGAGGCCACAGGAAGACGCAATGCTTGCTTGGACTGCAAGATGATCTTAGACAGTAAGACTACTACTGTTGTCTCTTTAATTGATGTAACTTTAGGACTGATATTTTAGGAAAAATGTCAGAAAATTAAGAGACGGTGAAAAATTAAAAATGTTCTTCCATCTACAAATCTGACTTCAATTATGTCCCTAGACTATCATGGCTATATGGCTAGTTTGATTCTTCCAGACGCACAGTAGATGAAAAGCTAACACAGAAAAAAATGAAGTTTAACAGGCATCCAACAGTATAGCATCAAAACAGATGTAACCATCTATTGCATGTTCTTCCTCTCTCCCTCTTGATTTTGAAATCCGTCTGCGTTTTCTGCTCCACTTTTACAGAAGCTTGAAACTCCATACTTACGTAAAAATGTGTTACATTAACATTTCAACTTACTTTTAGCCTTCTTTGACGCAGCATTGTCTCCTCCTGCCCAAAGTGTTATGTTTTTTACAAACATTACTTTTTCATGATTTTTTTAAAAAAATCTCCTTCTGTACTACATTATACCTGTTCATGCTGCTAACAAAATAGATTTAAAAAAACAACAAGCAGGCACCAAACCTGCATAAAGGAAAGGGTTTTTTTTATTATTTTTTTGTTGTTGTTGTTTTCTAAACAAGAACATAGAGATTTAACAACATATAAAGATTTAAAAATCAAGATAGGTTGCTTTCATATATCAGCCATAACTTCTTTAGGGCATGTATTGCACGTTACTCTGTATGTGATAGGTATCTAGCTCGTTCTTAGTACTACCATAATGGAAGTAAATAAAAAGGTATTCCGTTACCTGGCTTAGGCATGATACATGACTTAGGAATAGCAAAAAAAAATAAAAATAAAAAAACCATTGTTTGGTAAAGTATATATAATTTCACTGTAATACTTAAAAACACAAGAACATAAGTGCTGTTATTCTTAAAACTAATATATATAATCCAGTGATCTGTCTCTAATGGGCACAATACAATTTGATACTTGAAAGAAAGCAAGGTGCATGAAAACCAGAATGAAAAACGTGTCAATTCATATGCCCATAAAAAGTTTAAGCCTACTCCTGTACTACTTAGCCAAATCCTAATCCCATCCTTCACATGCACAGTTAGAAGAACTGGGTGTCTTTGTGAGCCTTCTCTTCTTAGCTTTGCCCCAACGCAGGTGCAGCACCCGGCACTCGGCCTTGCTGAACGTCATTAGGTTCACATAGGCTCACTTCTCAAGCTTGTCCAGGTCCCTTGGGATGGCATCCCTTCCTTCTGTGTATCAACTGCACCACTCAGCTTGGTGTCAGTTGCAAACTTGCTGAGGGTGCACTTGATCCCATCCATTGTCTATGTTCTCTGTTTCACAGCAGGAAATAGAAAAGCACTCATGTTCACCTCCAGTCTAAAACAAGCAAAACCCTGAGGCATCTTGTAGACATTCAGTTGGTTTTATCATTCTTTCCTGAAGCATTTGAAGGTCCTTTAAAATTACCGATGCTCTCCCCACCCCCATTTCATCCAATACCTCCAAAGTGCAAGTTAGGTCCAGCCCAGTTTTTTCTACCTCTGCTGTAAATATGAATCATTATTACCCTGTAGAGCTGGATCAGCTTCTCCCTTTTCATTGATGTAATACTCATTACACAATGCAGCAAGTGCAGAGACTGCAGATTCCTGTAACAAAGGCAAAATTGTGAACTTAATGCATTTACTATATTAACATATTTTATGATAACTGTGCTTAGAGTTAAAAGGTTAAGAAGAAAGAGAGTAGATTAAAAAAAAAAATTATTCCCTTCAGCTACTGCCATTTACTTTGCCATTTTACATATTAATAGCAATGATACTTATTAATATCCATATTCTTGGAATACAAGAAATCTTAAATGATATACACAGGAGTCCTCTACAGCTTCTTAATTCTGTTCTCAAAGACACCTCAGACTCATTCTCTATGTAAAATCAAGGACTTGAAAGAGAAACAGCATTCATCTAAATAATATTTCAACTACCACAGACATTATACCAGCAAAATACAGAGAATTGTCTAATTACTGTAGATCCCTCACTTTCTAAAGAGAACAGTTTTCACCTTAAAGGCATGAAGTTATATTACAAGAGTGTACTTTATGTTAGAAAAAAAGATGACTTTTCAATGTCTCACGCACTGCCTTTAAAATTGTTTATCTCTAAAATATATATATTGAAATAACTGAGAATTGACATTCACTGAACACACTTTGATTAATGTTAATTAACGTTAACCAAACACGTCAAAATTCTCTACAGTCTATAATGAATTTTCCTAAGCAAGATTTAGAAGTTCCAGTTATAAGACATACAATTCTTTGAACAAATTGCAAATACCAAAAGAATAGTCCAAGAATTCAAATTTAATCTTTTAATTTTTTTTCAGTGATTTGGATACATTCTAGTGTACTCTATCTTCTGAGGAAGCTTTTAAAAATGAGCTACCAAATACCTGCAGTGACGTTTTATCTTATTTTAAGAAATTAACAAAATGAACAAATCATGCTATATTCTAATAGTCTCTGTGACAGCTATAAACTCTAACAGGGCAGATTAAAGTTATCTTTTTAATTTAGAAGAACCTTTAAGAGTGCTTACATAGTAAGCATACATATTATTACTCAGGAAAATTAAGGCAAATAACTGGAGTTGTTAAGACCACGTACATAAACAAGCATGAAATATATCCATCAATGGATTTAAAATTCAGAATTAGAGTAGCTCAAGAGCATATTAAAAGGATTTGTTCAATGGAAAATTTAGGCACACTGTCCCAAGTAACTTGTTGATTCACACAGATTTTCCCACTGTAACACTCCCTTGGTATATCAGGCCTGAGGGCACTATCCAGAGATGCTTTTTTCTTCTCACAAAAGTTCTCTGAAACCATTCAGAAGTACTACAATCAACATATCTTACACGTATTACAGACACGCATATTTCAGAAGATTTCTTTAATATTATAGACAGTGGCTAAAATAGACATTTGATCCATGGTATACATTTTGAGAAAGGAAGTCTAAGATTTAAAAACTTCATATTTATATAAAAATGGCATTGGGCAGCCTAACAACCACATGAATTATAATTGTAGCAATATACAAGACAAACCAAAATTATACAAAATTATTCTATATAAAGCAGAAGAAAAATTCCGTATCAATGTAATCATATGGCAGACAGCAAGCAGCTTCAAGCAACCATCAGTGACTCCTCACTGCCAGCCCATTATCAATGCCAGTGACTGTCAATTTGTTTAAACACGCACACAAGAACAACCTTTGTGGTAAATATTCAAGCATTAAACAAAAAGGCCCCTTTGAATTTTAGAGAAGGAAGAACTACTGTACCTTTATATGCTGTCGAGCAGTGCTTGAAACAAGAGGGAGACTTCTTAGACTGTCATTTATTAACCACTGCCAGCCGCCTGAAACAGTAAGGAATATACACAGTGTTATCTTCCTTCCTTTCTAAACTTCACATTTTCTCTCCTATTCTGCAAAGACCAGCAATTATACATATTTACTTATTTCCTTGGTTTTCCAAAATAAACGAGGTTGTGACTCTTAGCCATTACAGCTACTCCGGTTTGTTTTACAAAGTACACAGTGCAAACATTGATTCTGGTCATACTGAAAACTTAATAGGAAAAAAAATTGCAAACAAATCTACTAATATTACCATTGGTTGCAGTATTTTTGTATCTTTTTGAAATTTTGATATTTGTTAGGCCACTCAACTTTGCTGATCCTCATTGCTCCTTTGAAAAACACAGTTCACTGATGTATTATAGCATGATGAATAACTACTGAGATAAGGAAAGGTTATTTAAAATACCACATACCAATTATTGGATCTCCTCTAAATGGCATTTTTGATAGTGACAACTTTTCAATTAAAGTGCAGACTGTAAGAAAATAAATTTGACAAACAGATAAATACAAAGAAAATGACAAGTTCCAGCTACTTTGAAGATACAGGCACATCGAGTTACATACGCAGTAATATTAAATTGAAGAAAATTTGCAAAGAAAAGTCCAAGATATGTGAAAGAAGAAACCGAAAAGAAATCATACTGGAGATTTTTACATACAAAATAGCTACCATGCAGCAATTGCTCTTTGACATGAGTACCATCATTCATGCAAAGGCAGTGCTTGCTGGTATGGATTCTTTCCCCTCAGCCATTTCAGGTACCCATTGGTCAGCCTTGTGTTCCTACACCAGTTTGTAAATGGCAATGGCTTACTAACTACAACACTACAAATTGGACAGTTTTAATACTACAACCACTAAAAACAAACAAACAAACAAAAAAGAAAAAAAGAAAAAAGACACACAAAGATCATTATAAAATGTGAACGTTTTTCCTACTTAGCAGCATTTTTAAACCTTCACAGAGCGAAGCAGTGATCTGTTTACTACACAGAGCTAGGAGCTACCTAACTGGATGGCGCTTTCTTTCCTTTGATATTCAGAATACGAGAAAATGATGTAATAACTAACATTGCTTTATTATTTCATATCTGTACACTTAAATGAGTTCTGAACTTATAAAAAACATTTACAGAATAGTATTTTTCTGTGTGCGTGTTTCAAACGCATTTGGGGGAATAAAGATTAACACGGAAAATATTGCAAACTGTTATGCAGCAGATCAACAGCAATGCTCAAATGAGAACTCAGTGCTCAGCACACTATCACTCACCTACTGGTGATCAGTTAAAATATAACACGCATCAGTATAGAATCTGACTGCTTTAGAGTTGGTGGAGAGGACAGAACAAGCTACTATATAATGCCACCTTCTTGTTTTGCTTTCCTCCCACAGCTTTATCTTTGAATCTTACTCCAGGCTCTGTACACTGTTCACCACCATCTTCATTTATAACCAACTTACTGGGCTCCAAACCTACTCTCCAATTCAGTCCTCACTATGGTAATGTCTCACAGACTCCCCATGCTCCGACTCCATTCAATATTGCATGTCAGCTTCTTTGTTCTGATATTTATTCACAGACAGATTAAGTACAATGTGACTAAACCCAAGTCTCTTAGGGTTCCTCTTCAGTTCTCTGTGCTTCTTTTATGCTCTATTGTGGTTAAGACCATCATCTTCATTAGACATGCATGCAATTTGTGGAACATTTTTAATTCTTCCCTTATTCCACCTACACGGCTGTATCATGCCAAAACACTGCCATTTTTACTTCTCAAATACTGTGAAATATTCAGTTGTTTAACAGCTAAAAGACATAATAAAAAAAAAACAGTAGGTGTAAATAACTATTCTTTCAGCCTGTGTTATCGTGTCAGGTCTGTAAACTTATTCAAGATGCAAAGATCCCTTTGTCCCTTTGCCCCTCTACCCCTCCTATTCGACTGCCTTTCTGACTTGGTACTGAAGCTTCTTTACCCACTAACTTCGAAGATGTGAATTAAGTCATCCAAAGGCAGAATCTGCTATCCAGCGTTTCTTTTATTCAACCTATGAACAGGAAACTAAGTTTGACATCATTTTCTGGATACCCAGGCTACCTCTTTCCTGCAATGCCCTTACTTTTTACAGTGTTTCAGTACATAATGGTCATCGAAATCCACATGAACTCACCATCATTTATGTAACACAACCCTTTTCATGAACTGTTGTTTATATGGTCTTTATTCTTGACCTTTGCACACAGTCATATTATGATAATTGATTAGTTACATGATCACATCTGCCTTAGTGGAGAGATCACATCTCTTCTGGATAGGAACTGGAGTATCTGAGGGAAGGAAGCCAATTCGGCCCTGAAGAAAGTTAGTTCTGTGCAAAGAGTGTGTGACATAAAACCAAGAACTACCTTCAACTCTTACACAAACACGGTAATTCACAAATGTGCTGGCAAACAACATTCTGGCATACATGACTGTGCATTAGCTTTCAAACTTTGTATTTTTAACTACTGTGCATGCTCTGTTTATGCATTCAGTGCAATGTATATAAAACAAACTGAAAAAAAGTAAACAGAAGAATTCATTATTGCAAATTCTGCCTTCACACCCCAGCTGTGATACTTACCAGCTGGTCTCATCAGTTCTCCACCTAAACCCCTGCAAAGCAGAAACAGAGGCATCAGAGCATAACCCATCACAAGCAACCTAATGCAAAAATAAGACTCAACCATTTTAGAATGAAAGCAGCTCACAAAGTACCTTCATCTTTTGTACCTGACCAATGCTAAAATACTTCTTTTTAAATTAACTGTTTTCTTGACCTCAGCATGATTTATACAAAACCTTCCTGAATATTTAACTTTCTTCTTCCAAGGAATGCAGACCCAATCTTTCTAATATTAATGTGGATAATAAGAGACTGTCAGGTTCATTCTTTTCTTTTTACTCGCCTTAGAAGCATTAGAAACCTGCAGAACTTGCCACAGGATTTTTCAGTCCTACAGCTTCTGTGAGCTTCTGACTTGCACAACTGAAAGGCAATCACATGCAATGTTTTAACAAAACTTTTACCTCTGGAAACTTCACTTACCAGTTCCCATTTTCACAAACATTAACTGGTTCACTTTCCTTACAAAGTTTCTCAACCTTCTCTCTTCACCCTCCTCCTCTGTGCTAAAGACCTCTCAGAGCTGATTTTGCATTCTTCACCACAAGAAAGGTGGTACAAAAAAAATCCAACAGAATCCAACACATCAGAAAGGAGAAAGAAATAAGTGGCTTAAGATGTTTAAGACTTTCCTGGAAAGAATGTGTGTTACCTAAGAATGGCCTTACCAGCTCAGACCTGAGGCCTATCTAGTCCAGTCTCCTGTCTGAACATTAACCAGGCCACTGACGGCACCAGGTTAAAAGAAAGTTTAACACCATGAAGAGAAAGCAGAGAGGGAGAAGCATCTTGGAAATTGCAGGGCCTGTTTCCATTCTGCAGCCTTTCACGTCTCTGGGCAGAGACTTGTCTCCTTGCACCACTGAACAATGTCTGCTGGTTCCCCGGATATCCCCAAGGCACTGTGAGCACTGCTCGGAGTTGTTCTGCTCAGTGTCACTCTCTGTCGCAGCATTTTCCCATTTTCTGAACCTTTGACCCCTGCCCTTCCTTCGGATATTTCCTCCCTTGCCTCCTCATTCTTGTCTCCCTTCAGTTCTGCTAGAACATTTCCTCCCTGAGGTGTGCCAAACCCTTAATCACCTGTTTGTACGGCCCTGCTCTGGCAGAAACTCCCAGCAAGGGGGAGGAACAACAAAGGCTTTTTGTTTATATTATTATTTTTTTTTATAGAACCCTTTTCTTCCCTCCAACCTCCCCACAATAAAATTAGTAGCTGTGCTCAGAAGGCAAACCTAGCAACCCTAACAACTATTATAACTTTGTTCTCCAATTTATCCTTTTATATGAGCTTCAAAAGCCTAAACATTTTAAACAAGTTTTTCCATTCCATACAAGTAGGTGCCTCCTGTTACATGCACTTGGCTTTCTGGCTGCTCAACATTTTCATTGTTTTTTCAGGTAACGCAGAGCTGCCAACTCCACAATATTCTCATTTGCCATGGATCAGCAGTTCCTTTAATTGAGAAACTTTGCTTTTGACAATCAATACATTATCACATCAATCAAAAATATTATTACACAAAAATATTATTACATCAATCAATACTTTGCTTTTGACAATCAATACATTAAGCTTTGTGCAATAATCTACAGCTCAGTTTATCACCATTGAAAGAAAACACAGATTCCACATCCCCATGGTGACAGGTTCTTTGTATTATCTATCCCACCTTCCTGCCATGCTGTCTGCTCTCCAACTTCTAAAGAATTTATATTAGAAAACAAAGAAGTGATCTAATGAGGTGATACAGTGGCAAAAAAAAAAAACAGAAGAATGATGTGGTACGGCTTGCTTCCTCTTCAGTGTTTCTTTTCCCTTATTTTGTACCTCACCCATTCCTTGCCTTTTGTCTGTTGTCTTGCTGTAAATGAGTATAAAATAATCATCTTGTAAGCTTGTTTGGTGTGCAACAGAGTCTGCTGATGCAAGGATTCAGATATGGACTTCTGTTCTAACTACAAAGCAAGAACTGAGTCATAAAGGCTGCTCTTCTCCACTTCTACAGACTGCCAATAAGGAAGTCAGGCCACTCAAAGCTACTCTTATGCTAATAATTTGACAGCTATCCCTTCCTTTGGTATTACATCAGCTTAATTTAATTTCAGAGTTTAGAGCTTCACTGAGGGTTGTTGTCCCTGTGGAAGAACGAAGAACGATGACACAGCCTTGCACAGGAAGATTTCCACGTAACACAGAAACTATAATCAAATTATCTTCGAAGGCACTGTGATCCTGTGTGTTCTTCTCTGCAAAACTTTTCAAGTCATGTCCTGTCTACACAGCACAGTATGGCTGTCAACATATATATTTTTGTTTCCTTTTCTACAACTCACATTTATTTTGCTTTTAGAACTGAGAATTCAGCCATAACCCTAGATCTTTCCCCAGTCAGTGTTTACTTTGTCAAACATGATGTGCATCTCTCTATTAACTTTATCTTGCTCTGTAGTATTTCACTAAATTAAAAAGATAGAGATCTACCTAATTCAGAGATTCTGAATTTTGCTGTACAGTCAAGTATTCTCTCTTTTTTTATTCCACAGGCACATCCACAAGTTACATCATATTCTTAGATGTACCTGTTTCATGGTTTAATTACTAATTCAACTTGTAAATTGACTGATGCGGTGCCCAGGTTCCATTAGCTCCTAAGCATTGCTTCCTATGTGCAGTTCCACAGCAATGCCTCTCCACTAGAAACATTTTGGAATTCATTACAATCAAGTCATGGAAAACAATCAAAATACAGAATCCCTTGTAGAGCCAATGGATTAAGATTGCTGAACTACGTATACCAGTATATATTGTAAAATTATGCAAGCCCGAATCAGAATCAACGGTGCTGTTTTCAATTCATATACAAATTCAAGGAACTGTTGTAGATTTTAATTTTATTTAAAACTTGATTTTCAGGATAAGTTCAGAATTCATCTTTAAGATTATAAAAACAGCATTAATTGAAGGAGTTTGGAATGAATAACGTCCATGTTTTCATAAACATCTGAATCTGAAATTAAGATTACTGGAATATCAGAGGTGATTCAATTGCAAATAATTCCCAGAAAGCTAAGAACGCTTGCTGAAATATTTTCATCTCCATATGAATAGTAACTGATTATTTTCCATGGGAACAATTTGTCCCACACAGAATTCAGCTATCTTAAAGGCCCAGTTTATAAATTTACAGGCCTTTGAAAGTACAAAATATCTATATAACAAGGTACACAGAGGCAGCAAGTGATACCCTTAAGCACAGATAAATAAATAAAAATCCATGTACGTAATAAAGCTGCTATTGTCATCCCCTACAGATGCAGAAATTAAACAATACAAACCTTAGAAACACCTATTTTTAGGTTACTGTAAGTTCATACGCTGGGCATACACTTTTTTATAGTATTCTAACACTATAATACTGCATGTGAAATCCTGGCTCTATGGAATAAGAGTTTGCCCAGTGCCTTCAGTTAGAGGCAAAAGAATTTCACCTCACAGCTTTTTCAAGTACATGAAACTATACAGTACAAAGTGTTATTTTGAAAAAAAAAAAAAAAAAAAGCTGAGCAGTGGATAATCCAGCAAATAGCAGTAAACATCTGTTAGTTCCTTTTTACACGACGTTCCTTCCCAATCTGAAATATTTCATTGCTCTATTCAAACCTTTAAAGCTGGCCTGAGTATAAAGCATAGCATCAGCAGCCACGTGTCAGTTAAAAACAAACAAAGAAAAAAGCAGTTGTAAGTAATCATTTTATTTTTTGCAACGGTACCTAGAGCACAAACTCCTAGAACCACCATGTTACTAGATGCAAAAAATAATTCAAACTTGAAATTATTTTTAAGATGAACTTTATTGTAAGGCTGGAATTATTTGCTGGTTCAGTTTATATGCCTAAAAAGCTTTTTTACATAAATGACTGCCAAGAAACACATTGCCCTGAAACCATCAAGATTTGCTGCAAACGTAAGGGTCTTTGAAATAAGAAAAGTTTGTCTTTTGCCTAGTACTTGTCAACACCTACAGGCTACCTTCAACCGTTCTTTTGGAACGGTTGAAACTCTGAAGATGGCTGTCCACGAAAATCACTCCTCTGACATAGCTGACTGTAATACCTGCAGCCCGTCTCTCCATATGTTAAAAGAATGAGATCAGAGCAAAACTCAGCGTGCAGCACATTGCACCAACTGAATCATCCCGTGTGGGTGTTGCTACCAAACACTGTGCTTCCTGTCGTATTCTCTGATGGGAACCCTGAAGGCCCAGGAAAAGAACATTTGCTGAAATACAGAAGTGCCATGCAACCACCTGGAAGAAGTGCAGTCTGTGTCTGTAGCACTTCCATATCCATTCCTAAATTATCTCGTTACCCAACTCTGTGCATTAAGACCTGTATTACCAGACTCAGAACTGGCTACAAGAAAGGAAACAAAGACCTGAACATTATTCAGGTGAATGCACAGTCAAGAATCCTGTATCAGATGACACATTTTAAAGAATCTGAACAGTAGTTAAAAAAAAAATAGAGTTTTCTTGAGGATTTTTCAATGCTGAAAACTAGCACAAGGTGTTAGATGCATTACAGAAGTATACGCACTACAAAAAAGGTTCAATGCTGGCTTAATGGAAGTAGTGGTATACAAAATCAGGCTGACCATTAACTGTTCAAACTGGCAGACTGATTTCCTATCCCAAGTAAGACAGTTTTTGACAACACATGCCACATGTTTTTGTGTCAAGTTTTTATCTAGAAAAGTAATGCTTAAAGCAAATAAGATGAGCTTTTTTTTTTTTTTAAAAAAAAAAAATAATAATAACTCCATAATATAGCCCATAAAGCACAAAACTGACAAACACTCTGTTGAAGTGGTATGTTTTGCATGGCTTCACTCACTTGCTATAATTAGTGACCATTTAATACAGAAAATCAGGCAATACTCAGCTGGAAGTGCACATGCAAATGCTTAAACCAACCAGCTCCTCAAGACAAACCAGTGCATCAAATGTGTCAGAAACAGAACTAATGAAAGGAAGTACATGCTGGATGTGCCTGGACTTGCTTTCTTCTTTTTCAGCATACTATGTTAGGTCCAGGAAAGCTCTTATACAGGAAGACAAAAAGACACTGATATTTTTCAAAGATGTTACTAAAGTAGAAGACAGGAGTTTCTACAATTAGCATAAACAAATTTGATTACTTCAAATGTTCTCAAAATTGAGAGGCTGTGCAGGGAAACTCAAAGCTTTGCCTGTGTTCTGTCTGAAGGATAATTCATGGACATGGTTCCAAATCAGGTTAAAGACATTACCAGAGCTGCTAAACAAAGTAAGATGGATAGTTACATAAAGGTTTCCATTGCAGCACTGTGGCGTTAACTTTTTTTTGGCTTGAGTTACTTCGATATTCAGCGAAAACCTAGGAGTTAGGCAATTAAGGTCATCACGGCCCATTTTGCAGTTCAAAACGTGTAAATTACAACTTCCATAAAAATAACAGAACTTGTACAGTTTACTTCCTTTTCTTTCTCATAGGCCAAAGTAGGTTATGAAAACAGCTTGATCAACACAATTAAATCAATTTAGTACAGAAGAAGATAGCTGTTTTTTTTGACAGAAGTGAAAGTGAAATATCTAACAATCAGTTGAGACATGTGACCAGACGTTTTTCATTTCAGGAGTTTAAAAACTAGAAACACAAATAAAACACATGGGTTTTCAACATTCCTTCAAGACATTATTACACTGAAAATTCCCGGTAGCAATTTCTCAAATGGAAATCTTTGGAATATTATGTGCAACAATTACTCATCACAAAACAAGTTTGGCTTGTTTCACTAAATGCTTGCCTAGCAATACTCAAATTGCTGTTTTGTTTTTATAACCTAGTTTACTTTTCTTGTCCAATTTTAAGACATTTTATGCATACCAATATTGTAAAATATGGATTACAGTAGACATCTCTGTCTCTGCCTAAGTATTAGAGTAAACAGCAATGAATCAATTTTGCTTGGAGTTGAATTAGAAGTCTTATCTAGGATGAAAACATTTCTGTAGGCATCTTATAAATACCATTAAGTGCAAGAAGTGCACATTATGACAAAAACAAATTACACCCAAGCTCCACCCTGACATTAAAGAATTTATGGGAGCCAAGACAGCCACCCACAAAGACACTAATATACAGTATCAGCATTAAAAGTATCCTCCAGTGCAAGCTAACCTTGGAATGGAAGTTTCACATCAGTACATACACCCCTCAAAAAGCAAACGTTAATATTTTTTTTCAGGAATATTGAGGATACAAAATCTTACATAAAATTATTTAAAGCATAAATTATAATTACACACACACACAAAAAACCTACTTAAGATTCTACGGTTTCCAGATACATCATGTGCAAAGACGTGAACTAGATAACTGCCTAAAAGCCCACACCATTTGTCAGTTAAAGAAAAAAACTCATTCACATATACAATCATTATGGAATACAAGTCATTAATTATGTTTTGATTTCCTTAAATTTAGGAACAAACCCTGAAGTCACATACCAGTTTTAATTCACATTTACTTAACTGTTACTTAGGCAAGCTCCTTTTAGTTCCTGGAAGCTTCAATAAATAGCAAATGAAGAACAACTCAGTGAAAACTCATTTTCATTTTCTTTGGCTCAAGAATTAAAAAATAGTATCGAATCTTTTCTAATACTTCTGGCCTACTCATTATGCAGCATGGAGAAAGTACTTCTAGAATTTAGCTACAGGTCCTTTAAAAAAAAAAAAAAGACAGTAAATTTGTACTGAAAGGTTATTTCTGCAGAGCTATTTGAACCGCACAAGTACTTATAGGACAGGTGAATAACAGGAAAGAAATCCTTTACATACTGCTGAAGCCATGAATTAGTGAACATATTCCGTTCCTCGTTCTTTCCCTTCTTTAACTATCTCTGTCACAACATTACGACCAGTACTTACCACTTTCCCATTAGTCTAACATGCCTGCAAGTCGCACTCTCTAACACCACAACCATTTTAAAATGGCCTTGGTCTCCGTAATAGGTAGACAAAGCCAAAAGAATGCACGCGCTCACATTCTGATGAACTCTGCTAGCCTGGCAGTCTATGGTATGTATAACTAATTTGTACAAACCAAAAAAGCCCCTACATGCTACTTTTCTCATTATTTCTACTGATACTTTCCAATACAGAAAATAAATTTGTTAGTCTATTTTCTTACCTGTACAACTGTCGACCGCAAAGCTGAGGAAAAAACACACCAGTATTAAGAAAGTTCTCTTGAAATAAGTGTTTTCATTTTTTGTCTTCACATGCAATGTCTATGCACTGTGTGCTACACAGCACTTGGAATTACTTTAAAATTAAAAATCAAAGTAAAAATATTTTTAAAGTACACAGTTTTATGATACTATTTCCAATGACACATCGAGAGTATATCCGACCGAAATTTACATTCAAAGGAAACCCATTTAACACATTCCTAAAGCACTAGGTTTCTTCATTTCAAATCCTAGCAGCTCCTGCACATACTCTGCAAGCTTGTTCTGCTTTTTAAAATACATTTGCTTTCCACATTTGGCCCTTTTAAAATAACCATATACTGTGTTGACTAAAAACTCAAGAGTACCTGTTAGCTACAGATTGAACAGAAAAAGAAAAAGTTCAATTGTAACTGCATTATCTCATTGTCGACATTACAGTATATCATCTTTAAAAATCAGAGATTATCAAATTTAGCTGTAGTAAAACCTGAAAGAATAGATTTTTTAAAAAGAACGAGCTTACATAAAAACTTTGCAGATTAATTATAAACAGACAAGAGCAGAAATTGGAAAATATCATAACAAATTAAGGCCACGGTAACAGAACAGATAGTGCTGATTAAGCTTACAGGCATTTCAACACAAGAAAGTTAAACAAGGACAAAGATGCCTTTTCAACTTGTAGCAGCAGCACAGAATTTAACAAGCACCAACATACTTAAAGCCTAATGGGTAACTGGTGAAGCCTGACAGCTTTAGTCAGTCAGAACTGAGACTGAGGGACTACAGATACTGCAAAAAAGAGCAGGAGCCTGAATGCTGAAGAACTGTCTGTTCCACAAGGTGAAGAAATGGGAACCAGAATTAAAAACCAACAATATACATTATTTAAGATTAAAGGGACAAGTTCAGCAAAATTATCTTTGTATAAGTGTTTTAAATTTTTATGAGCAGGACAAGACTTCATTTGTCCTATCATGAAGACATCCTAGATAAAGACAATGCATCAGCTGAAATCCAGAATGTGACTTTTGAAGTCCATAAACAGGTAAATTACAGATGCAAGGGTTTAGCACTGAAACTATGTTATAAAAACCAAACAAGCAAAACCAACCCCAAAAACAGAATATAAAGGACAGAGAACAAATAGACTGAGTAGATTTCTCCTGAGCATAGTCACATTAAGGGAACAGCCATACCATCTATCTGCAAGGCTGATCAGTATGTATAGAAAGGAAGGGAAAAAAAAACACAAAACACCAGGCAATATTTCAAAAGTGTAACTGATAGAGTAAGTGCCTTAGCTAAGAAGCTGGCAGGACAGAAAGGGACCAAATACAAAATTATTGTGAAGTAAGAGACATGGTCCACAACACTTACCAAAGAATCTCCTATAATGTGTCCAAATTCATATTTGGGAGATTATTTACTTTTGGCAAGTGGAAAAGAAGGGTGGAGAACAACAACTGTCCTAATTACAAATGTTTGTTTAAAAATAATACAACATACCACGTTACAAGATACATTTATACTTCCTACAAACCTCTTGATGGATTTGCTTCAGTCCCTCCAATGATTTTTCATTGAAATAATATGTTACAGATCTGTAAAGGTATACAAAATTTTTAAGAGATTTAAGAGATTAATTTCTTAATCATGCTACAAGTTACTCTTCTTCCATGACTTAATGTATTTTAAATAGAAAAACAATCATTTGACTCCCACACTATTCTCAACAGAAATATTCAGTATTTAATTTTAATGAGTTCAGTAAACATACCAGTAAATTCTTTCCTTACTATGTAGCAAACATTCTTAAAAGATTTTTAAAAAGTCATTTATTAATAATACTATAATAAATATACACAAATAGCTATTCTCATTTCAGTTGTACTCCACCACTTCTATATTTTTTCCATTAATATCAAGCATTTCCCACTACTAAAAATGCTCTACATCTTTTTTTGCTAACTTTTCAACTTTATTCACATGCACAAAATATGTTACTTGAAAAGGCAACTCTTAAGATTAACACAAACTCTTTTGTTAGACACTACTGAGAAATATTTCTCACCAAAGTCATAAAAAAAGTATATACTTCATACCTTTCATCTGAATTCCACTCAGTATATATAGCTCGTACAATGACATTGCATTTATTAAATGTCACCCTTCTAGATATATTTGTATGAATGCATTAGAATGTTTTCAGAAGTAAAATAAAAAAAGGTTAGTCACAGTAATTATCCAACTTTTGAAAAAGGACCCAGAAAGTCCATTATAACATATATATATATATATATATATATACACACATACACACATCGAAGAAATACATATCTGTGACTGTTGCAGAACTGTATTTATTTTCAGTAAAGTTTGTATTTTGGGGTCTTATCATCCACTGCCTTGATCTTAAACACCTGCTCATCCCTATTTAAGTCAAGCTAGTATAAAATTCTACCACTAATGTAGATTCTAAATTCTAGTTCTGCAATAATGACTTCCAAACATTTTTCATAAATGATTAATGTGAAAGAAAGTAAACTCATTTCTTTACAACACTAAGGCAAAGACACTGCCAAATAATTTTGTCAATTATTCTGGGTATATCTCTTAACTATAATTCATGTGTGTGTGTATATACACATCCCTTCCATTCAACAGTGCTATTTAAATCAATCCAAATCAACAAGCTGCTTCTCTAATGCTGAAGATGAAAGACTGTTCCCTCACCAGGAAGCCAAAATACTTCTGGTGAAGGGCTGGTAGTGCAGGGATGGGTTAATCTGTACTGAAACACTATCTTTGAATTCTCCAAGTAAGGCAATAAACGATCTCACTTTCCAAGATGATTTTAGACTTAAACGTAACATCACCAAATAAAATGTGAAGGCTTGATAACCATACAAAAATTCAATGGAAGAGACATTTAGTAAGATGGGATTTCCATAATTATACTGAGGAAGCTTTCACTGTATCAGACATGAAAGGAAAATTTATAGTCAAGATAATCTAGCATTTATACCTATTATTCTCTTCGGCTAGTTTACACAGTGCATGGGTGATCTCAGCACAGGCAAGAATTGCCCCATGGCGTGTGTGCAGATCTGTGCCCACTGATAAAGGTAGCAGTCTTGGCAAAACTGAAAGAGATTAAATAATTATTTTTTTAAACAGAGCATACTGACAGATCGCAGTTCTAAATGTAAACATGTCAGCCTAGAAATAACATTGGAAAACCATTTCTGGAAAGTCAGGCCAATATATTCTCATCATTATGTGAGAAACAAGTTTTAAAAACACAAGTAAATTCTGACAACACATGCTAAACCACACCTAGAAATTTTGTGCATACAACCTAGCTTCCCTGTTTGGCATAAATAAAAAACATTGGCATTGGGTTGGCTGAGCGGTAGAGAAAACGAGGCTTGTAGCCACCTTCATGGAATTTTACTTCAACGTAAACTGCCACTTCCATGCCACTGTCACCTTTCTGACCCTCCCTAGGGAGTCTAGGTAAGATCTGTAATCTGGGTTTCAGCTGCTGTCTTTCAGGCATAATAGAAAGCAGCTAGTACATCCTTGGCACCTTGAGTGGGCCGAGCAAAGGACTGTGAATTCATTCAAGAAACATTTGATTACACACACAACGATCAGAAAGAAATTCTTCTGAAGATGTCAGACTGGACAAGACAAAACAGATTCTATGCAGAACCTGTTATGAGTTACCTACCCACATTTGCCATGTATTCAGGAGCCCGTGGAGTAAGGTTATGCAGAGCCTTAGTTGCAAGTTCTCGAATAACACTGAAGATGTAAAAAAGCATTTTTGGAGTTTTCTTGTTAGCAATTTAGTAGAAGTAATGTGTTAAAAAAAAACAAGGTCAGGAAGGGCCTCCTGCCCACAATCAGAATAAAGACCCTAGCAACATTAACAGATGTGGTATTCTCTGTCCATCCTAACCTTCCCTCCTTAAAAAAAGCCAACAAAACAAAACAATGGGCCAAAGAGACAGCCTACAGCTAGCTTTTAGCTATATGAATAGACCTTATTGCTGAAAGAGACAAAGAAAAACATAAGTGTGGATGGTAGAACCTGAGGGCTCATTCTATACATTGGCAGGGACACTACAGTAAACTATTATTATTTCTCGTGATGCAAACTATTATCAGCACTGATATAATCTCATTTGTGTTATATGTACATGTTTTAATCTTCATGAACATTGAATATGACTAAGCTCTATCTCCATGCATGAAATCTACTTTAATTATGATAATTGTATAGTGCTGGTGTTTACCACTCACATATACTATATACCATATAAACGTGTTTTATTAATCTATTAACAGATTGAGGTCAAAATTCATAAGCACATTTTAAGTGACAATATGCTAGAAGGCATGGATGACGTCAGCTACTACTTGCCTATTCCCCTCAGTCAAACAGTGTTACAAACTCTGTTTTAAGTAACATAAGCATCACATGCAGAAAAGCCAATTCCTGGATGTTAATGTAATTAGACTTTATGAACTTACCTATCCCAGTGGTTAATCTTCATGTTAACTAAATGATCGATCATTGGTTGTGTATACTCAGGAAAACCAGCAATATACACACTGAAAAGAGAAAGATCTATATGATAGAGAATCAACAAGTGTGTGCATTTTAGTACAAGCTACTCCAAAGATTAAAATCCTCTGGTTTTAAAGCAAGCAAAAAATTACTTAACCATGCCTTCTCCTTAATGAGACGCAGCTGAATGAAATAAACAATAGTAAATATTTTACAAGTACTGTCAAATATTTAAATCACTTTTGCAAAAGTCTTTCAGATTCTCTTTAAAAACTGTGATACAAACAAAAAGCTTGACAACAATGAAAAGCAAAAAATAGTCAGTTCCCATTGCTACATTCTACAAAATGGGGAAGTACACACATATAGTAGTAATTTTAGATTGCAGAAATGTGTTAATGTAAAATACACACTGCACAATAAAATTATGTTATAGAAATGTGTTTTATGTTCCCAGAGACAATATTCCAAAAATGAATAATGGTTTTGATTTGATCCTTTTAAAAAATAAACATACAAAAAGTCAATTATGACAAAAATATTAATGCTGCAAGGTCAAGACCTAAGATGCAAGGGAACACCGGAAGTAATTAGCTAGGCAGCCTGCATAATTACCTGACTTTACAGACAGATTTGCTTTCCAATCTTCAGAAGCATCAACTATTGAAAGCTAAGGTCAACAGAAGTCTAGTGAAATGTTTTTTAAGTGCATCTGATGTACATTAAATAATCTTGGAAAGCCAAACAACCAGTAGAATGTGTTTGTGTCAAAATGGCGTGCACGAAAAGACAAAATTAAGGACACATAGATTAACTTAACATCACCTTCTCGTATCTTTTGAGTGATTAACCTTGCAACCATAACAGCATTCCATTAATATACATGTGTGTAATTAGAAAAAAAATAAGTAAAAATTAAATGCTGTTGTATGTTAACACACTGATATTTACACAATTCATCAGAAGAATTAGAATCTTTAAATCCACAGTACAACCTCAGTCATTTGAACACAACACACAAGTGCCACCTGCTACTGCTACGAGACCTGGAGGGGGATTACAGGCAGGCTGCCAGCTGGATTGATGGATTGTTGATGCCAGCAGAGAAATGGTAAAATTCATTGCTCTGTTGTTCCCTTCCCTGTTCTGGGAGAACACGCAAATTCCCTCTGACATAGCAGAAACTCTTCTCTTCATGACAGCTTTTTGGATCTTAGTTTTAGCACCAACCATTCTTTCAAGCCATTTTACTCTGAACTTAGTTGCACAGCTCAAAGTTGCATCTTTTGGACAGTGTTGGTAGTCCACTCTCACTTCCACTTTTAGTTGATAACTGCCTTTAGCTAGAACCTTCAAGTTTTGACCCCGACTGAGTATTTTATACAAATAGGCTTTTATACAATTATAGCCTTCCTGACAATGTTGTTCTTTATTTAGATTAACAAAGTTTCTTTCTGAACTCTACTTTTACACAGCCCAGAACTCCTGAAATCAGTCTCGTTACTCCCAAGTTCATATTAAAATAGGACATAGGCTTCCTCCACTTTCATCCTCAGAAATGGATTAACATATTTACGCTGAATCTTCCAAAGAACAGTCAGCAAAAAGTTTCCAAAGAACAGCAAGTATACAAACTTTGCATAAAAATACCTGGATTTGGAAGGTTAAGCAACTACTTACATACACATACGTAGTACATGTATCTAAAAACCTATATTCTTGTAGAGAAGCAGTATCATAAATCATTTAATAACCAAAAAATATTCAACTGTAGAAACTGACACATACTTATTGAGCTTTTGCTGCTCAAAGTAGATTCACTAGCATAGACTTTCGAACCTGCACGGTTTCCTTTCATATAGCAGCAAACAGCGTACCAGGATTTTATTTATCTGGGTGGGAAAGAGAAAGCTAAAGATTCTAGATCTGCAATATGAACCTCAAGTAGCTTTTTCCAGCTACATAAACAATTACACCACCTTAAGGCATACCGATCAGAAAGGTTCATTCTTCCTACCACATCATAATGATACATGTTTTCTGTGCAGTCAAATATATGCTTATACACTTTGCTTTGATGTTACTCAGACAAAAATAAGGAAATAATTAAGTATCGACCCAAATAATTACATCCTGCTCGAAAAGCAAAGTGGTGAAGATTTTAACAAGTAATATAATGTATTAGATGACAAATAATTTACAAAGAAGAGTTTGATTAATAACACTGAACATGGTTTCAGGGAATCATGCTACTAACTGTATAAGATTATTTATAAATAATTTGCAAATTTATTCTTCCTGTTACACAACTTGAAGAAAGGCACAAGAAGTAAAGAAAAAAAACAACCTTCAAACATTTTCACTTAGGTAAGTAACACTCCAACAAAACCTCTAGAAATCACAATGAAAGAAGTAATAAATGAAACATTCAAGAGAAAAATTATCACAGCTCTCAAGAAGTATGAGAACATAATTAACTTTCAAACTAAAAAGAGAGAATAAAAAACATGTGTGCCAATTTTGAGTATCTTCAATTTTTTTCCTAGTATAGAAAACCAGACTTCCAAAATTTCCATTGACGGTCTACCAATCCAGGGCAGCATTGAATACCAAGCGCCTACATTTCCCCATCTCAGCTCAGTAGGCGGGAGCTCAGGGGAAGAGTGTAGGAGGAGGGTGTGGACCACAGAGGAAAGACAGTAGGTAAAAGGTGAAGATATGCACAGACTGGAATGATTATGCACAAAAAGGGACAATAGGGTGGTGGCCAAATTAGTGAAAAATACTCAAGAAGAGAGACAGGTACTCAGTGCAAATTATCTTTAAAAAAACGTTCCTTGGAAGTTATGAAGCTGGTAAAGAAGCATAAGCCTTTTTACTTTGCTATTTCTCTTTCCCAAGAATCTAATCTCTTCAAACCTTTCTAACCTGTTGGCTTCTCAGAGCACCATGCACCATAGGGCTATTTATCTTACGTATCTTAAAATGGTCTGAATCACCTCCTGTAAGTGCCTGTCTCTTTGCATTGACTATAGAGAGAGGCCAGACAACTAGGCTAGACCGTCTGTCTTCGACATACAACTAAAGGTAGAACCCAGCCCTCAGCCTTTTTCATCTTTTCATGAGGAAGTGTAATCTTTTGTTCATTTTAGTCATTCTGTGCGCACAACTTGCCTTTGAATTCCCCTTACTTCAGCTTTATTGTACTTTCAGATAGCTGACCAGCACAGAGCATGGCATTCCAAGAAAAGCCACTGATTTATAATAGCACCACACCAGTACTGGTATTTCCCATGACATTCTGTGCAGAATCCATAATGCAGTGATCAGTTTGGTTTTTCAGAATTGCTGCATACTGTGGTTAGAGTTTCACTGAGCATTCTATGAAAAATATAAGCACTCAAATTAAGGGTCTACAAATTCAACAACCCATATCTGAGTCTAACTGCCATCATAACAGCCTCTCCATTTGCTCCAGCTCTTCAGAAGTCCCTAATCTTATCTAAGCTCAACCAGCCTAGACAGTTTTGTGACACCCACAAATAACGTCTCTTGGCTGCTTCCTCCAGTTTCAGTGCATCTATAAAGTAACAGATCACGTAGACAAGTTGGAGGAACATCACAGTCTCACTTTCACCATGTTTTATATGTAATTAGCAGTTTGATATAGAAACAAGGAAAAACAAGTTTTCACGTATTAGAAAAACAACAATAAACATAATATTGTTTGTATTTATTATGTTTATTGTATTTTATTGTTTATGATTATTGTTTATGTTTACTGTAAGGTCAAACAATCAAACAAATACTTCATTAAATAAAAGAGGTCCCTTATGTTTAAGAAAGCATAAAAAAATAACTTACCTGATAGTCAGATAACAGTTAACTCTGTTACCAACAGCAAAATAATCAGCTGCAGTTAAAATGTCTATGCCATGTGGAAAAGTGCCCTATGAACATTGTAGATAAGAGGAAAAAAAACAGAAAATAATATTTTAAAATGTATTTTCTGAATAGACAATGTATTGAAAATAATCCCCTACTACTGTACAACCACTAAAAAAATACAATTTAATTTCTAATTTATAGTAAAATCACTTGCACTAAAGAGATAAAGGATATTATACAGAAGCAGCAAAATGTCTAGCTTCACTTGTGAGTCAATGATAAGCCAAGTAAACAGCAGCAGGTAATAAACTATGCAATAGCTATTTTAACACTTTCAAGTCATAGCCATGTATATTATTTGTTGATTGCATTATGCATGCACAAAAAAAATCTCTAAAAAGTTTAAATAAATGTAAACGTGTTTTTTGGATTATGCAAAGGAATGAGCTTCTGTTGCAAGTTTTCTGAAATGTAAAATTAGGAATTGGGCACGAAAATATGCATCACATGTAGAATAAATGGGAGCTCATATACTTTTATGTTGCTACTTATACATGTATTTTATGATTTATTTGTTAATGAACTAAAGAATTGTTTGTTTTTAAAAAGAGCACTGGCTCCTAGCAAAGTCTGCCACGTTAAATCCTTAAGAAGTATGATGCTTCTGACATCAATGCTCAAAAAATTATGGTTTCAGAAAATTAATTATAATCCTAAGTATGTAATCACCACCTAAGATTTGTCTTTTAAAACATCAATAATATAATAAAATGTCAGAAATTCAGAATTTTGATCGGCTATAACTGACTTAATATAGTACTACGCAGCCTGGCTGTGTTTTGGAATGGAGGAGGCAGCATAGCCACCACAAGCCATAATTAAGTATAAATGGAAAAGAGCCAACTGAAAGACACTATGCTTACTTACAGAAGGGACAATCATATGATATTTAAGCAATAAGGCTATGTGGAAGTACAGGTTCTGGATATGATATAGTTTTGTTTGTTTACAGTTCACTCAGCCCTTCCACATTAGGATACAGCCATGAAAAAATAGTAAAAAATATCTTTACATCTATGCCTGAATAATTAAAGAAGCACACAGCACAAGCAGAAGGAAGGTGTCAGCTGCTGCAGAAGTCTTTTGCTGGGTAGCATACTGCCAACTGTCCAAAAACCAAGGCCTGCAATCTGACTGAACCAAGAAGAGCAGACAGAATATGTACAGCTCATACAAGAGACTACTTGCAAGCCCTAATAACTCAAAGAAGAAACGAATGCACTCTCAAAAAGCCTCATGAAACACCAATTTGGAAAAAAAATGCACAAGAAATACCTAACCACTATTTGTAGCTAAACAAGGTGACATACTGTGAAATATGTAAGAAATGTAAAATGTAAAATGTGAAATGTAAAATATGTAAGAATATGTGATATTGTACATAAGGCAAAATCACAGCTAAACAATTTCAATTCTAGCTTGTACTTGGACCGTGCTCTTTATAACTGGACTGTAAGCATGCCAGTTTCATGCTGTCTCATCACAGGTCAGAGTGCCACAGTGCATGTGTCAGTGAGACAGGAAAATTCCTAAAACCAAGTTCAAGAGTACAGAGGTCATGGCTTTAGAGGTCATGACTTCCATTCCATCAAAATATTTGAAACTTACTTCTCCAATACAAAAGTTCATCTTATTAGAAGAATGGGTTTTTGCCATTATTTATGCTTTATATATATTCTGCAATTTTTTCAGTGTTTTCACTTACATGAAAAGTAATTTACAAGGCTTGTTCTTCTGAGGCCATAAAAGCAAGTTCTCAGATTTAGGTCACGTTGCATTGCAAAGGTGAAGCAGGCAGGAATAAGGAAATAAGCAAGGTCAATTTTTTTCTCCACGTATTTCATATCACCATTGTTACTTCAGATGGAGAGTACGTTTCAGTTCCTTCCAATTCAGAGAAAGGGTGACTCTTTCAACACCTTACATCCAGGTAAAGGACTTTAGAGGGTGTATCCACTGATTAAGTAATCATTTTCCTAGGCAGTAGGGAATAGTTCAGCAAATAAAAACTTCTGAACTTCTACAGGAACTAGCTGGGAGACCGATACTGCTCTTCATGCCATAACTTAATTATCTTACTACTGACTCCTCCTTAGCAGTCCAACATGGTTGCTGAAATTGTGTTTTCAATCAGCATCAAAAAACATGAATTGTGTCAAAGCAGTATTGTTAATTTCCGGTTGTAAACTACCTCTGACCAAGCAATAAAAAGCTCTACGGAACTTTTCCTACATGAAAGCATTTCTAAGCCTACAACACCCAAGAGCCCTGTCTCTTCTGGAACTAAAGGCAGAGTAAGGTGTTTACTCCATTCAGTGCCTTATGAAGTGGAATCAGGATGAGTAGTTTTGTGATGACTAACCTCTTTGAGCAGTAACTATAGACCCAGGGAAGAATCAGGCTGGCTTCTACTTATCACAGACCTAGTTGGGTCAGGTCATCAAAAATACCTACCCTCTTCCTCCCGGTCTTCTCGCATCCTTTCTCTGCTATTAACCTCATTCTGTCTAGAAATTCACACACTACTTCAGGACACATTGCTTAATAACCATAGCTTTAAAGGAATAATATCCTGGCTCGTAACAGAGATCTTGAGGAATGATAGCTGGGAAAAGCTAAACATCGCATTTTAACAAAGATGCCTTAAAGAACGTCTTATTGAAATCAAAATTTGCTTGAACCATGCTCTTAACTCTACATGCCTTGCTTTGTCAGAAGAATACACTAGCTGAATTATTTTCCACCCTGTAAGTTGTATTTTCAGCTTTATTAATTCCTGAGGAGAAATGAGGAAACTTCGAAATTGAAGTTCTTATCCTATTTGCTTCTCCAGCAAGGTTGCAAATCAAAGTTCTTTGAGCTTTTTAACAACGTAAATCTTGCTAAATTACATAGGAATCTACCACAATACTTTTTTTAAAAAACTTAGATTCCTTTAAAATTAATGGATTTCTCAGGAGCTTCTAGATGGTAGCATTACGATACAGCAAGCACAACCCAAATACTGGGTTTAAGAATCTTAAGCCTAGCTCATTGTCTTATCACCAAACCACAGCAAAGATTGTGCAGCACACTTCAGCTCTTCCACTTGTTTAAAACTGGAATGCCAGTGGGACTAAAGAATAACCCAAACTTGTGCTTTTCCTGCTTTAAGAGCATTGCAACTTGGAAGGTGTAGAATGGCTGCGAATTTTGCTTCTCCAAATGACTTACAATTACCAGATAGCCCATCTTCTTCCAAAACCAGAATACTAAAATAAAACTCACATCTCGGGAAACTATTGCGCGAGAACCTGCTTACTGGTAGTGAAAATACATATTTTGTAACGTTCTCCTACTCATCTTCTCTGAAGCCACAGCATCTAATTTTGATTTGAGGTACTACACGTTTACACTCATCTCCAGAGCACACTCATGAATGAAGATTCAGGAAAGTTACCGTACCTGTCTCCCAACATTCTCCTGGAAGGCAGCCTGAAGAACAGAGAACAAACATACCAAAACGAGTCAGGTTTGCTTTTTGATAAACACCAGATGAATTCAAAACACACAACAATATAAATGACCCATGGCTTTTCTTTTTTAAATAAAGTAAGCTTTGTTAATAGAACAAGCCCACAGGGCTTTTTTGTTTCTGCGTCTCTGTGCTCTAGTGTTCTTAAAGCTGCATGTTGCATGACAGCAGTTTAAGAATGCAAGTTTATTAAACTAGTCACACCCAGAAGAGTGCTTTTGACTACTGACACAAGGCTTTGCACTAGAGTTGAAAGTCAATACTTGGAGACAACAGAAATTGAGACAGTTTGCTTTTGCCTGACTACTGCAACATCACTGGCTTATAGTAGGCCAAGTCTGATTTTTGTTCAGTGCAAACTTCAGACAAATATCAAGAACAAGTATTTGAAACAATCTGAAACCACATTGAAACAGTAAAGGTACAAAATCTGAAGGCAAAATTCATGTATGTTTCTCGTGTTTTCAATGAAAGAAACTAAAAATCTTCCAAACTGCAATACAACCATAAAGTTAATCTCTCTACCTGTACTGTATATAGAATAAAATCTACTCCATACTCCTTATTAGGCCCTGAAATTTCTCTCAAAAAGTCTCCATTTATTTTTTCTCTAAAGAAATTATAATCATAAGTACAAATAAAAACTTCTCTAAATTTTAACTCTTTTCAGAGACTAGTGTCCATCATTATCTGGACACTTCTCTTTTGTAATGTCCCTCCATCAGTGAACACAAATCTCCAGGAAGGAATAGCATTTACCACCTGACAACTGATATTTAATATACAGGGGTACGTTGAAGTCCCAATCTCTACTGAAAATGTTACAAGAACTTCAACAGACAAGAGTTTCTGTATTTCCTACATAAATACGACGCATGTGGTAATCCACCTGCAAAAACAAAAGGTTAAGCTCACCAAGGTATCGTATTCTACATATGGAGCAAGCACTCAGAACACAGGTGAAGCAAGGCCTAATGAAGCCAGTCTCCCACTGTACTTCTGAGGTTACGTCTGCTTAGGATAATGACTGCAGTTCCTGTAGACTTGCCCAGGCTAGCTCAGCTCCTTCTCGCAGTGCATCCATTGCAGGACTACTAACGCAGGCCAACTCAGCTGCTTATCCACCTTGCAGGCAGGTTTAGGAGCCCACCTTAGTTTGTGCGGTGTGGTGTCGTAGCCATGCTGCCAGCACTGCCCCCAAGGTAGCTGGTTTAGGATTACCTCAGGTAGAGACTATCCTCCGCAGCAACTGAAGCGTAGATACACCCTTGGGCAACATGTAAAGCAGCCTTCCAGAACAGGACCGCGAGCTGCAGCAATGCCCTAGACTTCATCATCATTGTACTTTCTTTTAAAAACATACTGCTCAAACGTGCATTACTGATACAAAACGTAAAAAGATTTTTTTTTCTGTTGTTAAGATCAGAAACTTTACCATCCAAAGAATGTAATTCTTGTCTCAAGTTTTCTTCTACTTGAAATATATCTGTAGGCCCAGGTCTAAAATATACTGTGGCAAAATCATTGTAAAAAGATCTGTAAGGGCCTATATATGACATAGAAGGAAAACAGCTACAGTTCATATACATTTCATTGAGTTTTTTACTTAATACAGGAATTTTAAAATTCCAGTGCTAAATCACCATTTCATTTTCTAACTCATTTAGAAAGGTGATCATGAAGGTGGAGAAGATACAAGTCCAGCAGCATGGTAGAAATAGTTCACATCATCTGATTTATTTTAAACATCTAATTTAGATGTTGGCTTACACCTAATTGCATAGTTTATCTATTAAAAAAATACAACTTGCTTATGAAACCAGATAAATATTTATAAGGCAACGCTAATATCAATTTCAATTTAGTAGCCCTTGAAAAAAGTTTTCAGTTTGTTCCCACAAAAATTGAAGAAGTAGTAAAACATTGTATAAGTCATGATTTTAAAAAGTATCAACCAACCATATGTAAAGAAAACCCTCTCTTTAACATGTCAGAACAGAATACAGCCCTATCCGAGGTCTCTTATTCATGTGATCATTCTTTATAATGATTATTCATGAAAGAGTTGCAAGAGTCAGCTCAGAATGCGTTTAGAGCTTCAAAAGAACAGTCTTGTTTTATTCTCCCTAACCTCGGGGTTCAAAATATCTCTATATGCTATTGTGTTTTATTGGTGCTCCGCATTATAATACATCACATATTGTAATAGATGGAAAATCTAGTAAAACATGTTGTTTATTTAAACATGCATTTAACTGTAGTAATGATTGGGAATAATTAGGACTCCCAGGTATTTTTCTTCAAAATTGTAGTAATACCTGGCAAACAAAGTATTTATTTGCCTGACTTTCTAAAATGAGTAAAGAGATTTTAATACTTGCATAACTATCCATCAAAACAATCCCAATCTCCCAAACTTTGTCCAGCTCTAAATTATAATGTACTAATGGGGAGAAAAAACAAAAACAAAAAAACCGAAACTCTTATTGACGGAAGATAATCAAATTACAGAATGCTTGATATCCTGGCTTAAACTACAACAAGAAAGTGACAAAATGTCTGTAGTATGTTGTACTCACTTGAAATACAAACACAATCTTCATTAAGCTTATAGCATTTGTATATGGTTTAGCACCATATTTCATGGTCAAACTATCAGTTTATGTTTAAGCACAGAATCCTAATGAAGATTACTGCAACTAAAAGTAAGCAGTACTCCTGCACTGGGAATCATGTTAGAAGTATCTTCTTTACACACATTACCCACTGACTCCTACAATTCCTATAGAGCAAATACAGTAATTTACTTTTTACCATCTACGCTGTTACACTGCTCTGTGCTGCTGCGGCCTCACCTTGAGTCTTGTGTGTAGTTTTGGGCATTACAGTAAAAGGACATAAAACTAATTAGAGAGCATTTAAAGGAGGGCTACGAAGATGGTGAAGGATGTAGAGTGGACGATGTGTGAGGAGCAGCTGAGGTCCCTTGGTTTGTTGAGCCTGGAGCAGAGCAGGCTGAGGGGAGGCCTCATGGCAGCCTGCAGCTCCCTCACGAGGGGAGCTGGGGGGGAAGGGGGGGGGGGGAGGCACTGAGCTCTGCTCTCTGGGGACAGTGCCAGGACCCGAGGGAACGGCATGGAGCTGGGACAGGGGAGCTGGTGGTTAGAGAAAGGTTCTGCACCCAGAGGTGGTCGGGCACTGGGACAGGCTCCCCAGGGCAGTGGCCACAGCACCAAGCCTGACAGAATTCAAGTAGTGTTTGGACAACGCTCACAGATGTAGGGGTTGGTATCTGGGTGGTCCTGTGTGGAGCCAGGAGGAGGACTTGATGGTCCTTGTGGACCCCTTCCAACTCAGGTTATTCCGCGATTCTATTATTCTACATTCCTTTATAGTTTGCACGGTTCTTAGGGAAGGCAAAGCTACCTTTGTTTTTCTGTGAGGATTTTATTTGAATAAAGTAACTTAAATTAGCCAGGAATGGTAAATTCTACAGTTTCTATAATTTAGGAGTTGAAGCCTGGGGGGAAGTAGCACTACTGTTACTCTGCAGTTGTACATTATGCAAAGGATATACATGTATCAGTACTCAGTGACCTACAGCATCTTAGCTTCCATGCTTTGGTTTTAACCTATTTAGACGAGATGATTCCTGATATGATTACACAAGAACTGACTCATTTCCCTAGCAACTGTGCTGCTCCTTCATTCAACAACTTAAACTCTCAAGCAGGGGTGTGGCTAGAAAAAATAAGGATGCTGTCCAGGTATCCCTGATTTTTTATTTTTTTTTAGAAAGGAATTCATAGGGAAGTTTGTTTTTTTAGGAATATGGACACTTGTGCCTTTGACCAGCATTGTTTGCCCCTGTGTTTGCTTCATAGGCGCAGCTACAAGTACCGTTACAAGGTTCTTTCTTTCAATTTGTGTTTTCTGTGTTTTTGTTTTTTTTTTTAAATCTGTTATACAGACAATTTTTCTTTTTACTTTTTTTCTTTAGAAAGCTAATGCAATACATACAACATTGACTTATAGCTTCAAAGATGAGATGTTACTTCTTTCAGTCTTTCAACTATAACCTATCTTCCAATAATCCCTTTCTCTTGAGAAGAATTATGCAATTTTTCAGTTTTCAACAGCACAAGTATTTTCTACACAGTGATCTCACTTTGGTTTCAGTCCTATTAACCAGATAATGGTATCTGCTTAAGAGGTGTATCACTTCCTTTAACAAAATTCTCTGTCCTACGAAAGAGTTCTGTAAAATAACTGAAAACATTTTGAAGGTTAGTTTGAAGGAGAAAGATTACTCTAGAATTTTGCAGCTTTATAGATGTAGCAACAGGGGATGAACAATTAGAGAAATATAACCTCATAAAACATACCACCTTGGTGACTTTCTTAAGATACAGAGTCTGTATATTACTAAACCTTTTGTCACACTATGACTAGAAAACACCAAGTAACTCTTTCTTAAATACTTTATGTTATCCAACATGACAAAAATACAGCAGACTGTATTGTAAATTGTGTCCATAAATCAAGATATGAAACTGTGGATTATATAATTTAGAATCTAAATTCACATCATAATTCGAAGGATTTAATAAAACACTTGTCTGCTCACTGCACACACATATATTGCTTATAACTGTAGTCTCAGATGAACATGCTACAAATTATGAAATTAAAAAACAAAACCAAAAAATAAACACAGGCTAGGATGTGGTAACTTACAGAAGCAGCTCTTCTGCAATTAACATCACGATCAAATACTGCAGCAATAACCAACGCACTGAGGAAATAAAATATTGATTATAACTACCAAAAATACAAGAAGAAACATGCAATATCATTTCATTATTTAGGATTCCAAGCAAAACATTCAAAATATTCTCTAACTAGCTTATTTTTTTAAAATATAATTCTAAAGTAAAATTTGTGTTGAAACAACCATGTACTTCCTTGTTTCTGTAGTTTGTGGACATTTCCATGGCATAAACAGACAACTGCCATCCTACTATAGCAAAACAGTTTAAGGAATATACAAATACATTTAACTACATAAGAAGGTTTTATATTTTAAATATAGCACGAGTACAAACTTGGACATATCTAACATCTCAAATGCGAGACAGTGCAACTTTAAATTAAAACTTGGAAATACAGTTTCTCAATAGCCAAATACACAGTAAGTCTTAGGTAAGGCTTAAGTAAAACTAAAAGTTAAGCAACGGAAGCTTTCAGCTATCTGTACAAGCATGATCACAGGATTTAAGTAACAAAAAATCAGTAAACAGTATGTAAATTCTGTTTAAAAAGTGACACTTTAGGATAAATTCAAAAACTTCTTTGCAAAAGTTTATCTGTAGATATACAGGTATGATTATACAAAGATACTACTTTGTGAATGAAATCTGACAACCCTCCACAGTTCAATTCTTTTTACTGCAACAGAACCACATTTAAAAACCTGCAACAGAACACAACAGAGAGAATATATCCCAGGACATGAAGTCTACAGCTTTAGAAATCCACCTCCAGCATTCAATTAACTTCAGTGACAAATAAATATCACTTCAGGAGAATCACTTAAGCAGAAAATTATTCCTTTCAAACTCTGAAACTCTTCATTACATTATTTATTGACTCCAGGCAAAACAGGAAATAAATACTGGCTGAAAAGTAATTCCAATGTAGGTTTGCTTTAGCATAAAGATATTAATTACACTGATAATATCAAACTTCCCTGGGTAATGGCTATCAGTTTCCTTACTGGGCAGGAACTATGTTCTTAAAATTCACTGAAATGCATAAACTGAATTTACAGAGGCAGCAGTGATTACCTCCATTAAGGGAAACAAGAGACAGAAAGAAGGAATGAAATAGAAAATAAAACACAATAAATGCAACATTTTACTACAGAGGTGTAAAAATTGTTCTAAAGATAGTCAATCCTTTCTTATTGCTACTTGCATGAACAATTCCTTTCCCTGCCAGAAAGGCATCAAGCAATTACAAGACAAAAGGAGGTCATCCATGTGATAGCAACTGGAAGAGCAAACGTTTATGAGGCATTCCATTAGAAAGAAGCTAATGGCTAATTGTAGAAAGAGTGCTGGGTCAAACATTATCTTCATACCTTAATCTGCTTCTCTGGCATACAGATAAACTTACAAATCTTTTTATAGGAACATTTCGGAAGGATTTCACTTTAATTATAGAACGCTCAAAACTAAGGAACTGCCTAGAAACGATCCAGGAAGGCAAAAAGAAGCAATTTTCTGCTGGACGTTTCCAATTATATGGACTATATGATAAAATATGATTTTGTCTGTTATGCAGAAGTTCAATATTGTTCTATTCTGAGTAAATAAAACCAAAAAACTCATCAAGCCAGGAATCATCTGCTCAACTCATCTGCTTGCACTCAGCAAGCAGAGTGCTGCCTGTACTATGTCAAAGGTAGCCTGATGTTAAGTGTTGCAGAGTATTTCAGAAGAGCTTTGCTGGGTCAGATTGAAATTCTTCCAGGTCATTGTTTTGTCTCCAGTGGTAGTGAAAAGGGACACTTCGGGCTGAGTGTAAGCACTTACATGTTAAATATTAATATGCTAATTTTAAAAGCTATGTAAGTCTTTCTAAATTTCAAACGTTAAAAGTTTGTCACTGGAGAATAAATACTGCTCCTTACATTTCGTATTTACACTTAAAATCTGGTTTATTAAATATGATGAAAAACAGTTTCAGATTGTTATATACAACATGAGTTTCTGACTGATGTTTCTGCTTATAATTAAACAGTACTTTTTATTTTTTCTTATTCTGTTACCTCAAGAAAAACTTGTATAGGTAAAACCAGCAAAACAACATACTGTCTATGCGATGCCACCTGAGCTATTCAGTGTGGTGACTAAATAACATGTTTAAGAAAAAAAACACACACACTCACACACACACAAAAAAAACAAAAACAGGAATTTTGTCATTACCACCCAGCCTGATTATATTCATAAATCATACTGTAGTCATTGTTTTATGTTAATCCTTTCAGTAAAAGTATTTTAAACTTATTGAACTACATGAATAATTTTTTCAAGTTAATTCGTATTTTAAAATGCAGGCACAGTCTGCTGCAACACATGGATTAGCAAGGAAAGCAACATGCCTAAGATGAAACATGTTAAAGGTGTCTTCACCTGTCTGCTTTGTCGTGGGAGTTTATGTGATACTCCACCAGGATTTCCTAACATAAAGAAACTGTTTATGTCAAACAAAGTGGGATATTTTTTAAGCTAGTTGAAGAATCATGTCTTGACTTGTCTGAAATATACCACACCTGACTACTAACAGGTAGAGCAAAGAGTGGTTTTGCATCTCGCAGTCTCTATGAAACACCTTTTGTAGTTCCTTGAGGTATATTTAGCCTGTAAGCACCACAAGCTACTAAGGGTACAATAAGCACACAAGCAGATTTTAAAAAGCAAGCTGCAATTCTATCAGTCTACTGATCATTCTTGCTTTTTTCCTGCTCCCTTCCATTTACCCCATGTACGCACTTAACTGGCTTCAGGGAAAGTTAACAGGACTCAGAGCAGGTTACCAGCTCACTTCTTTAGCCTGACGCTGATTTCACTTCCTTCTCCCAACAAGCCAGAAATAATCAGAGAGCAGAGGCCAGCCAGGTGATGGGCATCAGCACACAGAAATATCAGGTTTCCCTCTGCTTATATGTACTGGGTGAACCACCAAGTAAGTCTGAATTTCCTTTATCGCCTGTGACAGGTACACTATACTCACAAGCAGCTTATACGATTGCTAACCTCTGAGAGTTTACTGCTATTAATTCAAACATACCACCCTGAAGCTGTGGGAAGAGAAAAAATAAACTCTCAAGCCTCTTGCCAATTTGGCACAAAAACAGAATTCCCTTCCTGAACTCAAAAAAGGGAAAAGTCTGACTTGTAACATCACAGAAAACTCTCTTCCTTACTAATAGCATTAGGGGAGGGATGGCTTAACAATCATCACAAGTGAAATGGTTTTGAACAATCACAGCAAGTTAAAAAGAGGAGGAGAGACCAGCATCAGAGAGGAGTCTGCTGAGAGCTGCTGTTGCAAACAGCCTTCTCATACCTCTTTAGCTGTACCAGTACCCCAGTTGTGGCTACCTGGTGAACTGGATGATGAAAACAGACCTAGGCTCAACTATACATTTATTTATTTTTAATCAGAGAAGCTCCCCATTCACTTTATCACTTCTGGCTGTGTTTTCCTCAATTACAGGAGCAACAGAGATGAAGCATGCAAAAGTGGCTGCTTCAGCCAGCATTAGTAGGGGAAAAAGCCCTTCAGACCAGTCTCAGGTTTAATTTCTTCTGTTTAGATAGGCAAGGAGAAAATAGAAGAAAATGATAAACACAGTGACCAGTCCCATTTTTGCACTGCACACTTGCAGTCCCTTCTAACCCAACTACTTTCTGCTAGCCACTCAAACTCCCCACTGCTGAATCCAGAGTTACGCAGTCTTTTTAGCATGTTGTTGTTACACACATAAACGTCAGCATCTTCAGCGTGTTACTTCAATCCCAAAGTTTTGGAGTAAAACATTGGAAGTAAAATAAATACACATGTAGAAGACAGCAATAAAGAAAACGCTCAGTTAAAAAGCCATATGATGCCCCTGCAGGAAATAAGTTTACACAAGTGCAAGATGCAGTAGGCGCAGAGTAGGCTCTCCTCTGAAGGCAACATTCACATACATGAAAGAAAAAGCTATTCTTAATATTTCATCATGGTACAAGATGTAGCTCAAAGCAATGCTTCAGATTTCCCCAATTCTGCAGGACAATCTTGCCCTGGGGCAAGCTACATCATTTATCCATAGCCACACCTTCCTTTTTTTTTCCCTCTTCAAAAACAACACACCACCGCAGGGAAGGCAAAGCTGCCTGTACTCCTACACTGTATGCACGTATTCAGATCCCTCTAAATAATGATCTATTTATTGATTACCTAACTAAACCATCAAATGATAAATAAAACTATATTCTGACCATGCAATAGTTTCATATAATTATGATAGGCAGCAACAACTTAATTTCTAATTGTATAATAGAGCAAAAGTACATTTTCCTCTTCAGTTTTTGTTTAGGTTTTAAACAAAACAGCTCTGCTTCTTAGTGTGCACCTGCCACTTTACAGACAATAATTTCCACACCCAAGGGGGCAGGAATCAAATTACCTGCATTTCCAAGTTATTAAATTATATTTAACTTTCCTCATAGGTAAGCTTAAAAAGAGTGCATGCATGTGCAGACTGGGAGAGGAAAAAAATCTCAGTCAAGCAGTGCTTTTAGAAAGATATGCCTGAATAGCAACTTCAGTATGTGCAAGTATTTCAAAATGTAGTAAGCTGATCCTGCATTAAAAGTGAAGTTTCATCTACTTTGCCAAGAATCTTCTTTTTGTGGTCTTGAAGCTTGAATACATCATGCAAGGTTTTAGAAACCAGTTTAACTGGACTTCTAAAAAAATAAACAAATGTTAGTAAGCGTATCTTGTTGAAATATGGATAGGGAAAAATACCAACAGATACGTAAAAATTAAAATTCTCAGGCAAGTATTTCGAATAAGCATCCTCTGTCAATTTTTTTTCTTAATAAGAACGGTAAGAAGAGTGGTCACTGTTTAACCGTTTTACCCACTCAACACCATCTAGTTACCACCAGTTTTTCAGTGCACTTGCTCTACTACGATGCCCACCTTGTCTCTTGACTCTGAGCATTCTTACCAGGCAACCAGCTACTCACGCTCCAAGCTCAGCATTATCTCCAGCCAGTTCAACAGCACTGCTAAAGACTGTGAAGGATATACCAGTCACAATTTCTAGCACCATGACAACACAAACAGTTCAGGATCTCAATCACTTATTACATCTTTTTAACGAGGTAGTAGCTTTCTTTCCAGGTAAATAATATATTATTTTTCTCTAAGAAACTAATAGTTTGTATTCTCATATAGGCAGATATTTTTGCTGTGTAATTCAGCTCACAAGGGATATCATGTACTTTGTTTCAAGATGCTGAGTTCTGCATTTTTTTTAAGGGTAGCAACAATTTGCTTGTGGCTAGAAGTATGACTCTTCTTTAAGTAAAACAGTGACACACCTAAGGCTAGATTTAAAAAAAAGAGCTGTATGTAATTATTGGCTTGCTGACACAATAGGTGAAACTGTGTGTCATACCCTATTTGAATATTTTTTTTCTACTGTTTCTCTTTGCAGTGGCAATTCTACCTTCAAGAGCTGATTGTGTTAAGAAAAGGTACAGCCAACATAACTACAAAGATTTTTAAGCAGAGCCTTACTATAGCACTAATACTGGCTAAAGTATTATGCAGCTTTGTTATAGAACTAAACATGTATAAATCACAACACTTTACGACTGAAAATAATAAATTTTCAGTTCCCCCCCAGCTGTCTACCCTCCATTTCATTCCACTCCACCAACTTAGTCGAGACAGGTGAAGTTGCAACTGGCAAAGCCACGGTGGTAACTTGTATTACTTTTGGTAGAAGACACCAGTTATTTACACCTGATGTCTTCCAAAATATATAAAAAAAAAAAAAAAATTGTTTCCAGAACACACTGAAAGCTAAAAGACAGGAGCATCTTCAGAACCACAGAGCTCTTCATAATTGTGCAAAAGCTTTGTAACAGTAAAACAAAGTACCACAAATCATGTAAAATCAAAATAGTCAGCTTGCACCTACATATGGAGAATAACATTGATTTGTATTGTGGTAGGGTAAAAGAAGTAAAAGAAATATATTGCTCTAAGCATTATGAATGGAAGAAAAATCTGAAAAATGGAAGAACAGAACAGAATGCTGATAAACTGAATGTTTCTAAATTTGCACTTTGGCTTTAAAGCTTCTCTTGGAACAAGCTTGCCAGACCTTTAAACAAACCTTCAAGTTGTTCAACTAAGAGGATGGAAACAGAGGATTTACTTCCACAAGGCTGCTGACCAAATCTACAAAAAACACTAGCTTTGAACAAGACCTTACTATTGGATTGCCACACTCTTCCTGATGTTTTGCTTGCAGCCTGAATATAAATGTATTCCTGCTGGTTTAAAGATAGCAGTAACTAACTTTGCATAGCCCTTAACACCCTCTTAGAAGTATTTGGTAACATTCTACTCATCCTGTCACTATGTCTTCATTGCTACCATCGTTTGTGCTGGTTTGATTAAAAAAAGAGCCAGCTAGAATAAAAAAAAGAAACACAACCCAAAATACAATCACTGTTTCACTGTGCAAACATATCTTTAGGTACTTTTATATTAATAATTTACAATAAAATCAACTGGAAGACTATTTAAACATGACCATTGAAAATAAAATATTTCCTTAATAACTTACTAGGGCAAGCATCACTCACTACTTCTATCATGCTTATAACTGAATCAGGCATTTCCTAGAGTCCCAATTCTCTTTCTGAAAATCATCCAGCAGCTGTAGATGGCCTCACATTCCAGAACAGCTTGGTGTTACAAGACTCCTCTCCTTGAGTCTCTAGACTGTTGTGGATGAAACATGACGAAAATAGCATGAAAATGCTTTACCAGAAACACAACGCTAAGAACCTTAGCATTTTTTCCACCTGTTTACTTTGTAGAAAAGATAGCATTAAAAAAGAAGGCAGAAAAACAGCATTCAGCCTCAAGAAATGTGACAGCAGATTCTTAGACAGAAAGATTTTATCAAGGCCTCAAAAAATGCCATGAGCAAGTACCACACAGGTAGAAGACACTGCCCTGTGACCCTTCGTGAAAGGGCCAGTATAGGAAAGTGAGGATACAAGGATGAAAAACAGCAAAGACCAGAAAGGGGAGGGCACACTACGCTCAAGGAATAAAAATGGATATGTAGGGTCTACAGACTGTCCCAAGGAACTTTCAAAACTGGCTTAAAGAAGAAGGAACAAGACATTCGAGGTGCTTGAGTGGGTCCAGAGAAGGGCGACAAAGCTGGTGAGGGGCCTGGAGAACAAGTCCTACAAGGAGTGGCTGAGGGAGCTGGGCTTGTTCAGCCTGGAGAAAAGGAGGCTCAGGGGCGACCTTATTGCTCTCTACAGGTACCTTAAAGGAGGCTGTAGTGAGGTGGGGGTTGGCCTGTTCTCCCACGTGCCTGGTGACAGGACGAGGGGGAATGGGCTTAGGTTGCTCCAGGGGAGCTTTAGGTTGGATCTTAGGAAGAACTTCTTTACTGAAAGGGTTGTTAGACACTGGAACAGGCTGCCCAGGGAAGTGGTGGAGTCACCATCCCTGGAAGTCTTTACAAGACGTTTAGATGTAGAGCTTAGGGATATGGTTTAGTGGAAGACTGTTAGTGTTAGGTCAGAGGTTGGACTCGATGATCTTGAGGTCTCTTCCAACCTAGAAATTCTGTGATTCTGTGATTTTCTTTGGGCATCTGCTGAGCTAAGTAAGCAGTGCTGCATTTCCAAACAAGGCTGTTTGGGTGTGATTGGAATAGTTCTGACAGCAGTCTGGAAGCAAGGCAGCACTAGAACTAGGATTAGGTTTCTGGGACCTATAAATATATAGTTCCTATATATATTTGAAAGTAATACTAAATGACTACTGATTAAAAATCTGCCAGTGGAGACAAAGATGCCTGAGTTGCTGATATGAGAGCACACTAGCAGTCTGCCAAGAAACTGTGAGAAGCTACCTCTGTGTTTACAGTGCAAATCACCCATTAAAGACACCTTGAAATGTCAGCAAATATGCTGCCAACAAAAAGACTACCTACTGAAGAGAGAATCCCACAAGACAAGCAAAAAGAGGAGGAAAAGCAAGAGAAGAAAGAAGGAAAAAAGGAAAAGGTAAAACCAATTTCTAGCTGCAGAAATATCCTTAGTGTTGGGGGAACCAGCACCAAGTTCTAGTCCACCGTTACAGTATGACAGATGTTGACTGAGGTACTTTCTGAAAGTCTGACTTCTAAGAGTCTTGAAACAGAAAGAACAGGCTGAAAAAGAAGTACTTGCATATTTCCCCTTTCAACTAAAAGTAGTTTTGTCAAAGTAGTCATTCTAGACTGTGGTACTCTATGAAAACAAAATATAACAAAAGAGAAAATAGTTCTGTCATGTATTTGCTAAATTTAGCTAGAACCTGCTAAGAGCTATAATAAAAATGCTTTTTCAGAAGTGATATATTACTAAAAATTCAAAATCACCACATAGAGTTCAAGTTGTTACCACTTTTATAAACTGGAATTGATTTAATTTTAAAAGTATTCTTTACTCAAAATAAACTTCGATCTTCAACATTTCAGAAGGAAAACTACAACCCATACAGAAGCATCTGGAAGTTCTGAAATGGGTTTTTAGGAGATCTGAAGTCTAGTTTATTCCTTTAGACCTAGATCAGCTCAACTTGCAAGTCAATATGACATGCTATGTTCTTTGCACCGTACAATCTGATAAAGTACCATAACTCCTGGATCATTAGAAACAAGTGTGCATCTGAAAAAGTAAGAAGTAACTTCTGTAAGTTTTCTCCTTTTCTCTTCTACTTTGACCCCATAAAGCAGCTCTGAAACTTCAGAGAGAGAGTGTGTGTGTGTCAAATATCTAATTTTAAATGTCTTAAAGAAAGGGCATTACTCTCCCACATCATTAACTTTTAGAGGATACAGCATGAGACTACTAAATTAATTTCTAGTTCCTCCTTAGTTTTGAACAGATTTTTAAAATTAACTGTACTTGGCTCAGTTTCTTATCGCAGCAGCTTACCTTGAAATCTGGTTAATAAATGGAATAAGTTCTGAGGGATCATAAGCACGAGCAAAGGCCCAGCACACATAGCACGCCGCATCTCTCACATTGGAACCCACGCTGCATGATCCCCTCTTCTCATCATATGTCAGAGCTTTCAAAATGACAGGAACCACTGTGAAATGGAAAAGGGCACAAAAGCAACAATTAGGACCGTACATTGAACCAGACGAAACGTATGAGAGTGATCATTAAAGAAAAGACACAGGGTGAGCTGTGTGTGTTCTGAAAGAAAAAAAAAAGAAAGAAAAAAAGCATGGCTCTTAGTATCTGCTAAATTGACTAGAAAGAAAAATTTTCATTTTAACACACCATTTTGTTTCTTTGCCAGTAGCCATTTACTTTTTATTCCAATCCCATATAGTTCAATGAGGATTAAAGCAACAGGGTTCCATATGAAATTACACCTTAATTCTACAGCATGTTATTCAAAAAAGTCTACCAATTCCACCAGAGAGTTACTATCATGATAAAAACTTGACGTTCTTTAGTCCCAATATGCTGCTAAAGATAAAAATGCAATACAAATATGAGCAGGTTTATTTCTGTTTTTCCTCCCAAGTAAAAGGAGAATTGAGTAGTAGACTCTAGAAAATGCTAGAAATCTAGAATTGCCTCACAGAGAATGCTTTTTAGCAACAGCCTTGTGCTTGGGAATTTCCCTTAAGAGAATTAGAGTAACCACTGATTATTTTAACAAAGGTTTATAAATATATTATACATGAGTATCAATACCAAGCCTTGTCCGGTCACAGCTGCAATGGAAAACAAGTATCTGCATCCATATACCCTCATTTGCCTGTAGAAGGATTTGACTAAGTAAAATTGCTAAGTATTTGAAATGTTGACTCCTCTTATAAAGTAAACCTTTTAGGCCCACTATTTTTCAAGTGTATCTTTGTTTATTTAAGGAAGACTGATAACATTTATTACTCAGCAATACATGTTTAGAAGTCAATTTAGAGTCCAAGTAATTTTCGTAGGGTCAGGTAATTTTAGAGTCAAAATTTTTAAATGTCAAAGTGTTAAACTACTGGGCTACAAATGGTACCGTAACAACAGCATCTATCGCTAAAAAAAATGCTTCCTAATAAATACAGTATTGTAACTAGCATAAAAGACTCAGTACTCATCTATGATTAGCCACCATTTATCACAGCACAAGTCCTACCTTGACAAATACTTGTGATTAACAATGCCTGTGAATCATCAATACATCAATCTTGAAAGGGACTTAAGTACACTCTTTGCTTACTCCTAAATCAAAGTGACAAGTTCACCGTTGCTCTTTCGTTAAGCAACTTGTGATATATGATTCTGTGCAGAGCTGTCGAGCAACTTCAGTGCAGTGTTTTAAGTTCAAATCTCTCAGCACTGCCACAGCACACAGAGCACAAGGACAGAATTTGCATAAAACTGCAATGCCACCTAGAAATGCAAACAGGTGGGCTTTGCTCTTGTTTCTGCTTCCACACCCAAAACAAGATTTAACAGAATCCCAGACTAGAAAAGGTCCACTCTGAGAATCTAGCAGCTTTTAAAAATTAACATGTCCATTAATGTTTCCAGCAATGATTTAATGGATAACCTGAGTGACTTCAGATAGAAGAAAAGGCCTACAAGCCATCGACCCTGGTATAACACATCTCTGTGCCACATTTTGTTGAGGAAGCCCCAGACAGGATGCTGTCACACAGCGTAAGCCCAGACCAAGCACTGGAAACAAATGACAGTTTTCTTTTCTTCTCTTTCTTTAGTTTTAAATCATATTGGGGGAAATAAGAGAAAATAGGGTAGTAAAACAGAAGATCAATGAAAATCCTAGAACCTTACCATAAAGGTATTATAACATAGGTACTGTGATTATAAACAACAAAAATAAGGTTGCGAAACCAAGCAGAGGGAAAACTTCACTTTCATGCTTGTAGGTCCATCAAAACTCTACAAGTCAAATTTTTCTACAGATAAGGAGAGCTTCCGAAAACTTGAAGAAGAATTCTCTTTGCAGTTCTAGCAACACACACTGCGGCAGTTTAACAATTACTGTATGTATGCAAGGCTCCCTGGAGGGCTTCCTCCTGGTATCTGAAAATCCAGAAATACCATTTGAATATTTCTCTCTCTCTTGAGATGGCAAATCCTTGGTAAGTAAATAATGCCAGTAAAAACAACAGCCTTTAGGAGAGAGGCAAAAAAAAAAAAAAAAAAAAAAGCGATTTGTTTTGAATTTCTTTACAGTATCAAATTTATCAAACACATCTTTATTCCTTAGAAAAGGCTTGTCACAAGATGATCCCATTGTCCCACTGAACAAGGGTTGAATTTCACTAGCAAACTGTGCCTAGATATACTTGAGCAGATAGGAGGGGCTACTTGAGCAGAGGAGGGCTACGAAGATGGTGAAAGGCCTGGAGGGGAAGATGTACGAGGAACGGCTGAGGGCACTGGGCCTGTTCAGCCTGGAGAAGAGGAGGCTGAGGGGAGACCTCATCGCAGTCTACAACTTCCTCGTAAGGGGGTGTCGAGAGGCAGGAGACCTTTTCTCCATTAACACCAGTGACAGGACCCGCGGGAACGGGGTTAAGCTGAGGCAGGGGAAATTTAGGCTTGACATCAGGAGGAAGTTCTTCACAGAGAGAGTGGTTGCACACTGGAACAGGCTCCCCAGGGAAGTGGTCACTGCACCGAGCCTGTCTGAATTTAAGAAGAGATTGGACTGTGCACTTAGTCACATGGTCTGAACTTTTGGGTAGACCTGTGCGGTGTCAAGAGTTGGACTTGATGATCCCTAAGGGTCCCTTCCAACTCAGGATATTTTATGATTCTATGATTCTATATAATCACTCAGTAATTAAGCATCAACATATTGCTACCTTAATCAAAACATAGGCACCACAAGTGGATTAGGGAAGCGTTAAAATACCATTTCAATTCATTTTAACATAGTAAGAGAAAAAAAAAACAACAATTCCCATTCAAGAGCAATGATACAGCAAAGATGGATGCGTATTTTGGCACTTCTCAGCTCTGAGAGAAACTGCAATAAAAATCTTTAAAAATGTTGACTGGCCTGTTTTGAAAAATGCTACATCAACGGATGAAAAAAATGGAATTAGCTGGTTCTACAGGAACACTAAAACAGACGCCAAAGGCAATTTTGCAAAGCTGCTGCAAATTTCCTTCAGCGTGAGGTGATTACTCCAGCTACCTCAGACAGCTGTGAGCACAGTCTCATCTCTCTGCAGGCTGAACAAGAAGCAGAAGGACTCACAGGCGGTGCCTTGCATTTGTGTTGTCTGACATGGTTTTCAGTTCAGGGCCTTCATTTTCCACGTGGTAGGGGCAATATCAGTTGGCCCCTAGCTTATTTGGGTCAGTCTCCAAGACAGAGGAGATGCTGCCAGGAGTCTGTAACAACAGGAACTGAGGAAATGCAATGAAGAACAGCACTATTATTGGGAGCACCTCAGGACCTCCCCGTTATCACGCAGCAGTGATTTGGACTTGCACCTCTTTGTGCTCCTGTGTCCAGGACTCACAGCATTGCTGCTGCAGAAGAAACAGCACGACTGCAAGTCAAGAGCAAACACAGGTCATGCAAAGGAAGGATACAAAAGTGGGCAGTTAGAAGACAGGAGGAAAAGGGAAAACAAGGTGAGGTACATGGCAGAGCTAAGTAGAAACAAATACTTCAATACGGGAACCCTGCTGAGGTCAGGGTCATCTCTTCAGGCTTGCATTCTAACACTGGCAGAATTTACTGGTGAACTGGGGACTCTGGGAAATGCTGTGTAATGATCGCTCCTGACAAATGTTTCTCTGCTTGAAAAAGGGGGAGATTAGATAAGAGAAACTTCAGAACCAGCATTACATTTCCTTTCAGAACCAGCGTTACTTTATATTTAAGTCATAAGAAAAAAAGAAACACCACCAAAAATTTCAGGTTTCCCTTTATTCTTTACCCCGGAGTCTTCAAACACAATGCAGTTGTTTTCGGCTGTGGCTTCCTGCAGTCCCAGCAGAGCCCGCCTGCAGTCATGGAGGAGCAGCACAGACAAAACACCTGTAGCATCTAGCCCACTGTAACTGAAGTACCTTACAAAAGACCTTCCTAATCCCCAGCTGGTAGTCTCTGTGGTTGCATTATCTTATGCACACAACTTTTCATCTTCAGTCTAAACAAAATCCAAACTTAAATTTTGTTTTTCTCCAATTTAAAATGTTTGCATTCATACTCCTCCAGAGCTTTGCTTGATACACAACACAGCAATGATGTTCAAAGCTTTGTAGTCAGCTCCTGCATTTTGTACCTGTTAAGCTATTCACCATTATAACCACCTCATAGGTATTCAGTGTGGGCAGTGTTGGACTGTGAAGCTCTCTCTTGTTTCAAATTTTTAGATTTAAAATCACATTCAACACATACCTAAGATGTACTCCACCAAAAAACACAAGCAAAAAAAAAATTTAAAAAAAATCAAGAAGAAAATCCAAAGTGAAAAGAAGAGCAGAAATAAATTTGTTTGAAATTATTAACGAGGTTTTGTTGTTGTTTTGTTTCTTAAATTTAAAAGTACAGGTTAGGAGATACAACACAGAGAAGGCCTGAAGTGTTACTTTACTTTGAAAGTCACCATTTGTTTCAGAGTTCTGCATTAAAAGTTTGCCATTAAATATAGAGGGTAAGTAGTGTCCACTCTCAAGCCGAATATTAAAACAATATCCACCTGTTTAGTTCTGTGAACGCTCAAAAAATACAGTCACCTTTACCCGTAGCCTAGAGGTATTAATAAGCACCTGTTACGCTCCACCCTGCCTTACCTAACAACATAACTGCAGGTTGCAACACAGCGCTTTGCTCAAGCCTCGTGAAAATGAAGAAAACTTCTGGCTTCAAAGCCCTGCAAACAGCCGATTTTCTCTAGCATGAGAGACAAGCTGCACACACTTGGCTTTCTGAACAGAGATGTTAATCAATCAGATGCTTAGCATCGCTTAGTTGCGGATGATAACCACTGAACAACTAGTAAAGAAACCGAAGGAAGACATTGGATACTGAAAGGTCCCATATAACTAGAACTATTTCCTTAAAAACTACTTCTAAAAAATATCCCA